ATCCGATAAAGACCTCACCCCTGAGATAAACTTAAAACTCATTGAATTTGAATTATGTAAGTGATGAATAAATGGGGGAAAAATCTAAAAAAAAATAAAAAATAGAAATAAAAAAATAGCATTATCTATGACTGCTCTAACCACAAACCTTACAGAGACGATTGTATATATGTTTGCGTTTGGTGCTGGCTGGTGTGCATGTCCTCTGCTCAGTGCACACATTAAAAGAGGTCTGCTGAAATAGATACCATCTGCTCATGCAATGGCCATAACCACATTTGACCTTCAGTGTGACTGTTTGTGTGTATAGAAGTGTGTCACATGTGTTCATGAATGAATCTGTGAGCTTGGGCTTGTCACATACAATAGCCTCTACAGTTCTTAACATAGAGGTCTCACTCTAATGAGGCTAAAGGTAGAAGATTAGACTGGCTGTAATTAACAGACTAAGCCTGCTTAATGGCTTCACACATGTCAGCTTAAATCCCCGGCAAAATAAACATTCCCCTCTTCATGGGAATGCTCAGCTCCAGAGTGGCATTCTCAGCTGCAGTGGGAGCGTTTTCTGGAAAACTGATCGCCTGCAAAGCAAGTTGTTTTTTACTTAGCACGGTTTCACTTTGGCATTTGGAAAATGGTATGGATTATTATGGTTGTCTTTATGTCAATGAATAATGGTGTCACAAAATATGATGGTGATACTGATATGGAGAGATTTTGGTATCATTATATTTGTCGTCCCCTAAGATCAGCATGAGGGAAACCAAACTATCTCCATGTCCCGTTTATCTCTGAAAATACAGAGAGACTGAAAATATAACTTCATGTATGATACTGTACTACTGTCAAATCTACACATACCTACCAATTTAGACAAACATACTATTATCTCAAGCAGACACATACGCACACATATATGTAGAGAGAGACTTTGGTAGGTCTGTTGTACTTAGTGCAGCTAAACATAGTTATACCTCAGATTGCAGAGCAGCACTCTCCTGTCACATAAAACCTGAAGGCCCAGGTACTTAGGTTGTGCATTTCTATTTTGGTACACATCAGCAGTGCATAAGAGATTGAGTGTTTTGTAAAAATACACAAATACTAAGTCACGTAAAAACAACTATACCATACAGAGTTTATATTTCATACTGTAAATAAAGTGCAAAAAAATGAAATGCCTTAGGGATGACATTACCAAACCAGCGATAACCTTTTTTTAAATATATCTCACTAGCCTCCACTCTCTTTTTAATTTATTTTTTAGAGCATAGTGTTACCCTTTAATCTGTCTATATTGATACAGCACTTACACTATTGCTGTTGCCGTTCCTTTGTGCTACCATAACTTCATTGAGGACACTGAGCAGCAAACCTACTGAGTTCAGTTCAAGCAGAAGACAATGGCTTATTTGCTTCAGGTAAGCCGCTGTACACCAGAGAGCTCCATGTGTAAAATCTTGCTTTTCCTGTGTGCTGAGAAGTTGTGACTTGGACACTTTGTCAACGGTTCGTTCTTTCCAAATCCCCTTGTTAGCACTCTAAATCATTTAAAAAAAACTTTTCATCACGTGGCTTTTTAACCACAGCTGTTTACACTGAATATGACTGATCACTTCTCAGAGTGCTCTTGGCTCACATGACTGTGCTAATGTTAGGTGGTAGGACTGAATCATGGGAAATGTTGTTTAGCTGCCCCCTGTTTTAAAAAGGCTTTACTCGTCTTAATGACTAAAAGTGCCATAGCTATCACAACTAGACAGCTTTTCTTGCACTGATAGTATCAGATAGGCACATGAGCAGGGACTCAGACCCTTTATTATCCTTACACACTGGTCTCTTTGTGAGGCTTTTCAAGTTGAACTTGAAGCAGTAAAGTCTGGTGTGTCAGGGTTTTGTATTCTAGGATTCGCCAAACATCAAAATGCATCAAGATCTGCCATTACTTTTTTTTCACCCTTTTACCAAGCATGACCTATCAACTCTAGTATTTGATAATACATGCAGAGACAGTCTTAGTTTGTGGTGACTCAGTTTTCTTCTTGAGTAAATCAGCTTCTTGACAGGTTAAGTCATATTCACAAAATTTTGAGTTTTATCTGCATTTTTTTCTGCTCCCTCTGTTGATGCTGTGTGCGCAGTAGTCAATGGAATGTTTGACCGTAGAGAGTACGGAGAAAAGCAAAGTCTTGAAAATGATGGCAGCTAGCTTTACTGAGCATGCATGCAGGGTTAGAAGTTATAATGCGTAGTTAATGCCATTGTGTTGAAACAAACGTGTCTTCAGTAGGGGTGAATATCACCAGTGGCCCCATGATACGATATTATCACAATCCTTGGGCCACAATACGATATTATTGCGATTTTTAACATTCTGCAATACCGTGAATTTTGCGATAAGATTGCATTTCATACATTTTTTTTCAGCTGTTTAGCTAATTTTGCATTTGCTTTTTCTTTATGTTTGTCCTATTTACACAGTATTTTATTTTCATGTAGCACATCTTTTTTGTTTGTTTTATATATTTTTTGAACAAACTTTCTCCTGCTCTATGATGTCACCTCTGCCGACCTTTTATTTTTCCATTATCATAGATTTGGCTCCATATTAGCAATTAACTTGAAAATTCGATACTTGGTAAATGAGAAAATATGATATATCACCAGACAAAATATTGTGATACTATGCTGTGTTGATTTTTTCTCCCACCCCTAGTCCACAAGACAATCTTAGTTCTGTTTAGTCATAACTCTATTCTGTGAAAATGAGCTCTGAGACACAGAGACTCTTTTAGTAGTAACACTATAGGACATTTGGGATTGGTCCACTATCTTATTAGAACCCCCATGGAGATCAAATTTTTGTTTTGTTCAAGTCAAAACCAAGGGACTGTAATAGTGCATCTAAAAAAAAAAAAAAACAACCATTCAGGTCAGGCTTGTGGACGTTGCTATTTTCTGTTGGGCTAGATGCGCTTCTGCAGATTACAGGAGATTCAGTGAATGGACAGCAAAGTTGTAATTCACTCTCTTACTGCTATACTCAACACTGAGTCATCTAGGCATGCACCATTATAGAAACCACTTCATGCTACAGTGGTATCTGCTTTCTCACAGAGCCAAAAATAAGCAGGGGGGATTGTTATGTAGAGTTGTCACATGAATATATGCACGTGCTGCACACATGCAATTTGTAAGAAGAGTTTGGGTGGATTTGTAAGCAAAGACTCTAACAGGTATTCTTTGAATTTAGCTGTTCGTCATTGAAGTGGACAATGTGCAGATGCAGAGATCACCTCCTCTGTTGGTTGTTTGAACATGATTCCTTGCTGGAAAACAACGTACTGATGTTTGCATTGAGCTAAAAGTTGGTTTGATAAGCATTGTTGCCAGATTTACATGATAAAATACTCAAAGTTGTCGAGTTTTATTTGCTTGAATCTAGTTGCCAGTTACTTTGTGCAGCCTGTTCACCATTAACAGTGAATATAACGGACACTAGCATGAGGCAAGTTTACAGTTAATGCCATTATATGTTTATATGGTGAGTCTTGGTGTGTGTGTGTGTGTGTGTGTGCGTGTGTGTCTGTGTGTGTGCATGGGTGTGTGTTTCTGCAACAGCTGAATTTTACCAGAGCACACGGGAACTCCTGTTCTTTCTGGTTTTTTTTTTTTTTGTTTGTTTGTTTCTTCCCCCCTTGTTTTTCTCCTTCGTTTGATCTTTCTCATTTAAACTGTACTTCACAAAGCCCCACTGCCAAGCCAAGTGTCTGATCATCCTGATTTGGTCATATTTTAGTCTTTTCTTTTATTTTTTTTTTCAAGTAATCATTTGGTTTTGTGCAAATATGTTTTTACACAGAGACAGAAGCTCTAAAACCTGTTCAGTTTGAACAGGGAATTCAAACAAAAGTTTCCAAAATGTAATATTTTGAAACTGTAACAGCTCTTAGGCGAAGTGCTCATGCCACTGTCAAACGTCTGTTTCCTATCCAGAAAATTAAAATAAGCAATGAAACATCCAGATCAGTGTCACTTGAAGAGGAACCTAGTCGCTTCCCTTTGTGGTTAGATGAACTCTTCAAGGACTGCTGATGTGCTCTCCCTCAGCCCTATTCTTTCTCTAATGTGGACATGAAACCAAACACACTCTACCTTTTGGCTCACAGATGTGAAACCTCAAACTGTCAGGCCATTACAAAATGTGAATAATCTGACACTGTGTTCCCAGAGCTGGAGACTGGACCCCTCTAGTGATTCAGCAGCTAAATTGATCGAGACGCATACTGAGTGACTGATGGCATTCCCAGAACCCCAGCGCAACCCTTCATTGGCCAGACTATGTGAGGGTGCGTGTGTCTGTGGGTGTGTGTTTGTGTGGGACTGTAGAGGTGATAATCAGCAGTGGCAGGAGGGACTTTCTTGTCCCTGTTGTTGTGCCGCGTGGAGCTGTCCCGGTCGGGACTCCCAGTTGGTCTCTTAACTCACCCCCCTTCTGCTTTCCCCTGAGCCCACCTCTTCTGTTATTCCCTCTTAAACTTCACGCAGTCAACCTCCTGTTTCCCTTTGAAGAGGCTCTGCTTTGATTTCCCCCTCTTGACATGGCAGAGAGGAGCATCAGTAAAGGAAAGTCTTTGGAGGGTATGTTGTGAAGTATAAAGGGAAATAGAGTTGGAGATAACAGACTATCGAAGGCTTTGCCGGCTTTGCTGCTGTCAGTCTGAAGTAGCTGAAAGGAAGAGCCACTGCTCAAGTCTTTTGCAGCCGGACCTTTCCCGCCTTCTGGCCTCTCTGTCATCTGCTCATGTCGTAGGAAGAGAGAAGCAGACGACTCCAGAAAGTTGACCCACCACGATTGGCTGTCTTTGGACTGTTGTAGTTATTTTTGAGGGGGGTGTTTAGAGAAGTTAGGGGTGGTAAAGCTGCAGGTGGTGCTAGGGAGTTTGTTTTACCATGCAGCAAGCTTGGGATCGGACGAGTAGCACTGAGAGTGTGAAAAAAGGCCATCCAAAAATGCTGGGAAAAGGACAAAGTGGTGGATACGCCCCTGAGACAACAGCTGAACTCTTGCAGAGGTAGGAGGAAATGATTTTGAAAGTAGTTACAATGTAGGCTCTAACCGCACACTCACATGGCTGTATGATCAATCAATTTGTTATTAGGATTTAGGTTATTGCATGCATGATTGCGATAATCCATAGAAGTTGTGATGATGGGGAGTAATCTAGCAAGAAAAATGAATGAATGAAGCATGAATGTCTAGCACTATAAAATCTCTTGAAGTGTGTCAACAAAACTATCACATACAGCCGGCCTCTGTTCTTACTCTTCCTGTGTAAATATGAGGAATACTTGAAGTGCATTTCAAAACTCTTGCAAAGAAAAAAAAGAAAAAAAGACATGCAGGTATGGACTTAATCCATTCACATGTCACGTCTGTCATTTGAAATGAAACGGTGGAAGCTTTAAAGAAGTTCTTCTATCTAAATTCATTTATTTAAAAAAGTTTAAGATGTGAACATATGAAATTGCACTCAACATGACAGCGTGTAAACTTGGAGCTGGCCTGAAGATTCCTGTTTCAAGGCAAGCATAGATGAAGAACACTTGACATGTTTAATAATATTTTCTTTAGAAGGCTTATACACAAAAACACAATTAATTCCCAATTTGTCGATCTTGAGTTACCTTAAAAGTGTGAAAAAAGGTATATGTAAAAGCAGAAAGTGTCACTTGCTATAAATACAGAAAATGTCAGCGACAAATTCAATTTTAAGTTGAATTTAAATCAAACGAATCTTTTGATTTATTAAGCCACTGAATACGGCGCAATTCGTAGACGCACTCATGAAGAGAAGAATTCAGGATTTTTTTGCATTTGTCACTATTAAAAAAGTTAAATACGACTAAGCTGACTTGTTAAAATGTATTGCAGACAGATTTACAAAAAAGAAGCATAGTCACGGAGTTTGAGCCAATAAACTAGGTTACAAACGTTTTCTTAAAAGTTAGCAAAGTCACTCATCAGTTTAAGTAAAATTTTAGTCCACCTCCAACGATGTTCCAATAATCAGAGTTGTGTTACCGATATGTCAACCATAGGCGGCTTTTTCACTGAAAAGGGGGTAAAGATACAGATCTATCTGTCAGAGTTGAATTTCAATGTTTGTAACCGTAAATGTTTGTAACTCTGCATTGTACATTAAAAATTTCCAAACCAATGATAAACAAACTTGACTTCGATAAAACATTAGAGGACTTTGAGTTTCTCTAATTCCAAGTAGGAAATTGTGCTTAAGTTTCTTAAAAATAATACATCTGTGAAACTCATTTTAGTCTGGTATTTTGTTGTGAGACCACATGGCTGACTTCAGCCTGTCAGCCTTGATATATAGATGTATTTCACCAGCGGCTGAGGTTGATAGAGACACAGCACTTTGCAGCTTAACAGCAATCCACTGCTTTGTGGTATTGTGTGTTACGTGACTAAGTGGTTTTTGTGTATCAGAAATGATTGTATCTCATATTAGAAAGCTACTATAGGGACAAATGTGTGACTTGTCCCAAGGAGTGAATTAAAATTATTGTCCCTATTTAAGAAAATGTAGCTGCACTCACTGTATGGGATATTGTGTACTTGATGTAACAAGGTGTGTACTGGAAACTAGATTTAGTGGTTATGAATGGATCCTTGACCCAGAGTCAACTACAAATAAAACAGATTGTGAGTGTATTTGAAATGAACGTGTTCAAAGAAACACAGAAGTTTATTATTTGCTTTGCAAAAAAGTAAGGGGTCTGGTGGTCCATACATGGATTTTTAGCCCGCTGCTTTTTTTAGGCTGTCGGCGTGTTACGGATGCGCTGCACTACTGCTACGACCTGATATCCCACACAGTCTTTTTACGGGCATAAATTTTTCTTTTTGAATAAGAAGATTTAAATTACCATGTGGAGCTATGTTTAGAGAAAACAGTCATATAAAATGATGTGTAAAATAGGATTTATGTGTTTGCTCTTACGGTTTTGGATACTGCAATGCACTATTGCACCTTACATGCTGAACTACAAAAAAGTGATTTACTGAATTTATTGTCTTTTACATTTCTATTAGTTCATTATTGAAAAAAATGTAAACACTATTAATACAGCCTGATAGGATCACAGATTTATTTCAGGGGGCTGTATTGGGTACAGGAAAAAGATAAGGACACCGTATGTTTTGTGATATTTCCATAAACTCAAATCCCATAATAGACTGGAAGGAAACATAACAGCCAAATAGCCAAAAATGTTTCCATTCACACCTGTTCCTTTCCCAACCAAAGCTTTATAAACCCAACTACTCAGAGTGTAGAGAAGTGACCAATTTTTTGGACAGTCAAGGTGCAGTTGTGGGCAAGCTGCTTAGTAAAGTTTAGTCCGCTAAGTTTCCAGTTACTTAATACTACAGAATGGCTCCCATACACTGAAGAAAGCCCCAGAGAAATGGAGCAAAGTGAGCTCCAGAAGCAGTCCATGATATTACTCAATGAAAACTAAAAGGTATTCCAGTGTTTGACTGAACTGTCAGTCAGACCTAATTCTAGTTTTACCTACATTGTTGCTATTTTATGTTTGAATCAGCTGATTTCATTTTTCTGTTTTGTAATTTTGTTTTACTTCAGTTTAATCGGTTTCTTTTCATCTTCACTCATGTTCATCTCTCTGTCAGGGACACTCAAGCTTGGACATCTATAAATTTCTTTGCAACCGAGACATGGGTGGCATCAGCACAAGCATGAGTATGCAATATTACCATTAGACAGAGAGCTTTCGATGTAGCACAACAAGTCCGTTTATGGGAAGGCGTCACACACTGATCTGTTTCAGATCTGCTGTATATGACATTATTGCAGAAACAGCTGATACACTTATAATTAGAAGTATTTGTGAAAATCTGGCCCTGTGGTAAATAAAAGACACCATTTGCATCTGGACATTTGACGTCTACTTTTAAGTAAGTTTTAATTGAATTTTAAAAGTTGACTTCAGTTGTCTGTTATCATTTGTTTTGCTGCCACAGCTGAGCAGAGTAAGAGATTTTGTCTCTTAGGTTCAACTTTTTTTTATATGTTGAGCTGGAAAAGATCATGTATCTGATAGGTTTACCCTGTATAGCCTCTTTGAGAATCCTGACATGTTCGAGATAGACCAGGATTTCCAGGCCCCGGTATTTTCAAGAACTTGCCATTCACACATGCCCCTCACAGTGGGAGATTTTTTCTGTCGGACATGTTCTCACAGCTAGATTTATTTCTCTTGGTAGGGTGGGGGTGTCTGGGCAGCACACGCAGTCGGAGAAGGAGTCTTTTGTAATGGTGACTGTTTCTGTATTTATATTACTGCATGATCTGTGGGGAAAGAGCTCTCTGCAGCACAAACTCAACAGTAGAACTACAACAAAACACAGTAATTACAGCTGTGGGAAAAGTCCTTTCTTAATTAGCTGGCTTCCATATAATGGACTAAAAATTCATTAGTTGGCAATCACACATCCACACACACCACCAGCATAGATTAGTCAGGAGATTTTTGTCATCGTGATAAAGAAGGCTTATGATGATTTATAGATATTACTTTGACTGTTAAGATAGTTCACCTTTTTCCAGTCCTTTTTTACACGGGTAAAAAACAAATAGTTAATGTTTAAAAAAAACAACAACAGTGTTTTGTAAACACAAATATACCACCGGCCTAGTAATAGTAATGTTGAACCTGAGTGTGCACCAAAGAAATCCTGATTCAACAGCTAGTCAAAGATAAATGATATAACCAGTAATGTTGTGGCTGAAGTAATATGTGGAAATATCTAGTTTTCTTTTGATTTGGTCATGATCCCACAGTGGTTAATTGTACTTTGTAGACTTTTGCCTCATGATTGTAGACGGAGTGGTCAGCTTTTCCATGCTCTCTTTTTTGACGTCCCTCTACTTACTGCTGTTTCCCACCTGCTGGCTCTATATCACTCTCATGGCATGTCAAAGAAGGGAAAGTTGTTTCAGTAAATTTTCCCTTGCAGCATGGTCACTTTCGGCTCTTTAGCAGGACACTGACATGTGAAAATGCCACAGGAAAGGTAGTAAATCCCATTTATAGCACCAAATGTTGTTTTATTGCTTTTCGGACACTCCATACACTAAAAGGTTTTTGTTTGAAGAGTGTAAAACATTGTCACCCAGTTGTTTCACTTTTTCTGTGTGCCTCGTTTGCTAGATAACGACAGTACCAGCAGGTTTTAACTCCCCCTACCCCATTTGTTTCTTCAATCCTGTTTATTTACTTAGCACCAGCTGACTGAAAAACAAAAACAGATGTATTGTTCGGTGTTTCCTCGTGGTGGAGAAATCATGTTGTTAATGACAGTTTCACTTTTTTAGTGTTTGGGGGCCTGGGAAATGAGAATAAAAAAACAATGTTTGATTAACAGTTAGTGGGGATTAGGGGGATTATTTCCAATATAACAGTAAGCCTTATAGCATGTTAAAGTTGGTGTTATCTCTCCTGTGTTAAATGTACAGATTACAGAAGAGATGTTATCTCATTGGTGGGTGGAAGATTTTTTTTTCTTCTCTCCACTTAAAAGGAAATCGTATATTTATTGTGTCACCTTCTGAGGTTCACAACCAACTTAAGCATGTGTTCATTGCTGTGTTGACATTTGGCAGCAACTGTGGCTTATCTTGATGTTAAATGGCTGACAGTTGCATGACACCAGGCAGAGGTCTCTGGGTCCTCAGAGTCGTACTGGCCAAATTAGCATTTCTTTGATGGTTTAAGTCAAGTTTTGATGTTTCATGCAAAATATAGAATCCATCATTGGACTTGAAATGCAAACTCACTCAGTGTAAGACCTGATTTCCAGCTTGGAGCTTTGAGAAGAAAGTGGTCTCACCATTCTAAGACATTTGGCTTTACTTAAGGAACTCCATGGTTTCAGGGCCAAAACTATTAAATGCATTCCTTATCTACTTTAGCATGCACCCATACAGCACATGTTAACAAATAAAAATTTATGACCAGAATTGTACAGGCGTGTCTTCAATGCCAGAGGATATAGTTGTTTTTTTAAGTTAAACTCTTGGCTACAACAACAAAAGGTAACACAACTCCTTGACTTTAATTGTCATGTTTGTAATATCAAGTTTGCATAATTATACACACATAAAGGAGTACTTCAACGTTTTGTCATTGTGCATTTCCTGTACTGCTGAAGGATATTACAGTTTTCAGAAGTTACATAACGCTTGTCACCATATATTTGCCAATATTCTAGATGTGGTAGATACTCGTGTTCTCCTTCCAGCATTAAGTATTATGTCCTTGTGGAAAGTGTTTTACAGGTGTTGAGTTGGGGGACTTAACAGGACTATCTATCTGGAACAATAGCAGTGGACAGAGTTAAGGAGGCTTTAGAGTCTTTATGAACTGTATCACAATTGAAATATAGCAATGAGAAAAGAGTGTTGTCAAATATTTCCATCTGTATATATTTACCAATGAGATTTGCACATAACTTGAGACAGGCTTTAGTGAGATACACCAGTTAATCCTAAAATCATCACAGTTTCAGGTTTTGTTCTGGGCATGTTATAAATGAAGCTGTAATCTGATTCAGGTGCTGGTCTTCTAATGCGATGCATAACAAATGTTGGCTTGAAAAATGGTACAATGAGAAGCTGTGATATTAATTTCATGGCTTAATTACAGTGGCCTGGAAGTCATCAGTGGGTGGTCAGCTGTCTAATAATGCAACGGGACCATTAAAAAGCATGTTCTCATGTTCTGTCATCTACACATTACTGCAGTATCTCACCCATGAAACTGTGCAAACTGTGTACTGACTTATTCTGCAGAACCACCCTCAGTTTTGTGGCTGGCTTTGTCAGAAATTTTAAGATTATCTAGAGAAATAATGACTATGTTACCGACCCAAATAGACCCTGGCTCTAGTACATTTCAAAGTGAATTTTGGATAATAATTAGTCAGTGCAGTCCTGAAACGTGTGTACTTGTGGTTAAAAGTACAAAAGAATGATCATTTTCTGTCCATCCACTTTTGCATGGAAGAAAAACAAGCAATAGTTAAATTGATGAGATTTGACTCCTTGAACAATAAACATGAGCAAACATTTGTACTACAATGACTGAAAAACTTTAAGAAAAGCTTGTTTTCATATGTTCCTTAATGCCTCAACATTTGATCTTGTGGAATTAAAAGAAGTTTTGGTATGGGTGCAATCTAAATTTAAAGGGTTGTTCCTGTAATATTGATGAAATGCACTGTCCCTGTAGTAATGATAAGTTCAGGCTGCATGAGTAATATTGAAAGGGGACTCAAATTTAGGGCCTTTGTTTTAACATGTGTAAGTGTAACTGTACGTGTGTTAAAACAAGAAAACAAAGAATAAAGCATGACAGTTGAGGATGTGTTAAAATTTCTCTGGAGCGAAGTCATCAGAATGGCCAGCACAGAGACGCAAGCTCTTCATGTAGAGCCAGTGGGCTTTATCTCATCTCATATGATGGACTTTGCTAATGTGTCACATTCCCTGCAAAAGAAAAGGAGTTGTGTCCTCTGTTTCTAAATTTGTAGGTTTTAAGTCTCCATCTTTTTTTCTTATCAGAAAAACAATGTGAAGAATATATTTACTTTACAGGTGCATGTATACAAGCAGAAATATTTAGCAATAGGTAATGGTCAGGTTTAAGAGTAAATGGCTTCCTTGCCCTTCTCCTGAAGAAGCTCATGTGATGCATGATTTGATCCTCTGTGACAGGAACCAAGAATTGCCACGTTTCACCGTAGAACATCTTTATAATTTTGCACAAAACAACAACTTTCTTCTTCTTTGTTTTCCAAACTGCGTTTGGTGCTTTCATTCAGCAAACAAAGAAATGGCTGTGAATAGTTTGTTCTTTAGAAGTAGAGACATGGCGGCGAAAGATTAGACTACCAAAGCTTTGATGCCATGCTAGAATGCATTGAAAGCATGTTGCCCTCCTGATTTAACATTGGGAGAGCAGGGGTCCCAGAAACTGACCCCCTTTTCTAAGTCCCTCACAGCCACTCCGGTCTCCTCTGTTAGGCCGATGCCAACAGCTGAAGCCTAGGGAGATTGTAGCATGTGTGCTCACCCTAAAGGCATTTCCCTTTGCCCATCAGTTCAGAGAGCCAAAATACAAGAAAAAAATTCTTTACCAGGTGAAGCACACCCCTATGTGAAGAGACAGATAAATATGAAATTAAATACTGAAAGGTTTATTGACTGTGGTGGTAAGGATTTAGAGGTTGTTTTTTCCATCCTCTTCAGTTCTATATGATCTGAACTTAACAAAGTCCACCACAGTAAGTCATTTACAGCCCTTATAGTGTCACTTTAGCACACATCCCCACAGCTAAAGAATTGGATAAGTGTCTAAATGACTAATCAACAAGACTGAATCAAATTAAGTTGTTGCGTGGGTTCGAACTGCTTAAGATCTTGACTCAGAGAATGACTCTTATTTTACCATAACTGTCACAAGTGTACACAGCAGGCTTATGATACTGTTCAAACTGAGCAGCTAAATTTGGTCTTGATGATTCTGGACTGGACTAGTTTTCAAGAGTTTTAGATAAATCTGTGTCTTATTATTATCAGGAGGTTTTGTTTGGTTTGTCTGTGGATGCTTGTGGTTATAGAAGCAACACACTAGACATGCAGTTATCATTAAAATGGAATTGCATTTCTGCACAATTATGATATGAGTCTTTGATTATGATGTTGGTACCTACCTCTGCTTTTCAAGGTTTCTCACTTCATGCTGCACAGTTTTATAGAACTAACAGTTAAAAGAATTTTAGTATTTACTATTTCCACAAGAGTTTTATTCCTAAAGGATATTCTCACAATGGCAGCACTTATTCAGAGTTGTCTTGAATTTGAATACTGAATCTTACAAAGTAATTGCAGTAGTTGTTGTCTTTTTACACTGTTGACTTGTTTGTTAGATGTGTTAATACTCATTTAACTTGGTGCTTGTCTTGTAAGCAGCATGTGTAGTTCCTAAAATAAGCTTGGATGTTTGGATAACAGATCCAGATTTATGGGTCCGGGGTCAGAAATGTCTCTGAGAGAAATAGATGTTGTATTCTTTCGTAAGCAGGAAACTAATCACAGCTGAGGACTGTTTTCAACAGACTCATGAACTCTTTAAGTGGTTTCTTACACTTTCTCTTTCAGGCTCACTCTTCTGAATATCTTTGACCATTTGTGGCTAAAAGTGTAATGAAGCTTAGTGATTTGTGGGTGGTCTTAAACTAAAGGTAGACATTTGATAGGGTGGGCTTATATTACTTTTTTTTAGTCCATTTCTATTTGATTTTCCATTTCTGATTTGAAAGGAAAAGTGGGCTGAGGCAGTAGTTGGTAGAGGTTTCTCTTAGTCAGGCACATTCAGAACATTAGCCATGCTGAGGATACCAAATGGGCAGTGTGTAAATTATCACACATGCCATGTTCTGCGCCCAGCCCTTAGCCTCACAACCTTTTTTTAATCAGCAGGTGTATTTTGTGTACTTGGTGGGGAGGGAGAACGACCTACATCAATGGCAATTGATAGAAATGTCTGACTTCCTCTGCCAACTAAGTAAGTAGATATACAGGGCTGATGACAGGTAGAGTTGTTGACGATTCAGTCGCCTTGTGTCCTGTGTCAAAAAAAGGAAGGAGAGGATGACTGATGAAAGAATGATATACATTAGCAAGACAGTAAAAAACCACTAATGCACATCAAAACAACCCATTTCCATTTAGTACTTGATCCTCAGATTCTACGCTGCACAGATTCCACAAAACTATGACACAGATTTACGTCCAGAGGTTAGATTCAGATGGGCTCAATATAGTAGCAATCAAAAGAGTGACTCACACAAGATCACTTTGCTACTGGTCAGAAACAGTAAACCTGTCACTTAGCCAAACTCATGGTATAATTTGATCGTTCATCCCTGTATCAAGATTTAGCACCCCAACTAGACTGGTGTTCCATTAGGAGTGTTTCTTAAAGATGTGCAGGTTTTTAAGAGGAATGGAAATATGATCGTAACAAATTAGAGAGTGGTCATGGTAAAAATGATGTTATTTACTAAAAAGGCAGACTGTGCAGAGCTTTTGATACTGCCTTTGGTACTATTGATTCCTTTTACCACTGAAGCTAAAATCCTGAACATTTTTGATAATATCATTCTTATCCTTGCCATTGTTTTAATCAGGCTTACACACAAATGACTACAGCCACAACAAAAGTTTGGCTGTAAATATCTATTTGTTTTTGTTTAAATCACATCTACTTAAAAAGAACCTCTTTTTCTAACAACATGGTTAAGGATGCCTGAATTACACATTTTTCTAACCTTGTTTCTACTTCTCGGTGTTTGTTTGGTGATAGTGTTTCTCCTCCTGCCCTCTTGCCTCTATTTCATCAGTGAACAGTAGCAATAATTTTCTGTCCTTCATTGAAAAAACCAACGACATACATTTAAACATTACCCTCTTCTCCTCACCCTCAACCAGTCCTTAAAAAAATTTGCTGAAGCCGTATAACTCTAGCTGGACTCTGAGGTCCTCTGATCAGGGTTTACTGGTTGTTCCTTGGACCAGACTTCGAACTAGAGTCTGTGCATTTGAGGTGTTTGCTCCTAAACCTTCGAACTGTCTCCCTCTTGAACTGAGAACTGTGGACACAGTGGATGTTTTCAAAAAACAGTTAAGGACCCATTTGTTTAGACTTGCCTTGGTTTGACCAGGACTTGGCTGCTGGTGTGGTATTTATTTATGTTAATATTATGTTGTTTTATCCTTTTAATTGATTATCATGAAGGTCTTTTGACAACTGTTCTTGGAAGGGATATAAATAGAGTAATAATAATAATATTATTGTTGTTGTTGTTATTATTATTATTATTATTTTTAATATAGAAAAAATCTTCTAGTCCTGTTACCACTCAAAGCACTATCGTACTAGATGTCACATCTACCCATCAACACTGCATTCACACACAGATGGCAGAGGCTGCTATGTGAACTGACCATCAGTATTAACTAATCTCATTCAAACACATTTACACACTGCTGGCTATGCCACTGGGAGCAATTTGGGTTTCAGTGTCTTGTCCAAGGCATGTGGACTGTGGGACCTGGGATTGATCTCCCATCCTTCTCACTGAGAGATGACAGTCTACCACTGAGCCACAGCTGTCCTCATTGAGCAATGGCAGCAAGTTCATACAACATTAGTCTTTACTTTTTTTCGTTTTTTGATAAAGCCAGTTCAACTGTCATGAGTTTTTATACCTACTTGGTTATTTCACCTCTAGATATTAAGGGTCTGTCATTTCTTTTAATATGTAAAGGGGATGATTAATATATTTTTTTACAAGTCGACCCTCTCTTGTTTTCATACCTATACCATACCACAGTGTGTATAAAGAGGTATTTGCCAGTTACAACATAAAAGTTTGATGTTTGTTTACACTCATTTTACTTCTTTTGCATGTTAGGTTTGTAACGTGCACTTTACCTAACTAGTCAGGTAGTTGGTGCTTTCACAGGGATGTCTCTGACTATCTTTCAGTTTAGATTATCACACAGCTCCAATAGCAAATCTCTACAAATGTTATATGTTTAGTCTCACGATTGCATTCCACCGCCCGCTGAGCACAGAGGCATGGCTCAGTTGTGGAGCACAGTGCAGCTGCTGAAATGGTAGAATGATGCCAATGTGGCAGGTGGCAGAATGAAGTTAGATGTGAGTGTCTGTTTTTCATATTAATCATGCATATACTCAGTCATGAAGGCTAACTAATGGAGTTATCACTTTTGGTCTTAGTCAGTACTATTCCAAGTCAATACAGTGGAGCATAGAAGTTTACCAAACAAAACCCATTAGGCAGAGTCTCCTCTCAGTTTGACATCACAAACCCTGTATTTATTTCAACAAGCACTGTGTGCAGCGTCAGGGAAATTAGTGGTTGTTCTTAGTAATGAGAAGATGAAAAAAAAAATTTAAAACAGTCTTTCTGTAATGTATCATGTGTTGACCTTTTGGTTGTAAAACTTAAGATGCAACTCTAGTATCTTAGATTACATTCAAGAGCACTTGTAATCTAAACAGGTAAGTCTCATCCTGCCTTGTCACTTAGTCTCAGCTTGATTCACTCACCCCATCCTGGTAGCACCTATTTCCGTCTCTGGTGGTGCATTAAAATGGTTATTAATATCCAGTTTAGCCTATAACTGCACAGGGTATATGTGCATACAGCTGAATCAAGGTCTTAATAATTAAAAGCTGCCATAACAAAACAAAACCCAAAGTGGGGAGTCTAATTTCATGAGTGCCTGTTATTTCTAAACTGGGATCCACAGAGAAATCCCTTGATAGTCATTACTCTAGGGCATAGCCAACCCATTTTGTCCACTGGCTTTCAAGGGGATTTCTCACTTACACTGGAGTTTTTTAAACAGATTTTTCTTTCTCTTTTCCTCCTGTACTGTTTACTTGACATTTTGGGGGTTCTGCAGAGCAGCTGTTGGAAAAGTTGCTGACTCCACTCGCTTCTATTGTTTGTGTAATTTGTGCTAATGGCTATTTGAGCAGCCTGTGACATCAGCAGCTTCCTGGTGTGAGACATGTTGAGCCATATGGCTGCAGTGCTGTCCCTGCCTCTGTCAGATCTTTATCAGTTCACTTGAACAGTGTGTGTCTGTCTGTGTGTGTGAGTGTGAGTGTGTGTGTGTGCGTGTGCGTGTGTGTGTGAGTGTGTGTGTGCATATGTGTGTGTCTGTGTGTGTGAGAGAGCATGTATTTAGGTATGTAGACTGATTGATTCTTAAATGTTTGCACAAGTCTCTTACTTTTTCATCATGTCAACACAACCATGTGCCTTGTTGAATGCTTGTGCGTTTTAGCTTAAAAAGTAAAAAAAAAGGGGACATTTTTTGAGAGATAAGCATTTGTGACCTACTCTTGTCTTTAAATATCCTCTTTTCTCTGTCCGATTTTTTGCCAGCAGCACCATGTTTGGAGGTGTGGAATGTGTGTCTTGGTTTGCTATCATTTTCAATCACATGCTTGATGTAAAATGAGAATTGCTAGGGGGAGAAATCTATGCCATCCCTTCATACCACTGGATTGGCACTGTGGGTCAGGCGCATGGATTAGCTATAGTGTAATTTCCCATGTTGGGGGAGTAACCATGCGGAAGCTGAGGATGTATTTTGAAGAATTGCTGTAACAACATTACTTAATATCCCAATACAAAGACGTTGAAATCAAAGCTTTGGGTCAAAAAATATAACACTGTTAAAAAATAAAAGAAAAAAAAAAGAAAAACAGCAGCAAGATGACAGCTTAAAAAACATAATACTTTTTTGCGTTACGTTTTAAATGGCTGGAAAAAAAAATCAAGTCACTGCAAAATTGAGTGTAACTTCAAGTTGTCAGCTCAATGGATGACTTAGTTTTCCAGGTTAAAAGCCATTTAAATTCTGATCTAAAATGTGTGTATTTTAAGAGATAAGATAAGATATACCTGTATTAGTCTCACAGGGGTAAAATCCAAGATTATAGCGGCATAAATACAAATACAAAATAGAAATTAAAGGATAAAGAAACTTAGAGTCAAAAAAGATAAGTTCATAAGTCTTGTTTACTATATACATGTGTAAATTATATACATATAAATATGGTTTTAAGTCAAAATTATCCAAAGTTAAAACTTCAGTATTGAAAAGTGCTATATTTAGACCAATATTACTTACTTATATACTTTTGACAAAACAAGAAGGAGGAAAAATAAGAGCTTTTTATTTCTCAAACTATCTGAGATGCAAGAACACCACCAGAATTCAGGGTTTGTAGAGGTAACAACTGTGGGGGTTGAGCTCTTAAAACCGAGTGATGTACACTTAGCTAGACAGAGGTGCATTCTCAATTAAAAGGTATATACACAAGAATAAGGATTTGCCCTTCAGAGACTCCAATATCCATGATTCTTACCCTTTTCTTAAATGATTGGCCTCCAGTTAAAATCGCATAAACAAGTTGTAACTTGAATTCAGTTTCAAAAGTTTGATATTTTTCAAATTTAAGATATGTGATGTCGAGTAGAAGAAGCCCAGTTGAAGAACTGTTCCTAGGAATCAAAGAAACTTAGTCAGGTAAGAAAGGAGCAATCCTGCCATTGGTTAGAATGTCAGAGGGTGGGATTAATCAAACAGCTTTGAATGGTATTTGTAAGTAGGATAGTGGTGACAGATGGTAAAATGTAAGACTTGCTGTGGACAGAGATGGAGGAGAATTGGAGTAAGGGAAGAGCAGAGGAAAGGGGGTACTGATAGGAGGAAAGGAGTGAGAGAAGGATGGTAGGAGGGGTTGTGGGACTCATCACTACGTCACCTTGTACACGAATATAGCTCTGATGTTGCTGACTGCTGTTGGGGAAGAGACCAGCTTGATGTCCCATACTGTACTCTACCGTCATCATAAATAGAACGAACAAGCTAGAAATGTCTGTTTTCTGCTATGAGAACTGCAGAATTTTAGAAGGACACTTATTTGTTGGTCTCATATGTTATTTGACAGCAAAGTGGCAGCCAATGAAATTGAAATTTACTGCCTACTCGAGGATAGCGGCTATAAATAACTCTTTCAGAGCAGCAGGAAAAATGGCTGGTGAGGCTAAGTTGTCAAAGCCAACTCAATCTCCCCCTCTGACTCCTTATTTTACTTCACCTCTGAGTCTTGTGACACTTACTTTGCTTGAGTTCCTACCTGACTAGTATATCCCTAATCGGACATATCACTTCTAATGGGATTTTTCTTTTTTTCCTGCTTTTTACTGGATTTGCTCACCATTTTCCTGTACTTCATCCTTTTACTGTGGTTCCCTGTTCCACAGTTTTTTCTGATAGTCTGACGGATTAAAATACTTTTTTTGTCAAACTCGTGACTACTGTAATAGGAGCTGTCGCTGGTGAAAGTTTAGACTTTCCCTTCAGTCTGTGTGGCCTCCATCCTTCTTTTGCCGACCGCAACTCTGACAAGCCAGATGGCTCTCTGATGTCACTCTGTCCAAAGTCCAAGAAAGCTGTTCAGAGACTCAGTCACCTGGACCCCAGCTCTCAGCACCTTGTTTGACACTCAATGTCAGCGGATTCCAGGTAACTGGAGGGCGTTTCTTAGCCCTTGTCAGCACTCTCAAATCAAACTGACATCGTAACACTTGATAGGCAAGAAAAGATGGGCAAGTGTTGATAATCTGTCAGAAAAATTGTAGTGCTAGAATTTATGGTTTACATTGGATGGCTGTGCTAGTTTACTTAAGCATATTCTTAAAAGGCCTGTGCTTAATGATTTTTTTAGGGAAGGCATATAACCTACACTTTTGTGTTTTATACAGTTCTATTGCAGCTCTTATTTGTTTTGTCCTCCAAAACTGAAGTCACCACGCTGGTATGTTATATCTCAAGAAACACCCTAAACAAGTGTCCCCTTATCAATCTTAGCAGGCAAAATCTCATCAGAGCTCTGGAGGGTAACCATGGTTTTTCTGTGTGCAAAAATCCAGAAACATGTTGGTATGCTCTTAAAGTTCCACAGTTGGTTGGCAGCTGTCAAGTGAGAAGTCTACTTTGACCTGTACGTTTCTCTTTGACCCCAACACTGTCCTAATGGTTGAAACAAGATCATCTTCAGCTATCTCGTGTACGAAAGGAGTAGAGAAAAAAAATGTTTCTCAAGCTAGAGCTTCTCAGGGTTAAGTTGCGTGACCCTAGCTTTAACATGTGTTTGTATGTGATGGGGTTAGAAACCTAATGTCAGGCATGTGAAATTAGACTTACTGATTTGACAGTCATAGGTTATGGTTGGGTACATGAGATTCAAGTTACCACACAAATTTTAGTTTAGCTTTTGATATCTCTACATAAAACTCCATGACTGATCCCAGCATAAATCTGACCCTTTTACAAGCATCACCATGCCTAGCATGAATCAAAGTGATGCTTTATGGCAGACATACCGGTCTTATGGTGGTCGTGAGGGGCTAGACCGTATGTCTCTGTGGCCAAGATGTTTCACCTATTGCTGGAGCACCATAAATCAGGGACCATCCCCTTTTGCAACAGTGCCAAATGCGGAGCAAGGCAAGCCGACCCTGCTTCCTCGCCCCTTGAGGCCATCTCTCATGGCATGATGGTGGCTATATGTTGACTGTGCAGGCTGTGGATACATGTCTTATTTGTTGAAAAGTTAAATTAAGGCTCAGGAATGTTGGTATCTGATCCATTTGGGAATAGAGCACAGGGTGCATGGCTTCTCTGAAACACTGTCCTGAGTCACATGCTGACTCAAGGCAAGCCACATTCATGTGTCTGTCTGAATCACAAACTCCATATGATTTGTAGGTTTGTGTTTTGCTACAATTATTCCGTCTATCCATGCAGCACAATTAGAAAATCCATGTCTGAGGAAATAGGAATATCTTATACTTAGTTGCTAATGGGCACTTTCATCCTATTCCAAAGCAGATGTCAGGGGCCAGACAGGGTATGTTCAACATTACCTGAAAAATTAATAAGAACTGCCATTTCATCACACTGGATAAGAACGTGATCAAAATGAGTACAGTGCCCTCATATGGCAGGCTGAAGCACCTCTGACAAACCTCCTGGGACCAGTTATGGAAAAATATGGCACCCCCTTGTGGGCTGTTGAAAAAGTGCTTTAAAGATACCTAAGCAGTATGAGTGTGTGTGTGCCCTCCATGTCCCCCTTTCAATGATCACCAGCCGCTGTTCCAGTGAAAGCGTACTGGAGATCTACTTGACAAAACATACAAATTAAAATACAACAAATATTAGAAACGTGTAAGTGTGAAATCTTAAGAAAAAAAGAAAAAAAAAAAGAAACAAGAAATTAAGTTATTTTCCTGAGTCAAAGTCTTTCAACTGCCAAAGCCGTGTTTCAAGCTAGAGCCTTAGATCAAGACTCACAACCACAGCTATCAACAATTACAGCAGCCACACACACACACACACGCACGCACGCACGCACGCACGCACGCACGCACGCACACACACACACACACACACACACACACACACACAAAAAAAAGCTAGCTCAAATGAAGCATCTCAAATCTTCAGACATTTCAGCAGTAAACGTTAGTTAACTATTGAAACTTAATTACACATACACACAACAAAACACAGTTACATTACTTTTCTATCATTTTACAGAAACTTACTGTTATATAGATATTTTCAAATATTTTATCTGTCAGTAATAGGAATTTCAGTCTGAAAAACAGAAATTAGATTATAATGTAATTTAATATGATAGTCATTCTAAATGTACAGTGATCATTCAGAGTCAAATTGAATGAGTATTTGTATAAGTGTTGGACAGAACATATCATTGCTGAATGTGGTGTTACTTGTCAGCCCACGTAAAAAAAGTAAATAAGCTGACACTTAAAACTTGTTTTGGATGTTACTGATTTAGAAAGTCCCCCTTGACATGAGTTAAATAAGTTTATATGAAATTTGATCAAAAGAGATCAACTTAACCGCAGAAAACTTCAGTAATATACATTTCTGCTAAGCATTAGGACAACGCAGGCCTTCAGTATAAGCCAGCTAGTTTTTTCGTTTCTTTTTGCCGATTGGGCACGTTGCTAACAGATGGAGTGACCATAAATCTGCCGGGGGTTACCTTCCTGCCAGTGGACTGCCTGTGTGCGTCGGTAAAGCACTGATTTACAGCTGTTTAAATCTACAGATACAGTCGAACTTCACAGAAAAAAAAATAGCAGAGAGTATAACTTGTAGTTGATTAGAGAGTCAGCTCACATATTACTTGTTGTGAGATAATTGTTTTTAAGGTCTGTTTTTCATTTGGCTTTTGTTTTGCTTTTAATTAAGACTAATATTGAATTGATTGTTGTTGTTTTTTTAAATTGGATAAAATCAAGATATCTATAGTGAGATTAAAGAAATGGAAGAAAAATAACAATTCCTTACATTTGTAATTTTATTGCCATGCTTAACAAGTGTAACCTTAAAAACTAAACAAAACCCAATACATTAAATCAATGCTTTTATAAATATAGAAAAAACTGAAATTACTTGTTGATTCTGTAAACATAAAATTGTTTAACATTAGTAAAATGCATTGAAAAAGAAAGAAAGAGCTAATCAATATATTGAATAATAATTTAATTATTAAAGTACTAAAACTCTCATTCTTGTCTTTGGATATGAATGTAGTTTTACAAAATAATTTGAGGTGTCAGTTTTTTACTTGATCCGTTTTTATTGTCATTTCTACAAAAAAAATGTGTCTAAATTTCTCTCAGCAGTAATAACTTATTGCACTTATGTCTGAATAAAATCATTCTGATCTTATACAGCTTTCTGGTTCAAATTTTTTTTTTAAAGATATATATATATATTTTTCTGAAGTATCTCAAATTTACACATAGCCAAATGAAGAGCAGAGTTTTCTCAGAAATTACTTTAAAGGATTTCTTAACAAAATGTCTAAACTGGATATTTGTACTTTTTTTATTTGTAAAACTTGATAAGAAATTAAAATCTAACTGACTTTTTCTGCGTTTTTCAGTGGATATTAATTGTTGTGAGAATGTAGACAGAATAATGGCATTACATCTTAACAGATTCAAAAATAAGCCATCCATTATTTATTATTTTTTTCTACTTTTTTCTTTTATTTTTGTATTTGAATTTTAGAAAACTTGATTGTTTCTGGGCATTATTCTAATTCACACTGGAAAACGCTTCAAATTATTTGAACAAAAAAAACAAACAAACAAACAAAAAAAAACTGATAACCAAAGCACTGTAGACATGTTGACGTGACAAAGTTATTTTATCCTATGCATGCTCAGCACCAATAAGATAAAACATAAACCAGTGTGGGGAACATATCCGTCTCACAAACTTAACAACTGTGAGTCATCTATTGTCTGGGGTTTTCATGACAGCCTGCAATTTATAAAATAGTGAGGCATTAAAATTAACTTATTATGTGTGTCATTGCAAAAGGCTGTTTTAGTTAAAGGTCATCAGTAATCAGTCATTTTGCTGTTTACTTTTGCTCTAAATCCTACTCTTAAACTTTGTGTGAGTCACACTGTTGCCACTTATACAACAGTTTTACACCCACTAAGCATTTAAAGACTCTCTTTGCCTTGGTCTACCCCCGTCCTCACACACAGGCTGACCACTTGTGACTTCTTATCACATGTGTCTCCTCTGCCTGTCCAGTGGTCACTAACACACGGAACAGCGTCACTCACATACACTCACATAGGGTGAAGACCAGTGGCAGTGATGTTATGCTAATGAACATGTGCTAGCATTAGTCGTCATGTTAGAGGGTAGAGACATACGTCAGTCTCAGCTGCTGGGCAGAGTTTAGGCTATAGGGAAGCAGTGCAGAGTTTAGTATCAGAGGTGTTAGTCCGACCTTCACAGCCTGTCTTTTCAAGGTTAGTGCATTTCTTTCAAACTTCCAGGTGTGCTTTTTGGTATACGCTATTTGGAAAGTATGTGTTGGAAAGTCTTGACAGCTGTATGCTAGTGGGTGTGTGCAAAGACTAGTCTGGATTTATAACTGTCCATGGTGCAGCTGCAGTGTAAGAAGATTGTGGGATCTTTGCTGGATGGTGTCACTGGAGTCAGTGGAAGACTGGATTGACTGGATTTAAAGCCTTCCGCTAATTTGTTACTTCCCCCAATGAGGCTCTGTGGACTGATTTGGCCCATGTGGTGTTTTGTTTTGACTACGAAGCTGCCTTGGAGCTTGAAAGTGTGTGTGTGGGTCTGCGTTTGCTGTGACATACTGGGCTTTCAGGCCTGTAGGCATACAACTCTTAACATGTAGACTGAGATTGAGTTTTATAAAGATTTAATCAATCATTGTGTTTTAACGTTCATCTGAGATGTTTGTCATTTTTTAAAGGTTAAATGTAGTGATTTTCTTTGAAATATTAGCTGCAGTGATTATACTTCTCAGTAATAATTGTCATCAACTGCCACTAAATGTTCTCATTTCAAAGCTGCCTGTGGTCTCATTGTTGAGTATTAGGAGACTGATTTATATATTTCATTTTATAGTAACCATATTTTTTCTATAAACTGTTTTAAAATTGAGGCCTGACAGTGAGCTGTGTTGATAAAAACAGTGGCACTTTTTTTTTTCTTTTCTGTGTAATATTGTGTTTGAGAGTATTTTGGTCAGCAGGTTAAGAAAGCCTTTGTGTAGAGCGATTTTAGCTTAATGCTCAAACAGCTACAGTCTGCTTTAAAATTGAGCTTGATGCTTGATGAGAAATGTTTCTTTTTTTATTTGCAAAGTTAAATCATGAATGTTTTACAAACTTGCCGCAGAGACCCTTGCTTGTTTAAGTACAGGTGTTTAAAAATGATCTCTTGAGAGCAAAATTTTACACTTTAGTTTCTCATTTGTGAAACTTTTGAATTAAGAAAAAGATGATAAGCATGGTCCAGCAGAATTAGCAATTCACATCACTGAACCAGAGTGGGTAAGATTAACATGAAATTGCAGGCCTAACTGTGACATAAACTAGGGTCATATAAACAAAGCCTAATGACATGACCTATATCATAATTTGTCCTCCTGCACCATGTCTTTAAATATTTGTAAGAGTCTTTAAAATGAGGCTTAATTCAGAGAAGTTAAAACAATACAATTTGAAAAACTTTCCCACTGACAAAGATGCAGATCCTAGGCCAGTTGAGAGGCTTGTTGAATAGGGTATTCAGTGTTTTTCAAAATATTTCATGAAGACAGTTTTTGTAAGCATAAGGGAGATCATTGCTCGAAAGACATGTATTTTTTTTTGTATGTATGTCTGACTTTGCTGAAATTACTTGTCTTTTTCTTCATAAGAACTTGTAAAATTGCTCCACTATTCTTTAACCTACTTTCAGCTGCTTGCTTCCCTTCATTTAAAGAAATTACAAATACACATTGAAGAAAACCTTATAAGGATGGCTCAAACATTGTAGTCATAGTTATCAATTTTTCAAATGAGTACATGTTGCCAACATCCTAATTCAGTAGATCTGTTAAAAGCTTTTAAAGCCCTAATGTGCACAAATTACTTAGTTCATGAAATTGTTTTCCAACGGTGTCTAAGACAGTATAATATTATTTATTTTGTGTTGTATACAACACATGCACCGTTTGATGCTCGCTCTGTCTTGCCCACATAATTCTATGACAGATTTCAGCTTGTGCTTTTCATTGTTAGAGGACTTAATAATTATATTTTTAACCTTTATTTAATCCCCTCAAGTCATGTAGGTTGAAATGAAAATGCCAAAAGATTAAAATGTTGTTTAAAATTAAATCCGCTGTTATTGTTTAAAAGAGACTGGTGCACTTCTGTGACGAACATGAACTAATATGAGATTATTCAAACACTGTGACGTTTGTTTGGATTCAATTTATTGACGTTATAATTAGCAAGCTTTTCTTACTTGTCATCCACTTCTTTTGAATCCCATGATGCCACTCTGTAAGACTCATTACCAGTCGCAGTTTATTTGACACCTATATTCCCTATCTTCATCATGAGATTGGTCTGAAGTGTTAGGCACACTGTGCCAACTGCCTAAGAGTCCATATTAGTCTATCAAGGACACTGTGTGTCGGGATGGCAGAGGGCAGCTCTGGTATTTATAGCTTTGAGTCATAAGTTGGAACAGCATAAGTGTATCACTCCATCAGCAAGCTTGCTCACTTAATAAGTTTCATATAATAGGCTGTGAAAACTCGGGACAGTCAATTGTCTAAAGTCAGTCAGTTGCAATCATTTAGCCAATTTTAAAAAATTGAAGCATGAGTGTGTGATTTGTGTAATCATTTTGTTGGTGACCATATTCTGAATCTCCAAAAAAGAGGACATTACTGTGCATTGCGGAGAGTTGTGTGCGCAATTTTGAGGGGTCCGAAAGATCAGGTCAAGTGTTTTATAAGCTTTTTATCTAACTTAGTTAAACACATAAAAGACATTTATGCTTTTTTTCCATCTTTTTTTTTCTTGGGGGGCGGGGGGGGGGGGGGTATTTTAGCTCATCTTTTTTTTTTTTTTTTTTCACTGGTAGAATCAGGCTTCCTTACAAACCCTGGACATTTAAAGATTTTATAAACTCCCCCCCGGACAGGCTGGACAGCCCCCTGCAAAATCATGATTCATAAAAAGTGCACACTTTTTCAGTAATTTACTTCTTCTTATTCTACTCTTAACTTTTGATACATTTTTTTTAATAGTGACTGTGATTTAGAGTGGGAAGTGCAAAGTGATTTCAAGTCTTAAGGTTGGTAAGAGCCAGATATTGTCCTGAATATCTTAAAGTTGCGTTATAACACGTTTAATATAAAACATACTTTAATATGATTTCACATTGGAATTTAGTTTTACCCTATTTTATCTTTTAAATTATAGATTTGTAACATTAGTAGCCCCACTGTCATGCTTATGTTCGCTTCATTAATTCAACTTCAAATGTACTAAGGAATGTCTCGATAAGATACAACATGAATTCTGAATTCGAGTTCTGGTCGTGACTGTCATAAAACAAGAAATACTAATAAAAATAAAAGACATGGATACTAGCATCACAAAAACATTACAGACAAACAAAACACACCAAACTGATAAAAAGCATTAAAGGATTAGGGATAAAATAAATAGTAATTATTGGTCTTGTTAAGGGCACATTTGTGTTGATTTTTAATCTTTTTAAAGACAAGAAGAGAGGGAAATTAATGTCATTTGAGTATGCCTTATTACTCATGTCAGGCTTGAGGCTGTGGAGGGATACTACATTTTTACCCAGCTCTGCTTAGATGCATGAGCCTATGAGAAGGTTTTCACAGATAAAAATGTGTACAAGCTTCTAAACTAAACCAAATATTGACTAATATTAAGTATTATGTTTAACCAATGAAATTGTTGATAATTAAAAACATATAAATGTATCTTTTGACTTAAAATCAGAGATTGAACCATGTTATATGATAGACCAGATCGAGGGATTTCATGCATAAAAAGTACATCACTATAGTCTTATCCTAGAGAACAATCTGTTTTGGATTTCATTAGCAGTTAAGGAGAACAGATACTAAAGGTACTGATGATGAGATTACTGAATGAGTGTGATACAGGCCTAGATAAATACATTTTCATTGGGATGAAGTTTTGGAGACATGGAGTCTATTATTAGCTGTCGAGTGATTAATCTTAGCCTTTGTGTGTGTGTGGAGTGGGGGGCATTATACATGTTTTATACATGGATAACAAATCTTTTCCTCTCATATTCCAGGGTCCTTACTTTGGGCCCTTGGTGTACAGCAGGGCAGTTTACAGCTCAGCAGGAGTATGGGTAATAGTTATGAAATGATGAGTTTATGATGTGACAGTGTAATCGCAAGAACAGATCCCAGCTGCACAAGCCACTCCAAGACAGACCTGGTAATCCTTAACAAGATTCAGTTACACAAATTTATATTACAATATATAAATTGATATAAATACGACGAAAAAAAACCCAACCTTTTTTGAATAATCCATCTCTCTACATGTGCAGTACACACCCTCACTCAGAGCCGTCTCTGTAGACATGATCACAAATGATTATAGTGCCAGTATGTGCATGCAGATCTGGAAGTATATGAAATCTTTCTTTCTTTCTGTTGAACAGAGATGTGAGTAGATCTAACATAATGGCTTTGTTACCTCCCAGAATGGCTATTAGGACCAGTGGGTGAATAGAGTTGTGTCAGGTGCTTAACATAGATGATGTGATACATAGTTGGGTGGACTAAGTTTAGACAGCATGTGAGGACATCTAATAGAAATTGAAAGGACAGAGAAGTCAAACAGGGTCACAGCACAGACAGAGTTAGACACCCTCTCTCTCTTTAGCTCTTTTTTTTTATTTTACAAACATATCCTCTCGGGAAATTGGCTACCATGAAAAGAAAATCTGCTCAACATTAAATGCAGAGGTCAGAGACTAAATGCATGGTCTTTGATTTATATTGAGTCACCTATCCTTAGTCCTGTTGGTCTCTGCCAGCAGTCTTTCTGCACTCATTTATATACAGTCCTTGTGTAAGCTTAGTCCATACTCTAGGATATAAATAAACTGTCCCAAAGCAGAAACAATAGGTGTATGCTGTGATAGTTGGATAGACAGCGTGATTGAATTAGAACAGCTAGATAAAGCAACATTATGGGCTCTATTTTCGTTCGCGCCGGTGAGGCGGCGGAGGGCGGCGAGCCCCGCGCAGTTGTATTTTCGTCTGGCGGAGCCCGGTGTAAGGCGAGTTTGGTATTTTCGTGGACTGAGTCGCACGGAGGCGAGCCGAGATCCGCCAAGCTGGGCGTGGTGGCGTGGCAGGGGGAGGTGTTGACAGAATCAGCTGGCGCAGTGACATTTTCGTGCTCGCCACTGGCGTGTAACGTGCGCTGAAAGCTCGCCGATTCAAACCTGGTCAGCTTTCAGCGCAAGGCGGAACGCAGCTGGTCCAGTAGTATTTTGGTAGACCGGCGGCGTATCGACATACGTCACTGATGCCTCACCGGCAGGTTTCCACAGTGTCAGGCAGATTTCAGTGCAATAAATAATGATCAACAACTATTAATCTGAGTCAGCACATACATTTAGATCTATATCGATATATTCTGATCTATATCTGATCTGATGAGCGCGTTTGGCACGCGTTTGGACACACAACCTGACCGAATCAATACAGCTGAAACTGCATCAAATTAAATTAAATATCTAGTAAATAAACGCACATGATGAAGTTAACAAGATATGTAATGTGTCTCCCTCCTTTTCTTTCTTCCTCTTATTTCTCGCACAGCTCGACCTGGACACGTCTCCGTGTCCTCTGTCCGTCTTCCTGCTGCTGCTGCGGCTGAACAGATGATTTGTTTCAGTGCTCAGATGCGTGATCTACTTTAAGCCGACATACGGATATTATAATATTCAGTTTTGTGAGCCAAATTTATTTTATATGCCAACATCTATGAAAGAAAGAGCCAGGCCACGGAGCGCGATGCGTCATTTACGCACAGATGGTTCCGATTTTAATGCCTTTTTGGAGTTTATGTTGTGATCTGTGCGCTCAACCCACCTTTGTCACGTGAGGTTTGAATATATGCAACTTTATGTGAGTGTCTTTATTTGTGGAAAAGGGTGTTTGTCTTACCAGTGGGTCCAACATTACGCACACCAAATCCATCTGTGCTCAGATGAGAGAGTGTGGAGGACACTTGTTGAGCAGCTGCCCTCTGTCGCCATCGTGTGGCATAACTGTCTTCAGACATCTCTTGATCTCTTTGACTACTTCATGAAAATAGTAATACTCCTCGCCTGTGGCGGATTTAAAGGCGAGGAGAGGAGCTAATGTGATTGGTGAAAACAGGTCTCGGCTGTGTTAAACCCCCTCTCCTCCCCGTCTATGATTTATGCTGCCGGGAGGAGCTGAGTTAGGGAGGGGGGATACTTACGCCGGGCTGCGCGGCTCACCAAAATACCAAAATGTGCTTGGGAACGCCTTGTCAGCGCGGCGGATCTGATTGACTCTGCGCTTGCGGCACGTCTCCGGCGAAGCACCAAAATAGAGCCCTATGAGTTGCTTTGGATTGAAAAACTTAAATTAAAATGCTTCTTGTAATACACTAACTTGTTTTAAGTAGAGAATGAAGCCTTTTTTGTTTTTCCAGCAGTTATTACTTATTGATTTAGTTTGAATAAATACTGTCTTTTGCTTTGGGGGTACTGCTCCCCAGTAGCAATCACTGAAACCAAACCCTGAGTCTTTTTCTGGTCTTTTGTGCCCCTATTTACTGTCTCTTCCAGACTTCCTGTGTTAGCTGGCTGAGGTTTATTCATTTATACTACACATTTTTTTGCAGAAAATGCTTTTGCTGTGTAGACTCAGTCCTTCAGCATGGTCTGTCCCGTTCTTTTGAATAAACAAAATGTGTGAGCGGTTTTGAAATTCTCAGACAAACTGTTTTTTTTTCCATTGAGTGCTTTCTCTGAACATTGCATTAGATTTATGTTCCCTTTCATTCTGTTTTTAAAGTGCTACATGGATACGTTTACACTTACGTAGTCACTTGATCTGTAATATGATCATTTCTGAACATGGTAGAAACAGGGGGATTGAGGAGGAGGCTGACTGAGGAGAGTTTAAATGGAAAAAGAAAATATGACCTTGCAACAGGTTAGCTATAGTCTGACAGTAACAAGATGAACATATTTAAGATTCCTGAACTACCATACAATTTGTTTTTGTTTTACAGCATCAGTGCGGTGCCCTTGGACTGCACTGATAAGAAGGGCCTCCAGGTGGGGGGTCAGCTACCAGGCAGTGGGCAGGCAGGGCCTCAGCAGCAGAACCAGCAGCTTTTCCGGACCCCTGCCAGCCTCCAGCTTGCTCAGCTGCAGGCCCAGCTCACACTCCATCGCCTTAAACTGGCTCAGGGAGGCAATACAGCCAGTGCCGCCACGGCTCTTAATCAGGTTCTTTCTAATGTGGCCATGTCCCATCCACTGTTCAATCAGCTACGGACTTCAGCTTTGGTTGGGAACCCTCAGGGTGTACTTCCTACAGGGATGCTCGGTTTTCCATCATCAAATTCAACCTTAGGAGCCTTAGTGGGTGGGGGATTGAATCAAAACCCTGCAAATGTGAGACTAAACCATCCTGGTGGAGGGGGCCAGCAGGGTGTGGAGTATAAAAAATCAGGGCCAGCTTACCCCTCTGATACCGACAGGCGTCTTCAGTTCAGTGTAGTTGGGGGCACATCTGCAGCACCGGCTTCTGCCAATGAAGGACAGTTCTCAGTGATTAACACTCTGGCAAACAACATGAATAATGTTGGCTTTCAGAGAGATTTCTATGGGCCTGACATGCTGGGGCAACAAGCTGGGTTTAGTGTCAATGAGCAGAACATTAATCTTTATAACCCCACTGGGCATAAGGAGCAGTGGAAAGGCCCCACCAACTTGAGTCACAGTGGAAAAGTGGATATGGTCTCTAATGCTGCCAATGTGTGGACAGCAGCTGGGCAGCCAGTACGGTCCAGAACAGAACTATATAACCCAGAGGAGCCAACCCCTGACCCCAAGTTCAATCCTGCTAGTGGGGTTTCCTCTTTTGGCGCCCAGGTGTTTGGGGGTTACCCGAATGTGCATGGAAGTGAGGAAACACTATCTTCAGGTACTCGGACACTGCAACCTCATCAGGTCAATGATTACCACGCAGTCACACCCACTCAGCTGCCACATCAGTGTAGCATCTGTGACAAGAAGGTTTATAACCTCAAGGTGAGTGAAGAAATTTCTGTAAATTTCAATGAATGTATGTAAATGTATGATTGGTTTCTTGTCTTTAAATGTAGCTGTGGCTGTGGACCACCTGCTACAAAAGTCATAAATGTTTCTCAGCTCCTTAAATAAAATAAGACGATTTGAATTGAACAAGCAGGAAATCTTCCCGGTCAGTGTTGAGCCTTTTAGGCTCATAAAGATCTTTAGAGCTTAATGTCCTGCTTGGAGATAGGGGGAAAAAAATCAATTTCAGCCTGATGATAAATGGTACATTGGAGCACCTGTTAACATTTGTTTCCAGAGAACTTATCTAAGATGTCTCTGAATTTTCTCCCAGACAAGAGCCACTATGGGAGGGAAAGCTTTTGCAGACCTTATGTCCAGTCTGAGTCAGTGTTTAGATGGTGTCTTTGCTTGTTTGTTTGTAGGACTGGGACCAGCACGTGAAGGGAAAACTACACCTGCAGAACCGAACACTGTACAGAAATGATAAGTGAGTTTGTTACTTAATTAGACAAAGCTAACTCTATATTGTCTTAGAACCTGCTTTAGAAAAGTATTGCTGTGTTATGATTGTTTTGCTTAAGGTCTAGTTAAATCTGTTTTTCTTACATACCTTATCTGTGTTCAGTATCTGAAGATTTTGTTTTTCTTTTCCTTGCTCTATATCCAGCTGTCTTAATGTTTCCATGAATATGAGCTCTGTCACAAGATATGAGTGAGCAAGGCAGGGGAGAGGCAGCTATAATCAGCCTTCTATGATTGTTGCAGCTCTGCAGTTGTATCGGCTGGAGCTGTTCACTATGATCTTGGCAGGCCTTCGGATGGGGGTCTAAGCACCGGAGGCACAAACTCTATGGTATACTCTGGTACAAGTCAAGGTAAGATATCCCATTAGTAACAAGAAGTGACCCTGTTTGCTTGTAGTGTTAGGCTGTCATTTGTCTGGTCGTGGAACTATGTGAAACAGAGTTATACATCGAGATCAGGCAGTATTTTTAGAGCTGCGTGTGGGAATGAGGCACTTTTTTTCAAACTTGACACAATGTATTTTAGTACATCAAGCATGCTGTGAATTAAATGCTTTAAAATCCAGAATGAAGTGGACTGCGAAGCTCATCAAAAAGTTGTATTTGTATCAGTCAGTTGTTTCTAATATTCGGTTGAATTTTATCTACAAAATGACAAAGCTCATTACATGTCATGCTTTTCTGCCCTTCATTATATTGAACAGTTTTCCAATGTTTTATTCCTTTATTTAAACCTTTTTCCGAATCCCTGCAGATCTCACTTTTAATGATAAATTACTCAATGATAAACCACTTGTCAATGGTTGTAAACTGCACAATATAGGCTTTGTGTCTTACAGCTCATACACCTTGTTTAGAGCACAGCTATGAAATGAGTCTTTAAGCAGCCTTTTGTAAACAGATTAAATCAATTTTGACAATCACAATTATTAGCTTTAAAAAGTTTTGTGAATATTATGTAAGAAGAAAAAATTGTGTCTTCTTTGAAGAGGCTCAAAACAACTGTTGCTGCAGGAAAACTATGATTTCAATACTTAGAGCATATTCAGCTTTGTTAGACTGTAAAAATAATATTACACTTCATAAATCTTCATAAATTCAGGGAGAAAAGTTAGAGTTTAAAACATACACTACGTTTCCACTCAAGGCGAGTTTTTAGGTTTTGGACGTAAACACGAATGCCTTGCTGAAATAAAACCGCCACACTAATTCATATTTTCCAACAATCGAGAACCCAATTGCCAACTTCATCTGACTCACTGCCTGGATTAATTAGTTCTGGTGTGTGTGTTTTAGCCTAATATTCCAACACTGTGTTTTAAAAACATATAGTAAGACATAAAAAGTACCAATTGGTGTTGAATTTTAACAAAAATATATAATATATAATTGTAACACAGACCTGTGAAGTCAGCAAATGCAATTTTTTCCCACAATTGATTTGTTTCATGTGGCCAATTTTAATTCAATTTTGTGTTTCCACAGATGTATCAGGAGCTAATGCATCATTCTTGTCAGCTGCAGCCATGAAGACTTACCCCATGACAGACACAGGATTTGCCTCACAGCAGCCAGAGTCAAAGGTTAGACAAATGTATGGATTTCACTCAGACTCTGTCTGCATTTAGCAAGTTTTGTGACAGGCTGTAAAGAATGCTAGGAAGAAAGGAACAGCTGTTGTCCTACAAATAATGTATGACAAATTGATCATATTGGACTCCTACAACATGAGTCTTGCAGGGCACAAGTTTATTTTCATATTTGTGTTCTTTGGTGCAGATAAAGGTAGCCGGTCTGTCTTTGTAAAATGTATTACAATCTCCATGGATGTTTATGTAGGTCAGCAGCAGGAAAAAGTTTATGACGAGCAAAACAAATGGGCCCCACGTGTGTTATATGTAATAGATGGACTTAAACCCCTGAGTTTACAGCTGCTGGGACCCAACAATGGTCTTATCTCAGCTTGACAGCTAGATTTCACTCATTGGGGCTATGTTAATAGTTAATTGAAGTTTCATTTTATGTTATCTCTACTGCTATCTGGGATTAATTGTGTCTAAATATCACAGTAGTACTTTACAATTTAAATAATAATGCCAATAATGATAATCATCATCTTGATAATAATATTAATGATGATGATGATGATGATGATGATGATGATTTTTAAAGTTTTTTTCCTTACAGTGCCACTTGTGATTTACAGCCCTTGTGAAGACGTCAAGCAGTTACTCAAAATAAAGTGAAAACACTAGCACAAAATTGGCACACAGCAAGCAACAATGTACCATCTTTATTGTTAGATATGTTAGAAATGGAGCTTATTTAGCGATGTTATAGTTGTTGTTTTTTTTTGGCTTTGTGATCTCATCTCACTGCCGTGCAAACAGTAAACATCCTCAAACTCGTCACGTGGATATACAGTGGAGGGTTATGGTCTTGACCAGGGCTCAAAAACAACACCTGTTGATAGGCATCAGTCATGAGAGCAAGCCTCTTGAAAAGCACAGTGCATACGATGAGCGATGGGAAAATTAGCCCCACTAAACCTGAGGAAAGCCTGCTCTGGTGCCCGGCACGCAGCTTTCAACAGTTGGCTGGCATTACATGCACAGGATGAAGGACCATATACCTATACAGAAAAGCATACTGCACACACTTTGTGGAGACTTTTACAGTGAATACACAGTGTTTCTAAGCTGCACTTGCTTTAACTTATTCAAACATACCCCACCCACCCTTACCCATATTTTTACAGTTTGGTCAGATAACGACCTTATTAAATTTAATCTGTGTGTGACCTGGACAACTTTCAAATCACTCAACAGTGTATCTTATTGCTTCTATTTACAGCAGTAAATCACTGGACACCAACCTGTGGTAATAATTGAAACATCTTTGAATGCTTTTGATCACATTTTTAGCATTACATGCATTTTTACAGGAACCATAGGACATGAAGACAGGAAAATGTAGTTTGTTAAGGAGAAAAAAGGGCCTGGTCATGGAGAAAAATAAACAACACAGTCTTGGCCTTTTATAGAAATATGTTGAATAAAACTTTACCAGACAGAACTGATTGGGAGCATGTTGAATGTTATTTTATATATCCCTATACATTGGCACAAAACTTCCTCCATTGTACAACATCCATGGAACTACTTTTTTGTAGTGGCTATTGGGTCCTGTTGTTGTATGGTAAACCTATTTTATAGAGGCCTAGTGAAAGTCTTGCTTAGGTTAATTATCAACAAAGGGTGTTCTTTTATCAGTGGGAAAATATTTATGGGCTGTGCTACATGAGCTAATGTTAGTTGCTATAAAGACACACCTGTCTAAGCAGAACAGGTGGAGTTTGACACTCTTTAAAGCTCTGCAGTGAATAGAAAACACTCACACTCATGTACAGGCACAACTGCATAAAGTGTATCTTTACATCTGTGAACATATAAAAATGAAAACTATCACATTAAAATAAGAGAAGCAAAGAACTTGAACATAAATTTGAAGTCACTTAATTTTACGATCACAGCAAAAACAAATGACAGCATATATTAGGAGGCTTACACACATACATACATGCATACATTCAAGCGCATACACACAGAAGACCTTGTTTTGACTGCTGTCTCCAGCAGCTTTAAGTAACACGGTAGCTCCATATGATAACAGACCTCAACCAGATAAACACAGGATTACAGCTAACTGCTGTTAGGAGCATAGACCCTAAGACCCTGATGTCACACCCCCAGGCTGGGGTGTAGAGTTTCACACTGTGAGAGTCTGGTAAAGTGATCATAGGGATCGGCAAGTAAGCGCTTCGTGCAGGAACGTGGGGAGAAACTGTGAAACCAAACTGATCATCTCCCTGGATCCTTCAACATGGTTCCTGCTTTGGACAAATAAATAGACATGTCCTTAGGAGAGATTCCAGCTAGTATCAGTCAGCATGATGTCAGACTAAAGAGGGAAGCACTGTGTGAACTGGCTGTTGTCCTTTACAGCATTTGGCCTCTAGTTCTGTAGGTCATGGTGTTGAGGGTGTGAAGGTCTCCACAGCAGAGCAAATGGTGGAACACGCTATGGCATTACAAGTCTTTACCTCTGTTGACTGCAGCCTTTGGTGAAGCATGAAACTTGTGAAAAATTAATTTTTAAAATGATTTCTTTGATTGATTAAAATGATTTAATTAAAAAAGTGAAGGCAACATTGTAAAAAACATGGTGAAACTTGAAAAAAACGACTTTTTTTTAATGGCGGGTACATTGCAATCATAACTCCATTTCACTTCAGTTAACAGTTTTTCATTTTTTAACTGAAAAGTACTCAGTTTTTTTACTTTAGTTGCTCTACACTAAATTTGCTGTCTTTAAATTAAGTTAACTGACTGACTGACGAGCTCCTAGCTTTTTCTTTTTTTTTCAAACTGCTCTGGTGTAGGTAAACTTAATAGGAGCTCGTTGTGTTTGCTTTTTCCTAAATTTTACATTTCACAACAGCTTTTTTTGTGGGAGCACAAGTGGCAAGACATGTATTCTACAGTGGGAGCTTCACTTAAACACACTCAGACATCCACATCTGACTTTGTCCCACCATAACGCCTCTGTGACATTTACACTGAGGTGATACATTACAGGGCTGTAGAAGTCTCACCTTGGGCTTGGAAAAGGGATTGATGTCCCCATCAGATGGTAGTGGTCAACTTCAAATGTATTTGTGTGTATTGACCGGTGTCACCTACTCTTCCTTAGAGGTGTGATTTCAGACTTAAACATAAAGCTCCACTGCACTTCACCTTTGGGAAATGTAGCTTGTAACGCCCTTACTGTTTCACACTGATTTTGAGCTCAGTGGAGAAGTTGGCATCATTGTAACCACAAGTACTTTTCTTGAGTACGTTGTCATCTAGTCACGTTCTTCTATCAAGGTGCATTAAATACTGGCTTCACCTGGTTTTTTTTGGGTAATTCAATACCCTATGGTTTTTGCCCAGGTGATTTCATTACTAAATCTTCCAGTTTGACAGAAATTGCCCCTCACCCTAATGTAAGTCTAGGTTCGAAATCCATCTATTTAAGAAGCGTGCTCTAGTGTGTGTAGTGCATCCTTGTGAGAAGGCAGCAACCCGACATAACTCTGTACTCTAATTTGCGGTTAACGGAAACAGCTTCTGTTCAAGACCTGAGCCAACCCTGAGAGTGATATCAATGCTGTGGTCAACTGTCTGGGCTTACAGACACAGACAACATTTTTACAGATCATACGCAAGTGAGTGGAGTGAGCAAGACTCTTGTTCTCTCTAATATCCCAAGGACATAAACAGCCTATTCTAGGACCTGTTTATTGAGAGCAACCTGCATTGACCTCATGTATTCTGATCGGAGGCACTGGCATGGAGCAGTTAATAAAATTATCGCTCTTACTTCTGAAGCTGTTGATATCAGCTAGCTGGCCAGAAAGCATTAAGCTGTGACAAAGATATTTGGTCATAAGACTCATCCAGACCATCCTTGGATCTATCCTAAATGCCCTGTTTTGGATTACCTGATTTGTGTGAATTATGCAAAAGTGCCTTTTTAAGGGTACGTGTGTCTGTAGCTTATTAGCTGCTTTCTATTTAGCTCTTTGTGTTTAAACTATTTTTGGAGAAATATAATCACTTGTTATTTACGAGCTGCTCGGGATTAGGTCTTCATGTAAGTTTTGAATGTTGATACACTCTGCTGTGATTATGTTTCGACATGCATTGTAAAGTGACTTTGAGACTGTTAATGTTTTTTTCCTCTCCTTTATTCATTCGACACTTCAAGGCTATTGAACCTAGTGTGAAGTGTATGTTAATGTGAGGCTCTCCCAGAAAATATTTCCTGTAAAAACAGAATCCCTGCCCGCTGCTCTGAGGTACAATTACAAGACAGTCTGTCCTGCACATGGAACTGTCCGTCAGGTCTCTTAGCTGGAGATGAAGGAAGAGGAGGAGGGGCGGTCTAAAATTTGCAGTTGCAGCACAATGGTGGCCGAAATAAGACTCTGTGAAATGACAAGCTGAATTTACTACTGCAATGATGTAAAAAGGAACATGAGGTGTCAAGTGATGTCTACTGGCTAGTTGGATGGCGAATATGGGAGGAGTAATTGCTTTTGCATTCTTAAAGTTACAACAAGTCGTAGACAAACTGAAAACAGATGTAAATAAGTGAAAGGTTCAAGGACCATCGAATGAAGTCTTTTTGCATATTTGAACAGTAAAGATGGTACATGATGGCCTCCCACCTCTTTATCCACTACGACATAAACATGATCAGCTATGATGGCATGAGCACTTACAATGAATAACTAAGATTTGACATTAGTAACTCAAGTATCGCCTGCATAGAAAATAATCTACAGAATTGGACTAATAATTTCATTTTTTCTCCTCAGTCACTCTGCAGTCTACTTTGTGTCACCAAGAGCAAAGCTGCATTTTTTACCCAATTTCACTTAAGTAAAATATGAAGGAGATGAGAAATAGAGGCCATGATACTTGGCAGCTTTGAGGGATTTGTGTGAAATGTGTGAAACGTCTGGGGCCAGTCAGCTGACAAATCTCTAAATCCAAACAAGAAAACTTTCATTATCACTGCTGCTTCACTGCCAAGAGGCTATTCATAGTTGCTCTAAGGAGGGTTGTGTCAAGAAGGGAAAATGACATGACATCCTGTGTTGTAGTGTTACACTGAAGTCATACAAGTTTCCTACATCATAATTTAAAGTGTGACAGATTGTTAAAAGATAATCCAGACACTTTGGATTATCTTTTGGTTAAAAGATAATCCAGACACTTTTTTTCTGTCCACATTGCAATGATTTCTCTCTGCTTATCAGCTTTTAAAACTCAATCACATTAATAGTTTCACTTTACAGCACCTTGTATGTTTACCATATTAGAGATAGGATACGCTGTGGTCAGAGCTGTTAGCTAACACGATGCAACTAGACTCCTTGACCAACAGCAGCTGGTTTGAGTGACTGCAGGCTTCATTTTTAGGACCTAATTTTGTGGTTGGCAGACACCATATAACTTACCCAGAACACATCAATTAGGGTATCAGTGTCATTGCAAGAAAAATGTAGGATTTTTCCAGGTTTGGTGTCCTATTTAACAAAAAAAAATGAAGCATTCTCATTTTTTTTTTCTAAAACAGGTTTCATTTTTTAATCTACAGCAATTTCCATCTAGAAAAGCCTCAGCAGGTCGAGTCGTCCACATCTGCAACCTCCCTGAAGGCAGCTGCACAGAAAATGATGTCATTAACCTGGGACTACCTTTTGGCAAAGTCACAAACTACATCCTCATGCGTTCTACTCATCAGGTATATTATACTTGTGTAACTCACACTCATATAAATTAACCATCAGTCTTAGAATAGGCATCATCGATTTTTAGAGGTGATAGTATTTACTGTTTTTGGCATTTGTAAATAAGTTATCAGAGAACCACAGAAATACTGTGTCTTTGGATGTTTATACCAAGAGTTCAGTCTCAGTTTCACATAAATATGTCATGTTCTGAGTTTTTGTTGCAAAGGTGTCATTTATCAGAACTGAACTGAAACTTTAGTATCCCCACTATCAAGTTCAAAGCTTTCTTACCAAGACCGTGCTATTGGTTACAGGGTCTGAAGTGTCTGTTCCTGTGATTTATTACACTAATTAAAACTGATACCTTACGATAATGATTTTTCAAGATTCACTTGCACCCGAGCTGACATCTTAGACGTAGTCATGTTTTTGCAGAGGCTGTTACTTTTAGATAAGAATAACTACATACAAGTGTCTATTCTTTATCAGGCATTTCTAGAGATGGCGTACGTTGAAGCAGCTCAAGCCATGGTTCAATACTACCAACTAACTCCAGCTATGATTAACAACCAGAAACTTCTCATACGAATGTCTAAAAGGTACAAAGAGCTACAACTCAAGGTAAGTCTCCAGATCAAATTTTAATAAGATGTGATGGCTCTCTCCAAATGACATCCTAAATTTAGATTTCTTGTCTGTGTAGAAACCAGGTAAAGATGTTCAATCCATCATCCAGGATATCAGCTCTCAGCGAGAGAGAGATGAGATGCAAGAATTTGAGCAGTAAGGAAACTTTATACTTTCCTGTCAGCCTGAAAGGTTGTTTTTTTTTTCTTAGAGTTGCCCACTTTTGAACCTTTCATTTTAAAAACAAAATGTTAAAATAGTGCACAAGATTTGCTCAATCTGTGACATCACGGATTAGTGAATCTCCTGAAAAGCTCGTGATGACCATAATACTTACTCAGCAGAATTGTCCTGCTTTATTTGTCTTTACTGGGGATTTCTTTATTGTTGCACATTTGGGGTCCAAAACATGTAGCCACATTTTATCATAATGTTGTCTTTTCGAATGAAGAAACACAGTTTAATGACAGTTACTTTGTAGCATGGCAACAGCAGAGAAGGCCCCCTAGTAGCGAAGTTTTTTTTTTTAGCTGCAAATCACACAAAGTCACTCTAAAAGCGTTCCAGACTGACACCGTGAAAGGTGAAAATGACCATATTAGGTCCTCTTAAAGTTTTAGATCAAGGAAACACAGTTGTATTTCAGGAAGGTAACAATAGTACGAAAGAGGATTAGGGCCACATGAAGAGAAAAAAATAATTACAGGAGAGAGATGAAAGTCGAAATTTTGAGATTAAAGTTGAAATTTCAAGATTAAATTCAACATGGATAAAGTTGAAATTTCCTGAATTAAATTGAAATTTCGAGATTTAAGTCGACAGTTATGGGATTAAAGTTGATGCAAATCAAGACTAAATTTCATGAATATTGAGATTAGAGAATGTTGAGATTAATGATAATGAATCAACAGCATTGTCGCTCGTTACTCAACTACATGTCCTGTGTAGAACAGTGTGTAAAGCTGTACTTTAGAATATGATTTAGTAACAGGGAAATCCTTGCTCTTTTAGCACACCAACACAGTGTGGTCATGAGTATTCGGTCTCTGAAAAGACTGTTCCAAAGATTACGATGCAGATGCAGGGTTATTGATGGTCACACCTGCGTGCTATACAGCAAGGCTATGTTGTATCGCAAGATACAATAAGGCAACTGATCAAGTTGATTGATCCTGAAGGTATGAAGCACAGATGAGCCTGGCGTCTGAGGTGCAGGCATTACTGAAGCAGAGGACCCGATGTGCTTTTGCACATGGATGGCTACAACAAATTTAGGTCATGTGGCATTTCATTTTGACTTTTTAAAATTTTCACTTTAATCTTTAAATTTCGACTTTAATCTCGAAATGGAGATTAAAAAAAATCTCCCCCCTGTAATCATTTTTTTCTCTTTTTGTGGTCCTAATCCTCTTTAGTACAGTAGTGACCTAAGTGAAATCTAAAAACAAAAACAAAAAAACATGTGAATGAATGTTTTTGCATTTGCAATCATTTCCTGACAGGTACATGCCCGAGAGAGCACGCTCCCGCAGCCCAATCAGTCGCTCCCTCAGCCCTCATTCCCACAGCCCCAGTTTCACATCATGTAGCTCAGCTCACAGCCCCCAGGCAGCACCATGCAGAGGTCCAGAAAGAGGCAGTAACGGCTTGGGTCCCCGCCGGGGCTCTTGGGATTGGTCATCACAATTAAGAAGGGGTGAGGATGAAAGGGAGAGAGATGACCCATGGAGGAACGGAGGAAACATGGATGATGATCGATCCAATGGAAGAGCAGCTGACCGTCGAAAGGCCTACCAGAAACCTGCTGATCATATCAGCTCCAGATTGACAGACGAGCGAGGGGGAGTTGAAGTGATGAGGGGCAACAGAGACTGGCACCCAAGAGGAAGCCCTCAAGGCATGTCCTTCAACTCTTACAGGAACATGGAAGATGATTTCTACATGAAGGAACAAATGTACAAATCAGACAAGCCACCCAGACCACCATACCAGAAGCATGATCCAAAGTCAAAGAAAAGGGATGGACCTGACTACCACAGCAGGTCAAGGCACTCTGAGTTTGGGTTGACTGAGGAGCCACTTCGTAGGACACAAGAAGACAAGAGGCAGGGTTCACCAGGCAGAGGCCGGAGCAAAAAAACAAGCAGGAGGCTCACCACTACAGATAAATACGAGAAAGAAAACACAAGTGAAAAAACTGTAAGTCACCTCTACAGAGCACACTGCTTTTATGTTACTTGTTACATGCTGCTGTATACCTATTTCATATTTAATTTTATTTTTTTCAGGACCGCCAGTCAAAAGAAAAATCTGTTTCACCTCAGAGAAGCAACAACCCAAAAGAGAGTGCTGAAGGGAGTGAAGATCAGGACACTGTAAGTGTGCATCATATTTTTGTTGAGTGCATAATTTAGTCTGTTTATTAAATGCTATAGGTTAACAGTTTTATAAAACATCCATCTTCAACTTGAGGTTGCTATTACTGCCATAGAGAGTCACAGGTCTTTTTGTGATTTTATGATTTTGAAAGGTGAAGGAATGCGCAAGTGGAGAGGACACTGATGAAGAAAGTTGGTATCCTAAGAACATGGAGGAGCTGGTCACTGTAGATGAAGTGGGAGGAGAAGATGATTTCATTGTGGAGCCAGACCTTCCTGAGTTGGAAAAGTTTGTGTCCTGCCTTAAGGACTCAAGAGAGGAAGAAGCAGGGGTGAAGAATATACCATTACTGACCTCCTCCCTAGAGGTGCAGGAGACATCTGTGGAAGAACACAAACAGGAACAGTCCTGTACAGAAGCTGAACATCAGGCAGAAACAAAGTTTACTGAGAAACCAGGGAGTGTTTTAACCACAACCAGTCCTGAAGATTCAAAACTCAGTCCTGTAACTCATGAGCCAACAAAAACTAATCTCAGTGACTTTCCCAGTGAGGAGTTTAAAGCTGCACTGGAGGAGACATGCGTAGAGGATCATGAAACTAAAAATGTGCCACGAGAAGAGCTGATGGAAAACCACATTCATATGTCAAAGGACAGCAACAATGTGGAAGTAGGACAGGACGCTGAGACAATCGTTGATGACATTCAACAAAGGGAGGACAGTCTTAAGAAAGGTACTTCTTAAGAGACATGAGGTATTTGCAGGAGACCATAGTATAAACCTGTGCTCATTCATGAAAAGTATAAAACACACACATAAATAGCTGTTATTTCATCAGTCTTATGTAACTGCTACATGAACATCTCTTTTTTATACCAGATTAGAGTCATTTGTTCCTTAGCAGGATTTCTTCTGTGGTTTTATGAAAGTCATGTTTGAATGTAAGTTAAACATGACTATGTGTCAAGAACAAAACCAACACTGGGACCCAAATGCAGGACACAGACACAGTCCTCAAAGGCAAAAATCAGGCTTTATCAAACAGTCCAGGTTTGGCACACAAAGAAGCAGTCAAACAGGCAGAGGTACCAAAGACAGGCCCAAAAAACACTGTCAGACACCTTGTCCACACGTAGCCGGGTATTTGCTAAAACTAAGAATATGTTTTCTTATGATTCAGCCTACCATCCAGACGAAACTGCAGGATCACATCATTAAAAAATGTGCTTTTGGGAAACTCTGGGCCAAATAGAAGGTTTTGGAAAACTCCAGTTTTGCGTTTGCATGTGGACCATAGACTGTATATACTACGAGCAACTTGGCTCCGCCTTCTGTCATTATACGAATTTGAAGCCAAATTGCTCTCGATATTTCCAAGATTTTCTCAACTTCCTGGAACCACTACTTGCGCAGTGACATTGTAGGCATTTGTTGGGAAAGTCATTGCTGTGATGACACTCGGCTCAAACAGCATATCCCCTGGGTGAGCTACGCAATCTTCGTACACCGATAGGCTGTATCAAGTGTCAATCATAGCAAACATGAACCCCCTTAATAACTTTTAAAAATGGAGCTGCACAGAAAAAAGAGGACTTAATTACATGTCAACATCGCAAGCAGGGAGGAGGAAAAATTTATATTGCATATAATTAATTTCTAAAGTTTGTCCACAACTCCACTAAGTTTGCTGGAGGAGGCGGGATTTATGACCTATTCTGCTCCATCACCAGAGAGCACTGTTCTCATGGTGGCTTCACCCACAAAGGAGGCAGAAAGCATCCATTCTGTATACAGTCTATGGTGAGGACATAGATAACCAGAGTTTTAAATTCCGAAATGCATTGTCCGCAACAACTAATAGATAAATGTCATATACTATACACCCTTGTTTATGTCAGGCAGTAGACAGCATGGGTAAATACAGATTTTTGTTTCTTTTTTTTTTGAGGAGAAAAGGAGGAGTACTTTGCAGTCAGTTATTCTACACCAAATAAATACAAGAGACAATGCGGGTGATGGGAAACAGGTGGGGAGACACAATCAGGAGAAAGGTGTGACAAAATGGAGGGCAGGGCAGACAGAAACACATCTAAAACAGAGACAGGGGTTAGTGATATCAAAGTAAAAACAAACAGGAAACACCAGACATAAAATGAAATGAGTAACATACAGATAACTTGACCATGACTATGACATCATGCTACATTCATCCTTTCAGAAAATTAATTATAACCCAAAATGTATGAGTTTGGATGGAATAAAAGTTGTGTATAGCTGACCTACAAGGCCATAATCGAAACTGTATAACTATTGTTTTTAAGTAAATGTTCATTTAATGCAGCCTACCTTCTTCTTACTTTGTGCACCTTTTTCAGAGATTGAAGCCCTTTTGCCATCTCAAGAGCAAGACAGAGCTGTTAGTGAACACAGCATCCCTCTAGGTAAGCAAGACAGATTCTTTCATCTCTCCCTTTAAGTTTTAAAAAGTATATCCAAAAACAATTTGTAAAAAATGTCAGATAAATGACAATAAACAGTACTGATGAAAACTCTGGCAGGATTAAAAACTGTTTAGTCATAATTCAACTAGTCTTTCTCTAATCCTAGACACTTTATGGAGTCTTCAGCCTGTGGTCTTAGTCCCAAAGATCAAGTTGTGTCATGTACACCATTAATAAGTGCTCTGACAACCTGTTGCATTAGCACTCTAATTGGCTGGAATTGCCTGGCCTCTTACTGACCTATTTCTGTGAGAAGGTTGTGAAATGTACCCCTGAGGAAAGAGTATTTATATTATCATTAGGGCTAGAATGACACAGCAGGCAGAGCACATGGGCCTGCTGCATGGAAACTTACATAAGCCTGGGCGCATCATAACAACAATAGAGCTCTGTACAGACACAGGAGTGTGGCTATTTCTGTCCTATGATGCCCCGAGAATGCCTGTGCGTCTAGAGCTAACTGTGTCCATTGATAGCATGGCTGAGACAAATTTAACACAGATGACTCATCTGGTTATGTTGGCAATTTTTAATATTTGTTTATTCTGAGTTCATCTGGTATGGTAATCTTAAAAACACATACTGTATGTATGTTGATAAAACTTGATAACCTAAACTGAAATGATGTGTATATTCATCATTTTCAAAAGCCATCCCATCGAGGTCTATTTGTTTCAAGCCAATTAACTGCAGTGGCGTTTAGAGTGCTGTTTATTACCCAGCCTCTGTTTGCCCTGTAACTGGTGACAGCAGTTGTGACTCAGACTTTATTGGCATTTAGACTTATTTGCATATAAGTATATGCATATTACCTATTAATATACACAAAGAACCTGAGCACTGAGATGCACTGAGATGCACTGATTGACGACACAGTTAGTGAGAGCTTGTAGCCTTACATGAGTATTTTTATTTTATTGTTGTGCCCTAAAAGCTGCATACATTGTTTTGTGAATTTTTCCCTAAGAATACACTTGGGATCTATGAGCTGGCTGAGAAATTTTGACCTAGTAACCTGTTTTTTGTTTACTTGAATAGAACTGTAAGAACTGTGTTTGGCTGTCCAACAGGAGTGGAGTTTATTGTGCCAAGAACTGGCTTCTACTGTAAACTTTGTGGATTCTTCTACACCAGTGAGGAAACTGCAAAGAGCTCTCACTGCCGCAGCACTGTACACTACAGGAACCTACAGGTACACACTGCGCACCGATACAAAGTCTCAGTGACTGCGATAATGATGATGATTTAGCTCTTACTGTGTGTTAAATGCCATCAGCAGTATTGTGAATTAATTGCAGCCCTTGGATATTTGCTTGCTGGTGCCAAAATAGAGTGCATTACAATAGCCAAGTCTTGAAGAAATACATGGAAGGGTGACTAAGTCTGCAGGAGAAAGAAAATACCAGATTTCTTACTGTTTTAGCTGAGCAAAGAGGGACTGCTTGACTCCGGTCACCTCTGTGTTAAAGGACAGGTTGGGGTCAAAACAGCTCCTAGGTTGCAGCCGCTTTGCAAACATTAATAGCATGAGGCAACCAGACAGGAAATTATTGGTATATCTAGAACTGAAGTGGGGGCAATAATGACAGTAACTTCAGATTTGGATTCATTATGCTGTAGAAAGTCTTCAGACATCCATTGTTGATTTCACTCAGACATAAAGCAATGCAAAAGTCATCAGTGGTACCAGGTTTTAACAGGGCATGGAGCTGAGTGCCATCTGCACATCAGTGAAAGTCTATACTGTGCCTTTGCCCCAGGGAAAGCATGTATGAAATGAATAAGAAGGTACCTAAAATAGACCCCTGGGGGACACCACATGAGGGGGGATCACGGGAGGTGGAGGCATTCCCAAGCCCAAAAGAAAAAGACCAGCTCAACAGTTAGTAAATCACTAATTCCACCAGACTATTTCAGAAAGCATATAAGGACACTGCGGTTGAGTGTAATAAAGGCTGAGCCAAGGTCAAAGGAATTAGCTCATTAGGTATGTATAAGTGAACTGCATGCATGTTGTATATACAACATATTTGCCTGAAATAGTGTTCCCTTCCTTCAAATCTAATTTTGCATCAGAAGTCTGGATTGGGACATGCCTTACTGCACTCCAAACTCTGCTAGGGTGGATGGTCCACATATCATGTAATATCACCTGTTTGTGGGTAGCTGATTAATGTTTTTACACTCTTACACACAACACATGCCTTTTATGGTTGTTTAGCCATTTAGCCTGGCATTGCCAGACCCATCAGCTTTTAGCAAAGTAAATTGGTCTGGCAACACCATGCAAATAGTCATTTTTCCCTCCAATAATATAAAACTTGTTTAATAATTCTTGTTAGAAAATGTATTTTGAACTTTAGTTTTAATTAACTTACAGTTGTTAATTTATACTGTTTTCTTTTTTTAATTCAGATATCTGTCCTTACTTGAGGAACTTAACTAATTTAAACAGATCATGGTGTGCTTGTGGATTATACTGTTCAGGCCACTTTTTTATAATATTCTATAACTACAAGGTTTATTTACAAAATTATCAACAGATAAATCAAAATGAAAAGATAAAAAGCCAGTTAGAAGGGTGACAAACTCAGACTATGGCAGCAGTATGTACTGACAGATCCAAAACCTCAAGTGAAGGAACATACACATTGCGTGGCACGTGTATTAAGTTTCTAAATATTGGCCATTCACGACCAAGCCAACTTGCATTTGTCTGGTCCCTGGTGGCACAGCTGAGGCAAGCTTGAGAAGAAGCAATTCCTTAACACTTGATGGGTTACATTACAAGAGGGAAAACTTTTCAAAACATTTGTGCTGTCTGTCAAAGCTCTGTGTCTGGGTATTTCAGACAGAGTTGATCGGTTAAGCATTGCTGTAAAGAAGGACATCACTGTTTGGGATTTGTTTTGGGTGTATGTACAGTATCTGCTGACAGCAGCAAAGAAAAGCCTTCAATATCCTAAAAAATATATGAAGCCTATATTTTAGAGAAAATTTTCTTTCTCATATATTTCAGTCTAGCTCAAAAGATAAAGGTTTACCATCACAGCCTTTGTGTTCTAATACTAGGGTGTTTGTTTTTTGTAAGAAATGAACTGCTGATTATCAAAAATCTCAGTTTTACAAATAGAGGTGACACTCCTTGATCCACTTTTGGAAATCATTTAAAAACCTGAAACTTGAATCCTGTTTATTGTCTTTATAGGTCCTTGGCATAAATAACTGCTTGACTTTAAACTGATCTATATCATTTTGATGGAGTCTGTAAATTGTTAAGCTGACTACAAAATTATTTCTGACATGGTGGTGGTCAGAGGCCACTTTGACGTCCGTCGATATGCTTCTTTATTGTTTTTTTATTTATTTTTCTTTTTTTTTTTATGAAAACAATAAATTGTAGATTGTCTTAGGATAAATTAATTTATTCAAACTGTATTTGTAATTAATTTGAAAGTCTGTTATAGGTCATAAACTTGTGTTTTTATCTCTACTTTTCAACAGAAATACTTGTCCCAGCTTGCAGAAATGAGTCTGTCGGGCGCACTTGCTGACCCTTCCGCGGCACTGTGACATCAGCTTGACCTCTCAAATCCCATACAGCAGACAGCAGAGGAGTCATGAATGTGTGCTGTATGTGCAAGATCGTTATCAGCTACAGCACGGAGAGTGGGACACATGGAAGCTTGAGAATGTGAAAATTGCACTGGTTTGAATAATTAGGCTAGTGGGATGAGTCAATGTGTCTGTCATTGATGCTCACGATATTGTACATTCTGTAAGTGCACTGTTTAGTGAGGCAACTATATTTAATTACAGATATTTTGGTTTTTCATATTTCTTATATTTGATTTATTTTTTGTTTATTAAAATGCATTTGTTGTTTTCCTTGGAATGAAAGTTTTCTTATGTTCTAAAACTGACTCTCAACTACGAGTAAGAGACTTCACAGTATTGGCAGTATAAGTATGACTTCAGTCCATTTTTTTAATATAAACCATTGAAACTTATACAAGATGGTGATACATTAATTATAATTTATAGCTGTAAAATGACTTGAAATATTTGCTAAGAAATGTTTTTACTCAGTTGAAAAACTGGGTCTGACTCTCAGGTTTCTTGTATTTGTTGAGCAGATTTGAATGTTGGGCTTATTAAGTAGATTTTAAATTTTTATTATACCTTGAGCTGTACCGTATAGGCTCCTGGTGCAAAATGTCCTTCAGGTTTAGATGCAAACAACTTGGATAGATAAAGACACAGCATTGCTAAATATTTGTTGCCATGAAAATCTGGTGGATTTGATCACAAGTCAGTCCCAATCTCATTTGCCATTACTTGTACTGCCTTTAGCATCTGAAACCTTTAACTGGACCATGTATTTTGTTTATCAGCTAACCATTCGGTTATTCATGTAACAGTGATTTAGTCAAAACCATTATCAAACCATGACTGTTTTTGTATACTGTGAATACAGAACCTATGGCATCAAGTATATTTTTGTTTCATTTGACAAACTTTTCGTATGATTTTTGATTAGAAAATTAATAAATACTTGAATAAACCTTTTATAACACACCTTTTTGCTTTTCTGTTGAACATTATAGTAAGTAATACAAGAAATCCATCATGTGTGCACTACATTCTGTGAAGACCATAGACTGTACCAATAATGTACATGAATTCTCTTAAGCCACCATCCCTGAAGAACGATTTTTGGGATGGATTTGTAAAAGAGCTCCCCCAAGTGTTGATGCACATCTGAGAGAAGCCTGTCTGAGATATATATAACTGGACTGTGTAGAGTTGAGAAGACGTTTTGCCTCTTATCCAAGAAGCTTCTTCAGTTCTAAACATTGCTAGTGTGAGGAGCAGATATTTATCTTGCTGGAGAAGGGGACAAACAACCACTGGGAGGAGTTGGAAAGAAGGGGTCGTAGAAAACCATCTCCGGGTGTTCCCCCCAGAGGGTCGTTAACCTGACAGGGTCATCTATCATGTGACCACATGACTCATGTCACCTGGGTCCTGTGGTCCCAGGTGTGAATGTCTGTGGAGCTTCCCGGGGAGAGAGCTGAGAACTGCATTGTAAGTGCCAGAGAGGTTGTGCCTGATTCCACCCCCTCTGTTCAGAGAAGGTTTCTCCAGTCTGGTAAAGATGGCTTCTTTAACTCCTCTTTCAAACCATCTGTCTTCTCTAGCCAACACCTGTACATTTCTGTCCTCGAAAGAGTGACCCGTGTCCTTTAAGTGATGGTGGACAGCTGAGTCCTGACCTGAGGAAGTGGCTCTCCTGTGTTGAGCCATGCGCTTGTGAAGCGGTTGTTTAGTTTCCCCATTGTACAGGTCTGAGCATTCCTCGCTGCACTGGACAGCATACACCACATTACTCTGTTTATGTCTTGGTGTTTTGTCCTTGGGATGGACTAGCTCCTACCTTAGTGTGTTACCAGGCTTGAAATGAACAGGAATATGGTGTTTGCCAAAGATCCTCTTGAGTTTTTCCGACAGGCCTGCAACGTAAGGGATTACAGTGGTCTTGTGTCTCTCCTCCTTTTCATTTTCAGTATTATTTCTCTTTTTGTTCTTCACAAAGGCCCACTTAGGGTATCCATAGGTTGTCAGGGCATTTTTGAGGTGCTTCTGTTCCTTTTCTTTACCTTCTTTCTTCGTGGGAATGTTCTCAGCCCGGTGGTTGAGTGTTCTGATAACACCCAGTTTGTGCTGCAGAGGATGGTGGGAATCAAAAAGGAAATATTGATCCGTGTGTGTGGGTTTCCTGTTCACTTCAATGTTGAGACACCCATCTGCCTCCAAGTGTACAGCACAGTCCAAAAAGGCCAACACATTGTCCTTGACATCTTCACGGGTGAACTTGATGTTGCTGTCCACTGTGTTGATATGGTCAGTGAAGGCCTCTACTTCATGTGTTTTGATCTTAACCCAGGTGTCATCCACATATCTGAACCAGTGGCTAGGTGCTGCTCCTTTGAAGGAGGTTAGGGCCTTCCTCTCTACCTCTTCCATGTACAGATTTGCCACTATTGGAGAAACCAGGGAGCCCATAACACATCCATGTCTCTGTCTGTAATGGCGCTCTCTGAACTGGAAATAGGTGGTGCTGAGGCAGATGTCCAATAAGGAGCAGATGTGGTCGGGAGTTAAGTTGGTTCTGACCTCCAGTGTGCTGTCCTTTAAGAGGCGCTGTTTTACTGCTTGGATTGCCTCTGTTGTCGGAATACTCGTGAAAAGTGATGTGACATCATAGGAAACCATGGTTTCATCTGGGTCCAGTCTGATGTCCTTGATTTTCTCAGCAAAGTCCTGTCTACGTCAAAAGTCCTGTGAGTTTTTGATGTGGTGAGTGGTGTGGCCGACAAGAGGAGCTAGGATGGGGGCCAAATGTTTTGCCACTTTGTATGTGGCTGAGTTAATGCTGCTGCTGATAGGTCTAAGGGGGGCCCCTTCCTTGTGTATTTTAGGTAATCCGTAAATGCACGGGACTGCTTCCCCTGGGTATAGCTGGTAATAGAGTGGGCGGTTGATAACGCCATCCTTTTCCAGCTGTTGAAGTGCGCTGATAACTTTCTTTTTATAGCTGTTGGTGGGGTCCCGTTTTAGAGTTTCATAGGTGGCAGTGTCACTGAGAAGGCTTGTTACCTTGTCATGGTGATCCCTGGTGTTGAGTACAACAGTGCATCTCTTCTTATTTGCTAGCAGGATGGTGATATTTTCATCTTTTTGCAGTGATATCAAAGCTCTTCTTTCCTACATAGTCAGGTTGGAAGGAGGTGTTAACCTAAGTTGCTCTGCCTCCGTGACCGTCAGATTGTTGTTACAGATAGCTGACTCCGTGGCTGTGATAAGGTCTACCACCAGGATCTGTTCTGGGGTAACCGCAAAATTTAATCCTTTGTAAAGGACTTCCTTTTCCGGGTGAGTGAGAACCCTGTCTGACAAATTCTTCACCCACTTTTCTTGAACGCTAATGTCTGTGTGGCTGTCAGTTTTGTCCCTTCAAGCAAGTTCTGATGGGCTCTTTGAGTGCTGGGAAAGTAGTTTGTCAAATTTCTGTGTCGTTCTTTCCTTGACTTTGTTATGTTGAGTGGTCTGAGCCTTGTCAACAAAGTTGTAGACTTTGTTGAGGATGTCCTCTGGAAGTCGGGATGCCAGTGTCTCCTTGGTGTGATTTGTTTTAGCTTGTAAGGCCTCGATGGTGAAATTGACCTGCCTAATCCTTTCATTGAGGAGCCGCTTCTGTGTCCTGGAAAGGATGCTGTCTGCTCTGTGCCATTTAACGGTGGAAAACAAGTGTAGGCTTTGGGAACAAGTCCTTGCTGTCTGCATCTTAGGTTAAAGCAGAGGTGGTTTCTGTAATCCGCCATCTTCCTGCAAGTTTTCTCTTGCTCCCGGACCAGCTGAAGGGTATCCAACCCAAAGTGTGATCCAATATGTCCATGTAGATTCTCATTCACACAGGTCATGGTTATCTTGAAGACTCCAAAAACAGGCAACTATGTACAATTTATTCCAGATCTGTGGACCTTTGACAGAAAATAAGGACTGGCTAAAAGCTGTCCTGCACTTGGGTCCTGGGTTTACAGTCTCCACTGACTGCTTCTCTTGTAGAAACTCCTTTATATGAGTATTTTTCAATCATTTCACAAACTAGGTCTGGGGCAAAGCCATTTACACACTTAAAAGCCAGTTTTATTTTGCCTACTTACTCACTTAGTACTGAAGTAAGGGAACTACCTGCTTTGATTAGGATTATATGTTTTGTTAAATAACAAGTGCCATGATTTCGACTTTGTCAATATGTTTTGTATGTAAAATTATCTTCACCATAATTAAAAAGCCCAATGTTGCTGATGAGCAAAAGTTAAGGCAATTCTTCACTATCGACGCTAGGAGGCAGCACTACATAAACTTCTGATACTGCACAGACCCACAGAACGTGCGAGAAGAAAATCCCGTGTTGCGTTTTCATTGGTTGATGCTTTTAAAAACTCGCACAGCTCCAGCCAATGAGATGACGAAAACACAGCTCGACAGTACCTGCGTTGCTGGGTAAATAAAACAAGAGCAGGGTTCCTGTCGGAGTTTGGAGCTGGGACACAACAGACGGTCAGTGATTTTACATCCTGTTGTTGAATAGAAAGAATTATATTCGTATGTAAATGTACATGTTATTGTTCCTAATCATTTTTGTAAATCTGGTGAAGCAAAAATCACACCAACGTAGCAGATTTCGCTGTTAGATTTTTATCTCCGTCTGATACAAGCTCCTGCAGCGGATACATGTTAAAAGCGACGCGTAATGAACCATAAACTGCATTTATTCATGTCGTGCAACTATTAGCAGCTGTGCATGTGGAGTTAAGTGATCTGAAGTTTGATCCTCTGCTGCAGCTCTTTGACAGTGAGCATTCAAGCTAGCAGCGTTAGCCATTGTTTACTAACATTGTGGCGTTGAATGGGGGGGGGGGGGCATGTCTGGGCGTGTTATCGACGCATGACATTCTGATTTCTTTCTGACTTTTTTGTTCGACTTTAAAGGTATTTTTCGGGATTTTTGTGTTTACACGCTGATCTACTGCAAAAGCTCTTTTCTACTCTGAACCATGGCAGCTGACTGCGAGGCCTGGCTGAACGCAAACCCCGTTGGTAAGTGTGAGCAAGTCTGAGAGGTTTAAATGTCTTATCAGCTGTATCCAATGTAGGGCACTGGGGCTTTTACACAGGCTGCAGATTTAGATACGAAATATGTTTTTAGTGATGTTTTTTCTACTGTTAACCCTGCATGCTGTGAGGGTTAGGAAACTAACTGCATTGAATAAGTATGGGAGAGTGGTGTAAGATGAGCCATTTTTCATATTTCAGATCACTACATCAAGGCAATCATAGTTTTGTCTCTAACTAGTGTATCTGCATATATTTCAACATGTTGTTCATCCCTGCAATCCAACATAACAACATAGTGTAAACATAACTGTCATGATAATATAGCATGCCAAAAAAAGTGGTCTCCTATGGTCAACTTACCCTGTGTGTGGGGTAAGCTAACCATAGGAGTGGGGTAACTAACAATAAATAACAGTCACTTCTTCACATTCATGTGTTTTTTTATCTGTTATACACTATTCAACTGGTACAATAATTCTTTTTATTATTACTGCATATAACTGCTGAAAAGCTGTTTTGTGAAGAGACATTTTAACATGAGAATGCCTTTAAGTGATTCAGAACATTCACAGCTTTATTTTTGAAAAGAAAAAGTAAAACATTTCAACAATCTGAACTGAAACTCTGATCCTCTCATTAGACTCCTTTACTTTCTCAGTTGAGCCACTGACTCAACTTTCCCCAAAACTACTATGATGACTTTATTAGTCCTCTAAGCTAAAATGGTGGACTTTTATACTAGGTTTCTGACCTCATGCTGTAGCTCATAGATACCACAATTGATGATAAAACAAATTTAGAATTATCTTTTTTGGTCTGAACACAATTCTAATCAAACTTATGACAGACTAAATTCACTTTCAAAAGTGAAAAATGTTTTTTTTTTTTTTTTTAAATAAATGTCTAACCCCTTCACCCATGTGCTTCTAACCTTCACAGACTCCATGAATTGATGCCCATCTCCTAAATATTTTGTCTCATGATCAATTTCTTTTACCATTTCCAAGCAACAGGGGGTGGCTCAACTTACCCCACTCTCCCCGTCATCCTTGATTCAAATTATTGCATGCAAATTTCCTTCCAAGGAAAGAAATATGCAAATGCGTGTCAAATTTAGCCTTGATTTAATCTGCTCTGTATAGAATGGCTGTGCATTATTTGTGGATTTCATAATTAAATCCATGTGTACCCCCCCCCCCCCCCCCCCCACCGCCATGTATTCCAACAGAGGCAGAGGACCTGAGTGACTCCTTTGTGTCAGGAGACGAGGATAATAGAGGATCTGTTACCTCTAACAAGAACATCCACAACGAGATAAATGGCAACTGGCTGTCATCTTCCAGCAACAGCATCCATGAAGCACGGCTCAAGGCAAAGGCCAAGAGGAGGCTGAGGAAGAACTCATCTCGAGACTCAGGCAGGGGGGACTCGCTCAGTGATAATGGGGATATTGTCAGGGGGTCCTTGGTGGCTCCTACGAGTCCCAAAAACAAGCTGCTGGACAGAAAGTCTAGACTGGGCAAGGGACGAGGTCTGCCAAAGAAAGGTTAGTGGTTTAAAGAGGTCCTGGTTCCTGTTTGGTAGTAATTATGATGTAATGCTTGCCTGTGGCACTTGGATACAAAAGAGATCAAATGTCTTGGCATCCTTCTAAGGACAACCATTTGCTGTTTGTTACTTCATGAGTTAAAGAGGATCAAAGAGCTGCCGGTATTTCAGTGCCAAATGCTACAAGTTGAAAGCCTTCATCATCCTCATCAGTGTGTGACCCACTGCTGTCATTACCTGATGGCTGTCCTTTTCAGGAGCCATAAACCAATTGGCATGAGCACAAATGGCGATGTGGACTTAATCAGGGCACATCCACTTAAAGCAATACCTGTACTGCAGCTGCCATCTGCTCCGAAAAGCTCAGTGGAAACGTCTGTCAGTGGTTAAATAATAGGCTTAGGACACTTGTTTACCAGAAGTTTCTTTTGTTTTGCAAATTTATACGCTGTGATTTTATTCACCTGTTGGACTGCTGTATGTATCGACTGAATCCTGAAAGGGAATTGAAGCATTGGGAACATTATGAAAGATTTTAATTTCATTTTGATGAGTTTTGTTTGTTATCTTTTGCTGTGAACTGGGCCTAGTCATTGCAGCAGGTGAACGTTTTATGTCTGATTCAAAAGCGTAGGAATCAACCAAAAATGCTGCATGTTTTGCAGTTTTTTTTTTCTCATCACATTGGTTGAACTGAATTCAAAGTTGCTTAATATCACCTTCTTCTAACAATATAGCTGTTAGTCTGTCAGTGTGATGATGCTGCAGAACAGTCAGTTATCTCCTCCCCGGGGCAGTGTTCAAGACTAGACTCTCAGTTCAGTGACGTTTGTCTGGTTACATAACAGCTATTCGCAGGCCAGTGGATCTCTGTTACTTGAGCTCGCCTGCATCAAAGATTCACACTTTGCTATTTAGTGTTTGTGTCAAAAAAACACACCCTCATGATGTACACAACCTAGCAAGTGTTGAGCATATTTGAGGTGGGATGAATTAGCACAACCAGTTAAGAACTTTAATACATAGAGCTATGTCTTATGCCACATGGTGGGCAGCACTAAAGGAGGTTTCAGCTTGTGTCACAAGCCGCTTGGTATTGGGCTTCTTAACTGTCTGCAATCTGTTAGTGCTGACCTAAGACCCAGCAGATGTTTGTTTGTGTAGCACAAGCAACCATGTCATCAGCTCTCTAAAACACAAGGGTCATCAGAGTGTCCTTGGGTTATGAGCTCTAGCATTTGAACTCCAAGGGTATGAGCCCCTTTGTAGTAATATAATGCTTTGTTTTCTGTGGGTACAGTCAGTGGTCAAACAGTTAATGGAGCATAAGTAGTCAGACCCAAGTATGCAATGTCAAGAGGAACAATATGCATTTGTCTGTACTCTAAACATGGAGCTAAAAGCCTTTTGTATGACCGCACTATTTTCTTTTCATGTTTTAGCTGAGCACTTGGAAAAAAATAGGTGGGGTAAGGAAGCCTGTCATGATAGTTTAAAGCCAATCTTTCAGTTTTCAAGTACATGTCTGCAGCATGAGCTCATTGAGTCTGGACCCTCAAACAGAACAAAGCTGATCCGCCTCCATACTAATGAAGTTCAGTTTTGTTTCAGTTTAGCAGACTATTTAAAGCCATCCACAGTTAAACCTCAACATCACGCTCGAACTACCTTCTTATTATGACTTTGAAAAAGGATTAAGAGGTTTTGGAGGGGGTGCAAATTTCCGGGACACTCTGTTTGAATATGCTGATGGTCTTAAAAACTGCTACTTAACTTTCTTACCATGCAAAGGAAGCTAAAAAATAAGATGTTTTTCTGCCTTGCTCTTTTACCACATTACCTAGAAATGAGCCATGATGGTACTGTGTGATACCATATCTCACTTGGACACTGACCTTTGTCTGCAGGTGGGGCTGGAGGAAAAGGTGTGTGGGGGAGATCTGGAGAAGTTTACGGACCAGAGGAAGTCGATGAGAAAGACCCCAACTATGATGAAGCTCAGGTACTGACTGGAAAGTTAATATCATTCATACATGTAGAATCTATTATAATGAATGCATATCCCTCCAATCAACACTTTGCATGTTAACTAACAATTTGGGAGTCGTTGCTGTTGTTGACTGAATTTTCATGGTGTGGTTTGAGTTTGTTAGACTTAGTCTAAGTCTGGACCTGTAATGTGTTTGTGTTTAACAGGAAAACTGTGTGTATGAGACTGTGGTACCTCCACTGGAAGAAAAGGACTTTGAGAAGACAGTCATCCCAATAGTTCAAGAGTACTTTGAACATGGAGACACAAATGAAGTAGCGGTAATTACATTCAACATATTCTTATTTGTAACAGAAGTTAGAGAGTTCCTTCACCTAAAGCAGGGCAGCCCTCAAGCTACCGGCCCCAGTTGGGCCATTTCCAGCCTTTTGCCCCCTTCTTTCCAGCCTGCCCCTGATGACAAAAACATAATGCCCAAAATACATGACATTATAGCATAACATGTGTAATAGTAGATGTCAAGGACTAAAGGTGCTTGCTCATGCCCAGACAGGTTCTTGGAGAGCAGGTCAGGGGATGCTCTTGTTGTTTGTGGTCTGGTGTTTCTGTCCAATCCAGAATGAAGAGTGGATGAACAGCATAGACAGTTTCCAGAAAAATGTGCAAAGTATGTTTTTTTTGTGGAGTTTAGTGAAAATGCCACCTGCCTGAAATGCAGAGAAGGGGTTCAAAGGAATACAAAACAAGATACAAGAACTTATTTTATTCAATTTCCTGTGTCATCACTGGACTAAAAACCAAGAAAAATATAAGAAATATCGAAAGATGAATACAAACAAACAAACTGAATCGAAACAAATGTTTGTACAAAACATAATAATACAGAAACTGAAAGCACATTTACAGAGAAATGTTTTTTTTATTTTTGTTTTTATTTTTTACAATACGTCCTCTTAAACAGTGGCCCTCCTTTTAAGATGACAATACCAACAGTCTGAGTTTAAGCCCCTTGAGATAGAAAGGACCCTTTAGGTAGCAAGAATTGACAGAATGAATATAAAGCATCATAAAAAAAAATCATTATACTTAGACAATCTTTGAACTCTTCACATTCAGGAGCTCCTCGCAGAGCTGAATTTGGGGACCATGCGTAGTGAAGTGCCCTCACTGGCTGTGTCACTGGCCCTGGAGGCCAAAGCCAGCCACCGGGAGCTGACCTCCAGGCTGCTGGCAGACCTGTGTGGGCCTGTTCTGTCCCCGACTGACATGGAGCACTCCTTTGACAGACTACTACGAGAGCTGCCAGATCTGGTCCTGGACACCCCTGGAGCACCACAGGTGAGTCCACTGAGGTCATGGGACAGGCCTTTTTACTCTTGTGTGTGTGTGATATTGTGTGTTTATGTTTTTGTGCTGCACATACAGTGTATATTAACATGTCTGATGATTGTGTAGCAAAACATATAACCAAAGATTATTATTGCTTTTTTTTAATACTTCTTGTTTTCATGCATTAAATCATAGAAAAAAAAAAGTTCTGCAGATCAGGCTCATGTCTGTGAGCTCTGTTACGGTAAACACGAGTATTCATACAGGCTGTGGTGGAGTGCAGGGGGAACAACGCTGTGGTTTCACAGGCTGAAAGAGAGAGAGAGTGAGTTTGTGTGCGTCTGTGGGTGTGTGTGTTTCAGCTGTACCCTTTCAGCCTGCACAGACATGAGGTCTCTCGCCATTGTCTGCCTGCGCTTGCAAAGTGCAAGCTCAGCAAAGGACGCTCAAACTTATTAACCCCCTCCAACACACACAGAAACGCACATCCCTCCCTTCTCTCTGTGTCTCACCAGGCCTCACTGGTTATCTCTCTCCCACACTCTCAACTCTCTGTGGGTTTAACAGGTGTTTCTGAAACTAACCTGCCTCTTCATGTTATTTCTGTCTACCTGTACCCTTTTTTCAGTTCCTTGTACACAATCATACAAACACACCACCCACAGTCCTTAATTTATCCTCTTGCTGCTGCCAGACCGGCAACAACTCCAGGTCAGAAGAGAGCCACTGTCTGAACAAGAACAAAGATCAGTGATGAGTGCATGCTTTGGAAAGACCAAAAGAGCAAAACCAGCATTTGCTTCTCTAAATCATCGGCCCATGCGACTGTAAACAAATACGCACGTGTCCATGAGGCCACCAACACTCAGCTGTAATGGCAGTTATTGTGGGTCCTCCAGTTATTCAAACTGAAAAAACGTTGTCATGTAAATGCCAATAAATGCACAATGACAGTGTTGCATGTCTTTACAAAACAAGTACCAGTATGATTCTTAAAAGTTAGATTTCTCTTTGCATTTGTTAACAGCCCCTTCAAATGTGAGTTGTAGATGATGTGCAGAAAGTGTAGCCGGTCCAACCATAAAGTTTATTGTTAAACTTTGCTGCTTTTAAGATGATGCAGTTAGTCTGGTTTGTTGACATTTTCCCTGTCTCTGTTTTTACCTAACAGTTGGTGGGCCAGTTCATTGCACGCGCGGTTAGTGACCAGATATTATCCAAGAGCTACATCGAAGGTTACAAAGGCAGAGTGGACTGTGAATTTACCAGGTATGTAATTGTTTGCACCAGGACTTGGAAATGTTTGGTTGAAATGGATGTACATACATGTAGTGTAAGTGCTTCTTATGAAGCAAAGACAGTAGTTCATGTAAAGGGGAAAGTTTGTGTTGGAGTATGACAACCTCAAACCTCGCCTTTGTTCATCATTCAGGGCGGCACTAGACCGGGCGACAGTGCTTTTGAAGATGAGCATGGGTGGCCTACGCATAGAAAACCAGTGGGGGGCAGGTGGAGGCCAGAGACCTGTCATCCAGCTCATCAAAGAGGTACATAATATAAAAGTAGACCTTCACCCTGACAGCATTAATCTGGTGACTACTGTTTGCTCCTGTTTTAATACTGTTTGCACTTTTTCATCACATTTTTTACAATCCAGCATTAAGTGTCTGATATGACAAAATCTCTCTGAAAATCATTGTTTGATCTACTTAGAGTAATGCAATATGTGTGCACAGACAACACTTACTTGGCTCGTGAAAATGGAAGATACAGCCCACAGATGAATGGCTATGCAACATGTTTCCCCTTTGTTTCACAAAGCTGAGCTTTTAGCTCTCTATTTTACACTACTGCTGAACCCCTCAGAGAAAGCAGTGCCCAGGTCCTTTTCTCAAAGCAACAAGTGCTGCTTGTTTTTCATCAGTATCAGTGCATCAGTAGGCTGTACCGTGAATCCAAAGCCATGTTCTGGGTGGTCAGCCAGTAGTTATAAATAGTAATAACTGAGTGTGAAGTCTGGTTTTAAGATAACGCCGTATTTTGGGGCATTAAGAAAAATGCCAAATTTTGATACATCTGTGTCCTGTTTCTCTATCTTGTTAGATGAACCTGCTGCTAAAGGAGTACATCCTGTCTGGAGACTGCAAGGAGGCTGAGAGGTGCCTAAGAGATTTGGAGGTTCCCCATTTCCACCATGAGTTTGTATATGAGGTAAAAACTTTTCTTTAGTTGAAGACACAACAGCCAAAACTCAACTAAAATTTCATAAAAGTAGGGCCAGAGGCAGAGTGGAGAACAAGTCCTAAAAAAAAGACACAAAGATGTTCACGTTGAGCCTGAAAAGCATCAGAGCATAGACTGTATATTAAATATTATATTAAACCTTTGTGTTACATCTTTCATTACATTATCTTTATTATTATTATCTTTCATGTTACATATATTGTCACTATGTTGTCACTGCTTATAAGAGAAAAAAAACATCTAGAGATGCTGATTCCAACAACTCTACTGAACAGCCTGGGCTTTATTCTGACATTTTTGCACAGAGATAGGGTCGGATTTAATTCGGATTTTGAATACTCTGTTTTGGCATGTGGACATAAATTGAGTGATAACACACAGAAAGCTACCACAGATGCAATGCTATCAATTTTTTCTAGTACTAGAGGTGTATACCTACCCAAAAATCACTATGAGAATTATTCCCCCCAGTTGATACCGATGACCCCATATTTTGAGTCCTAGCTCGAGGCCTATATAGAATGGGCAAAGTCTGCCTCCTTGCTGGGTGAAGCCACTCCGAGAACAGCACCCTCTGTTGATGGGCTGCAGTATAGGTCATAAATCCCATGCTTATGGAGTTGTGGACAAACTTTAGAAATTTATTACACAGAACATAAATTTTTCTCCCCTTTGCTTGTGATGTTGACATATAGTTATTGTAAGACTGGTTTGTGCTCAAGTCCTCTTTTTTTCTGTGCAGCTCCGTTTTTAAAAGTTATTAAAGGGTTCATGTTTTCTATGATTGACACTTGATACAGCCTATCGGTGTACGAAGATTGCGTAGCTCTCCCGTGGGATACACTGTTTGAGCCGAGCGTCATCACAGCGAGTCTTGGCGACTCTGCTCGCCCAAATGCGCGCATCGCTACTGCGCAGCGCTGGTTTCAGGAAATGAAGAAAAATCCTGGAAATACCAAGAGCTATTTGGCTTCAAATCTGTATACAGGCTGTAGGCGGAACCAAGTTGTCCATAGTATATACAGTCTATGCATCAGAGCTGTACACCAATGACAGGGCTCTCCTCTGTATTCTCTGTGAAGTTTGTACATTTTCTTTGTCACTACTGAAGAGGAATTATGAATGACACAAACAATGTGGATAGAGTAGCATCATTGTTGGCTCCATATATCACCAAGTGCCAATACTTAACAGCAAACGAGTGTTAACACAAGGCTGTGATTGTTCCTGCTGTCCTCCTCAGGCGATAGTGATGGTGTTAGAGTCCAAGGGAGAGAAAACCTTCAAAATGGTTCTGCAGCTACTCAGGTCACTCTCTACCTCCTCTGTCATCACTGTGGACCAAATGAGAAGGGTAAGGTGCCCCCTGGTGTTTGATCTATGCAGTCTACATTGCTACATCAACAAGTATGTTTTTTAGACTCATCAGATACATGTTTATTCATAGTTGGGTTTTTTTTCATCTCAGGGTTACGGAAGAGTTTATATAGACATTGCTGAAATCAACATTGATGTTCCACGAGCATACTTCATCCTGGAACAGTTTGTTGATGAAAGTTTCAACATGGGAATCATAGATGCAAAGTTGAGAGATCTTTGTCCTTGTCGGTAAGTGCACATGGTTTTCACATTTCGAACACATTTCTGGATGTCAGGTTTTTCCACAATTAATCGTGCCCGCTCTGTCTCATCAGGGGCCGCAAGAGATTTGTCAGCGAGGGCGACGGTGGCGTCGTCAAACTTGAAAGCTACTGAGGGAGGGAATCCCTTTTATGTGCCACATCTCACGTATAGACAAAGATGAAGCTACTTTTTTACTTGCATATTTTCCAAAAATGTTGGGTACAAATATATTTTCCCTTCAGTTGAAAAGAATGTACATTTCTGATATTGAGGTGGCACAAAAAAAAAGCTGCACTTTTGATTGAAACTGAAGTAGATGATGTTCTCCAAGGTGTTTCAATACAAGCATTTACATAAGCTAACCCTTAAAGTGTCACACCTCTCTGTGTCAGTCATTCCATGTTGTTTTGTACAGTATTTTTCTTGAGTTCACTGCCACTCCTTTTGTCTTTTCTAGAAAGCAGTGTTTGTACAGAGATGACTGGTTTGTGTCAGGAGCTTTATAAAAAGGTATAGAAAAACCAATAAATGAAGGGGTCTTTTGAGTAAATGGCCCCCCTATTAACTGCTGTTTCTGTGCTTGACTTTTGTTCCCTTTTACACATACACAAACACACATTGTTGAAGATGTTGAGTGTGAGTAAAGTTAAAAAAATATATATATATGTTATATAGACACACACACACACCCGTGAAATAAATTAACGAGTAGTATTTTGAGTGTTTATTTTATTTTTTGAGGGTTCTGAATGTGTTTTTTTAGATTTTAGTTGTTTTCCTTCCCACCTGTGTCCTTTGTCTTATTATACTTATTTGGACAACGCTGAAGTTTACATATTATTCACAGGCTCCAGGTCATCTGTTACAGAGATGGTTATAGAACCACCGTCCTGATCCAAAGCCACTACACTGAGACTTGCCCGATTTAGACTAGATTATCAGAGACTCTACAGATGTCTTGAAACACATTTTCTTATTTGGTGTACCTTAAAGGGTGATTTATAGATGTGGAAAACAAAAAAGCAGGGAACCACCATGTCTTGCATTTTCACAGACAAAGTAAAGTTAACATGGATCTGGAAATGTGAATAACCCCCCCCCCCCATTAACTTGCTTGACTTTTCTTCCCTTTTACACATACACACATTGTTGAAGATGTTGAGTGTGAGTAAAGTTTAAATATATATATATATGTTATACAAACACACACACACGCCTGTCAAATACATTTACAAGTAGTATTTTGATTGTTTATTTTTATCTTGGCAATATAAGTAAAATGAATCACCTATTGCTCAACATCCATGTGTTGAAGAGGGGTCTAGTGGCTGAAGCAACGTATCAGCTCCATGACAACAAATCATAGTATCTCCCTGACATTGCACTAAACTGGGCATGCTAGTACATTTTCTATAGGTATTTAGAACCCTGGACTTGTGCCTGGCTCTGAATGTCTTTTTTGGTTATTTTCACACACTTTGTGCTGCAGCATTGGGCATCTACTGTGATAGCTCCTTCATTGCCAGTTCCTGCTGTTTAACGGCCTCTTGCGCCTCCATCTGCATCTTCTCCAATTTCTCCAGGGTGACTGATTTGAGTGGGAGCAGCTTTGGCTTGCACAGAACCATGGTAGGAACATCTTCCATGTGAAGCTGCCCTGTGGATTTGGACAAAAAAGAATAGTAAAAATTGAGACAGTGTAAAACTCCTTATGTCCCTCGATTTGTGCAATTATTGGTTTAAATGCAAAATTGAAAATAGCATTTCACACTTCAGCTGTGACAATCAATCAATCAAACTTTATTTTTGAAGCACTTTTCATACATATAATGTAGCACAAAGTGCTGTCCATTCAAGCAGGATATTAAAAACAATGAAATAAAATTAATAAAAATACAAATACCAAAACCCACCCTTCCCCCCAACCCCCATTCATCACATACAGCACTCACACACACAGATAAATACACAAAAGACTAGGTGAGGACTCCTTAACTTGCCACGGATGACTGAGGACAAATGTTCTGTTTGTCGAAAAAAATTAGGCATATATCTCTGAAACTAAAGGGCCATCACTGCAAAGAAAGTCTGGTTAAACTGCCTTATTCAAAACCTGAAATCTACAGGATTTTAAGAAAAGGATGAGCATTGGTAAATTTATTGTATGTTGTATTTTTTTTCTTCACCGATGTGTTTTTACTACCTGTTATAGCAATTTTTTCAATCACATTTTAATTACATTTAACAGACCACATGCTCAGGCCCTGGGTATCTTGTACTCTCTAAAAGTTTTAAAGATGTGGCACCAAAGATACAGTTTCATTTAGCCATGTTACTGACCCCAATAATAACATTGTTTATACAACAACAGTGTCGATGGCGTTACACTGCACAGAGCACCCACTGACTCATTTTGCACGCTTTTGCACATTTTTAAACAGTTCACATGCTGGATGGAGCTCCACAAATAGCCTTTTGTCTAAATAACTGCAGTCCAAATAACGAAGTGCTGTGGTAGGCTACAAACCTTGTTTAGGCAGAACTTCTCTGATTATTGACTTGACTTCTGGCATTGTTTTGTTCTGCCAACTGAAAAGGTAAACATATTAGTTTATTCGTAATGAATACAGGGAATGGTTCATAAATTTATTTCATACCTTAAAAGGACAGAAGCACTGAAGTAAAGCCAAACGTAAACATTTGAAACTAATGGGTTGTTAAGATTTACTGCTAATATTCCTCAGTCGAAAGCGAATGGTGATCCGATTGACAAACCATTCATGGTTGAGGGTTTTCAATCAGAGAGCACTCGATATGTTTCAGTCAAGCAAATTTAGGTTACTTTGGGCTGAAAACAGAATAAAGTGGCGTTAAAACCATTTTTCAGCATGGTGACTTTACATAGTCACATTAAAGTACAGGAATACGGTCAATGAGACAGTGTAGCAAAGACAGAAAATCATAAAAATAGACAAAAGAAAGCGACAGACTGTAATACAGCTGATGAGAGGATTGGGGCTAACGCTGTTTACTATAGCCAATACACACAGTTAACGGAACAGATTTAACACTAAAGTACACAGTTCAAACGGCCCTACTACATTATTAATTACTTGTCGAATGTAATTACCACAGCTTAAATGATCGCTTTCGTCGTATGTAATCATATCAAACCAAAACATTGCATAGAACATTGTAGATGAGCTTACCTTTTTTCCCAGCGGAAAGGTTATAGTGGTTGTCAAGCCAACACTTCCGCGAGAATGACGTGACGTTCTTCTTCGCCTTAATTTTCAGGTACAGTACTTTACTGACACCCACTGGCAGTTCTCAGTACAGCATTCCCAAAACCCACTTTATCGTTTTATATTTCTTAAAACAAGAATTTTAAATGGCAATTGTATTTTTTTTCACTTAAATTTAGCTGAATATCCGCAACAGATTCACGTGATTGGACAGCTGTTTACTCCAAAGTAGTGAATATTAGCTTACTTCTTTTTTTGCCACCTTAGTCTCCCTAAAAGTGATAAATCATGCTAACATAGTGACCGCTAGCGGTCATTTCTTAAGCGGTCATTAAGACCAATTTGCTCTTAATCAGTTATATTAGATATTTAGTATATAAAAAAATAGTTTAGTTTTTTTTTCCCTCTTGTCAATAAACTGTGCAGTTGTTTAGAGAATCAGTGCGTTTTCTTGAAAGCTTTCTAAATGACCAGTTTTGAGCTACAGGGACTTTTTGTTCTTTTTATTGTTAAGTACAACAAAACTATTGCATATGTTAACTCCAAATATTTATATGGCCAGGTTTCACAGTCCTGTCTCAACATAAGGTCTCTGTCAAATAAATCTTTTATTTGGCAAGATTTTATTGTCTTTCATTTCGTGTTAAATGAACCTGGATGAATGTTGGTGACTCTGCCCTCTTGATAGGCTCCTCACCCCCTATTTTTTTTCTTTTCTGATCCAACCCTGATTATCTGGAAGAGGGAGGGGGCTTGCTGTGATTTATTACTTGTCTTCCAATCATTTGAATCACTATGTTTTCATATTAGGGGGGACCTGAAAACAGAGTATTTTAATTAATAGACCCCTAAATCTGTGTCTGTCTCTGGGATCTATTGTAATGCCAATATATGATTGTGTTCTGATTTCAGGACATTTTGATGAACATGTTTGCTGCCCTGACAGTCTTTTAGCCTCTGAGTTTTTAAACATTGTTGTCTTTCAATTTGAACAGGGTTATCACGGGTCCAGCCTCAAAAAAGGTCACTCTGTCCTCTCTCATGGCTTTTTAATTGATAATGTCCTCTATAATAATTTAAGTGCTTCATACCATAGCTGCATAATATTTACATCCATGCTTCAACTCAATCAGCCCAGAAATAACCCAATTTATGCAGAGGTTAAAACTGCCTGAGCCATGTATTTTAGTGATCTGATTGACAAACACATTTTTTACAGATGTGCTTTTATGGGAGTTCTTATCTGAGAGTGTTTTAATCTTTTATATGCTGCTTTTATTCCGAGCACAAGCAGTAGGTCCTCACAGGCAGGATCTTTCATCTTTTATCTTCAATCTTTTAACTATTTTGATAGGTATATGTGTGTATGTATACAGTAATGTATGTTGTGTGTTTGTATTTATCGAGTATGCATATTTATGTACATATCCTTATAACTTGCTTTATGCTGGTCCATTAACACCTTGATGGACCAAAGGGCCAATGGTGGTGGACGGCACCTCTCTCTTTGCTGCAGGACAGAAAGATTCAGAAGATCTTTTGTACCAACAGCCATTAGACTTTATAATTCTTGTGTAAATAGTCGATAACTTTTTTGAAGACATATTATGTGAGACAACAGACAATTGAATTTCCCTCCAGGGATTAGTAAAGTTATTCTTAATCTTATTCTTGTGTTTTTTGTGGCCTTTTTGTTTTACATTTTTTCCTTTTCAATTCTGCTATTAATCTTTCTCTTATACTTTTTATTAAGTTATATGTTTGCATATTTCTTGTTATTAAATCACTGTAAACTTTCAGTTATTGTTTTCCTCACATTTCTCTTTAATGTGTCTTTCTGTTTGTTTCGATATGTGAAACACTTTTTAAACCTGTTTTTAAAAGTGCTATACAAATTTAATTTGTCATTAATATGATTATTATGACTTTCAAGGGGAATCAACGGGCTGTTTTTTTATGTATTTTTAGGTAAAGTAGAAAAAATTTGAAGAATTTGGAAATCTAAAAAAATATTGGCATTTTAGGCCTGAAAAAAAATAAGACTGTTCCATTTCCTCTGGACGTGTGCTCGTGTGGTGGGGGCGTTTAAAACAAGCGTGCTGGGCTTCAGTAAACAAATTAAGAACATTTACTCGGGATGGAGCCCTATGGCTGTAGTGTCAGACTATACGGGAAGAAAATCTGGTTTACATGTGTGGGATATGTAAATGACGGTAATGTTTATCTTGGAATATTTAATTGTATATCAAAGTCTCGTGATAACATTGGTTAGGCGAGTGAATGACGCAGTTTGGTATCAGGGGAGGGAGGGGAGCGGAGCAGCAGTTTAGGAAAAGAGGAGGAAGCAGCGAGGATGGTGGAGTCACACCTCTGAAGGTAAAACAGTAGTATTATCACATTTACAGTGGACGTTATACTCCTCAGTACTGTAGCGCGACACTCTACGATAATAATCCTCCCGTCCGTCTGTAGTTGCAGCGTGTTTAAGGCTGAAGTGTCATTTTGAGGTGGCGAAAACGAACGCACTCTTTTGTTCAGCTCCAGAATGGCCGCTGTTTTTCACACTGTTTTCTTTTTTTCCTCTGCTAATATTCAACACGAGAACGCCGCTTAGATACAGTGTTACTGTTATTAGGCATCTCAAGTACCTTCAATAGCCATTTTGCGGAGATATCCTTCGCTAACGCTCGCTTGTCTCTTTCGGTGTCTACTACCTGACTGCGCTCCGTTGGCTGTAGCTGAGGTTTCCCCTCTCGGACGGATCGGTCCGCGTCCGACAGCCGCTCCGCTCGGGCCTACCCACACAGTTAGCTCTGTTTAAGTTAAAGCTAATCGCTGGATGTGAGTATATATATGTCAGAGAAAACCTCCACCTACTTCATACAATCTCACAAGTGTCTATATGTGCTCGTGTGATTATCCTGTCTCGGCTGTGTCGTTACTGCTCCCGGTTGGATCTAAATAAAAGGTTAGCTTGTGGGCTAACTTAGCTTTGTAGCATAACTGACGTTTGCTTCGCTGTTGACGTTTAGCTTAGCTGCTTCATTTCCTGACTTGTTGTCAATCGTTTCAGCGGGATTTATCACTGTATTTTACTTTTACCAAAGGTTTCTCATGAACGATATGTTCCAGAGATATATTCATACTCACTCTCAAAGCATTAGAGAGTTTAGCCTACGTGAATCGGCTGATTAGTTAGCTGGTTGATTCTTGGTTCACAGTCACAACGTAACGTTTAAGCAATAATACTCTCCATATCGTGGTATATTTTTTAAATTACAGTTTTCGTGACAAAGCCACTTGCTCGGAAACATTGTCTTTGTGTGTTCATATGAATAGAAACAATCTCGATTAGTGCCTCTACTTCCTGACCTGGTACCTTTCTATCGGTAACCAGTTTCTGAAGGTTTGTCACTGGCACACGTAGCCAACTAGCTAGCTGCGTCCCTTGAGTGGTGTTCCAGTAATGTTGGCAACGTTCGCCTGAATATTCAGTTTAAACTGTCAAGCCAGGTTATCTCTGTTAAATTCTTCTTCTTCTTCTTCTTCTTCTTCTTCTTCTTCCTATTATTATTATTATTATGAGCCACTTGCTTACCATCAACGTCAACGTGTTTTCCTTCCCACCTGTGTCCTTTGTCTTATTATACTTATTTGGACAACGCTGAAGTTTACATATTATTCACAGGCTCCAGGTCATCTGTTACAGAGATGGTTATAGAACCACCGCCCTGATCCAAAGCCACTACACTGAGACTTGCCCAATTTAGACTAGATTATCAGAGACTCTACAGATGTCTTGAAACACATTTTCATATTTGTTATACCTTAATTCTACTTAAAATAAGTGCAAGAAAATGCGTTTTTCCTGCTGTTTCAATCTCTAGTCCACATCGAACCAGGTCCTGATCCAGAGCCATGATATCTAGACTTGATCTGGAGTAGATTTTCCCAGAGAGACAAGAGACGTCTTACATTTCTGTTTCTGTTTTTGTGAAAATTAAAGAGAGGGTGATTTCTAGATGTGTAAAAAAAACGGGGAACCGCCATGTCTTGCATTTTCACAGACAAAGTGAAGTTAACATGGATCTGGAAATGTGACTGTAGCCTCTCTAGAATAATTTAGTCCAGCTCTGTGGAGCCTAGGTATTGTGATTTTGGATCAGGACCTGGTTCGTATCAGTCAAGTCCAGATTTAACAACAAGTCTGGGTCTACTGCTTTTTGATCAGGACTTAGTTTCTTTAACCCTACCAATAATAGTCAAATCAAAAGCTGAAAAGAAGCTGCTAACCTCAGTTTTATCAAAAGGGGCTGGGTCAGAGAATTGATGGTAATTTTTACAAGTCCTTGGAAAAAGTTATTGAGCTAGAGACATTTTTTCAACTTCAAAATAATACAAGGCACACACAAACATCCAAGTGTGTCAGTGCTTCATGACTTCTTGCAGTGGTGTTAATGTCAAGAATCCTGCATGTTTTGTATTCCTCAGCCAATCAGGTGTTATGGTGATCTGAAGTGTAATTGCCATGCTAATTATTAATCACTTTAGATTGCTGTGTTGCTATAATTATATATTTATCACGGGCAACACATTATATTGTGTGACCCTGCAGCTTCCACTCCACTGTGTGTTGTATTTCCTCTGTGTAATCCAAAAGGAACTGCTGTGGAGATCATGAGAATGGTATGCAGTACTGTCTTGGCTTAAAAGCTCTGGTTTTATCAGCTTAGATATCCTTAATGGAAATTTCATTAGTCCCCATTAGGGTTGCAAGTGCCATGAAGTCCGTTTTATGTTGGCATTGTTTTAGCCTTGATGGGCATGCATTAGCTTTTCACCAAAGCTATGAGTTGAGTCTCATGTTTACATGTGTCAAATTGTCTTTACTTCATGGGACACAAGCTCTTTTAAGTTTTGTCCTACCTTAATGGCTTTACTGTTGTGTTGTTGTCATTATTATTGCACGGTTGTGGCCAACATCTGCAACAGGATGAACATAAAAATGAAAGTGAGTCCCTACAAGATTAGTGGATATACAACTGAATTATACAGCACCCATTAAAATTGATTTTTGATTTAAAAGGGGGAAAAAAAGATTGTATTGTGACAAGTGATCACACTCATTTTGGGATAACTAAAGCAGTGGTTCTCAAGTCCAGTCCTCGAGGTCCACTGTCCTGCATGTTTTGGATGTTTCCCTGCTCCAACACACCTGATTTAAATGATTAGCTCGTTATTGAGCCATAACAGAGCTTGATAACGAGCTGATCATTTGAATCAGGTGTGTTGGGGCAGGGAAGCATCCAAAACATGCAGGGCAGGGGGCCTTTAGGACTGGACTTAAGAACCACTGACCTAAATGACTGTGTACATGTCTGCCTATCCTTGTCCTCATGCTGGAACTCTTCAGTTATTATGTTTCACCAAAGGTAGGCTCTGTCTCAAGTGAGCTAGTGATAGTAACAGGATAACACCATCCCCTGATGCTCTGTTTTTGCACATGTAGTAATCTGATTTGTCTTCCATTTCTTCAGCTGGAGGCCAGCTTTCTTTTTTGTCTCCTGAAATTTAAACTACGACTTTGTTTTGCAAGCAAGAGAAAAATACAACTAAAGTAACTCTTCCTTTGATTTGGTTCAACTTTGACGTATGAATGAAATTACTGAGTTTCTGGACCTCTTATCTTGTTTCCTTGTCAAAAGTGCCAGTGTTTGCGTTCATTTCATAAATATAATACAGAGTGAAAGTTGAGTGAAATCGACTTGCTCAATGAGATGTTAACCATTTCTTTAAGGACTTTAATTTAGTTAAAGGCAGAAAACTTCCAAGTCTGGAGATAGAGACGTAAATCCACACAGATTGGGTTTACGTGCAGTTTGTTATAAACAGAATGATGTACCAGTGCAGGCACACAGAGAGCACATCCTTAAAAGGAAGTTGCTTGCACAGTTTGGTTTTGATTGCCCCAGCATCTTGGCTGGCCTGGCTGCTGTCATTTTAGGCTAATAATGAGATTGTACAGGTATGCCCTAAACAGCCATTGTTAGAGGTTCACCCCCTTATTTATAACAGGCCAGAGGAGCAGTAGATAACTTTTTTATTTACAGAACACACTGTTAAGCACTCTGTCATGTAAGTGGGTGCTGCTGCTATTGACCCAACATTTCTTTTAGCCAAAAGGTCACATGACCTGTTGTTGTGGGGGCTTCATGCTTTGAAGGCCACTTCTAAAGATTACGCTCAGCAGTTTTAACCTTTTCCCTCAGCTCTGATCCTGATCCAAACCTGCCTCTCTTTCCACCAAAGTTGAGCTTGTACGAGTGCAGGAGAGCTTTGCACAGTCACAGAGGTTGAACAGCACCAGAGACTAAACAGAGACAGACTGCCAGAGACATCCTGGCTCAGTTTGTCATGTAAAAAAATCCAAAGAGCTGCATGTTTGGCCTGGATCTCTGTTGGATGTAAATTTTTGTGTTATGTTACAGACTTTGAAGGGGATGCACTTGCAGCTGAAAGTATGTTAAGGTGGGGCTGCAGGCTTAAAGTAATGTCAACACCCGCTTGGCCATGTTTGTTTAGTAGGAGTAAGTTGGTATGAGGTTATGCCTTGTACATTAAACAGATATACTTGGGCAACACACACTACCACGTATTTCATACTACTGACAACCTGTCAAACCTGTTGAAGCATTATTTTGTGTTAAGTACAGCGCAGGATATTTTTCATGTCCTTTCCAATTGTGTTCCTTAGTTTTTATCTTCCGTGTTCAGCATTGAATGCTCCACATGTGTTTTGATGAAATTCTGTGTACATTAATATTTGTATCAGACGTACCATTAGGCATGAAGCACTCATCTGAAGAGTGTCATCAGTGTGGATTTAGCAGTGAGCAGGCTTAACTGGCTCTCATTTCTAACTTCTGCATCCTGTTATGGATATGATCCTGCAAGTCCTCAGCATTTTTTGTGTGAAATTTCTTTCAACACTGCCTGATAAGTCAGAAAAACAGCATTTGTACAATGTATTCAACTTTATGTGGCTAATATTGTTCAGGGCTGTGCTTACCTGCTAGTATTTTGACTGTCTTCAGTTAACAGTGAAGTACAGAGACAGCAAATTAGATCATTGCTGCTTAAAAGTTATAACCTCACAAACCCATGATTCTCTTTTTTCAACTGAGATATCTGCAAAGTTTATTTCAATAGCTATGATACACTGTAGGGCTGCACGATTAATCGATTTTCAATCGTAATCGTATCACTTGATGATGACGATGTTAAAAAAATGAAAATCATTGAATCTATTTTCCTCTCTACCATGTCTCGCGCCTCCAGGCCACCATATTCCCCCTTCCTGAAGTAGCGCTCCCCAGTTCCCACACACACCAGCGTAAATAAAGATGGCGTTTGCAAAAGTAGTCGATGATTTCGTGGCTATAAGGGGCAAGAGCAAGTCAGTCATGTGGAATTGTCATGGCTTTGCAGTTTTGGATAAAGAGCAAACCACTCCCCACTGCAAAGCCTGTCTGAAGGCGGTATCAATTCAGGAGTAAACGCAAAAGTTTTTTGTCTTATCGGAAGAGGGTCCGAAAGGATTTGATGCGCTCCTTGGTGACTCATAAGTCGGAAATAACGTTGTGTGTTGTTGTGCTCACACAGTGCGTGTAGAATCATCCAGCAGCGGCGCACTGCTGAATGAATGTAGAGGAAACACTGCTGATACATATGAGTCCGAGGTCGAACTGTGTGAGATAAAACCAAATTTTTTTTTTTAGGTGTGGCGGCTTTTTTTTTAACGATCAAATGCATGGAGGGGAAACCCTGGTAAAATACTGTTTTCTGTGGTTTCGTTTTGAGAGACGATAGAAAAACGTATTAAAGTAAAATTTGGTGAAGTTGTTACTGAATTAAAAATTTAAAATCGAAAATCGAGTCTTCAGAGGAAAAAAATGGGATTTTGTTTTTGGCTAAAATCGTGCAGCCCTACTACACTGTAGGCATTTTATTAGAATTTTATGTCCAATTCTCCACAAATATTCCTTATCTTTCTGCCACAGCAACTCTTCAGTGTAAGTTGTGGTGAGAAATTTCATCTTAGAGAAGAAAACAAGTTTAATTGGTGTTATAATACTCAGCTGAAACTTCACTGTGTCCCTAGTTTTCCCACAGAAGTATAAGTTTATTTGTACCTGTTAATTAGCAAATCTGAACCTTAAGCCTCACCGATTTTTCAGTGGTTAGTGACAATAATTGACAGGAATACAATTCAATTGGTCTACTGTATTTGTTTGATGGGAAAGCTTGATGTCAAAATATTGATACTGTAAATATGACTAACAGGTTTTTTTTTCTTTTTTCCCTACAGAAGATCTTTGATGGATTTAAAAAAAAAACCTTCATGACCTTTGCAGCCTGAAAGAATTTTAACTGAAGGTCCTGGGATTGTATGCAGTTCAAACACTCAAGCATGTGGCCCATGGGTGCCACAATCCAGCTACTTCAAAGGATTTTTTCTCTTATGGCATTTTAACAAAGGAACAAAGTATCAAAAGTATCCAAAAAAACCTTTGGATCACAAGGTCTTTATTTCCAGGATAATCATAAATGTGTGGGCCTGCACAGGGATGTTTTCTGTAAAAGCCTGCTCGACTATCTGCGCCCCCTTTTCCTAGAATAAGTAACCCGGCAAGAGAGACTCCCATGAGCAACTCTGCAGGAGGCCCGATTACGTCGACATGAGTAGTACTTTAGGAAAGGATAAAGAATCAAAAGAAAAGGACCCGAAAGGTGGTCCTGCAGGGAAAGAAAGGGAAAAGGAGGCCAAGGCTCTGGCCAGCTTAGTCAAGGATGGGGGCAAAGAGACGAAGACCAAAGGGAAAGATGCCAAAGAAGGAAAGAAGGACACCAGCAGCTCGACACCAGGTGTTGCCTTTTCTGTTGACAACACGATAAAGCGGCCAAACCCGGCACCAGGTACACGCAAGAAGTCTAGCAATGCCGAGGTGATCAAAGAGCTTAACAAGTGCCGGGAGGAGAACTCAATGAGACTGGACCTATCAAAGCGGTCCATTCACATGCTCCCCACCTCTATTAAAGAGCTGACGCAGCTGGCTGAACTCTACTTATATAGCAACAAGCTGCAGAGCCTGCCAGCTGAGGTGGGTTGCCTATCAGGCCTGCTCACTCTGGCCCTGAGTGAGAACTCCCTGACCAGTTTGCCAGACTCCCTGGACTCCCTTAAGAAGCTTCGAATGCTTGACCTCAGGCACAACAAGCTAAGGGAGATACCAGCTGTGGTCTACCGGCTGACATCTCTAGCCACACTGTACCTGCGCTTCAACCGCATCACGACAGTGGAGAAGGACATCCGAAACCTATCCAAGCTCACCATGCTCAGCATCCGTGAGAACAAGATTAAACAGCTGCCTGCAGAAATAGGTACATAGAAGTTCTGGTCCAAGAATGCACTCTTTGCCAAGTTTAGACTAATACATATGCAGGTTTATCAATATTTCATTTGTACCAATGCCTATTGTATCTTCATTGTCTTTTCCCTATGTAAGAGAGTGTTGTACTGTAAAACCCATCCTACCCTCTGTGCCAGTGCCATTCAGGTTTCACGAGGACTGAAAGAGAGAAATGAGTGGTTGTCTTGTGTGAGGCAGATGTGACCGAAGCACTTGCTTCTAAAATCATCCAGATAACTGATTTGACTTTGCACCTCTCTGCAGGGGAGTTGTGCAGCCTCATAACTCTTGATGTTGCCCATAACCAGTTGGAACACCTACCCAAAGAGATTGGGAATTGCACACAGATCACCAATCTCGACTTGCAGCACAATGAGCTCTTGGACCTCCCAGAAACCATCGGTAACTTCTATTTATATAATGACTTCAAAGCTAGAGCGCAGTTATTCTGTTGCAACGCAATCCAAGTTCACTTTGGACATGTTTCTTTTTCTTGTAGGGAATCTGGCAAGCATAAACCGTTTAGGTCTGAGGTATAACAGATTGTCCGCCATCCCAAGATCACTGGCCAAATGTCGAGAACTGGAGGAGTTGAACTTAGAAAACAACAACATTTCAGTGTTGCCAGAGGTAAGAAGAATCAAATATAATCACCTCATCACATTTGTAATCACTACTGTCTAAAGTTTTTCTTTAAGCTAAAAACAATGTCTTTGTTTACTATCATTTCTTCTTTTCAATCATTACAAAGGACTATTTTGATTCCTTGAGACTTAGTGTCCATTGTCTAAAATATTCATACTTGCAGCCGTCTAACACACCTGGATTAACATGAATGCTGCTATTGCATTTGAAGTGATCATCACAGCTTATCACACCTCTTCAGTGGTGTCCTGATCGTATCATTTCTGTCATGTCTCTGTTTCTATTCTTGACCAGGGCCTACTGTCAAGTCTGATCAACCTGACCAGTCTAACGCTGGCCAGGAACTGCTTCCAGTCGTACCCAGTGGGTGGACCGTCCCAGTTCTCAACTATCTACTCCCTCAACATGGAGCACAACCGTATCAACAAGATCCCCTTTGGTATCTTCTCCAGGGCCAAAGTGTTAAGCAAGCTTAACATGAAGGTATCTACGCATGTGTGACCATGGAGTTAGTCAACAGAAGCTTTCCTGTGATGATTTTTCAGTCTTAAACCAGTGGAGATATTATCATGGTCTACAATCTTCTTAATTTGGATTTAGGGGTTATTCCCAGCAGACATTTTTGATAGGAGGAAAGGTACCAGAACATTAACAATGCCCCAGTAAGCCATAGAGTCAGAATCCACAACATAAGCACAGCATAACTGAAGCAACAAATGGAATCCATTTGTCATTATTTTATAATTTACACCTGTACTTTTCCTGCTGAGACATGTCCAAATATTTCCAGTTAAGAGGCCAGTGGAGGCATGTGAGAGTGAATTTGACGGTTTTCATACCTGAGTGTGTCAGAAACAGAAATTATTCACTCTCATATGTCACAAGAATGCCTCACTTGTTCAATCTGTTGTCTCTCGAGTACAAAGGTTTGTGTACTGTTGGATTTGACTGCAGTTTGCAGATGTACTGTAGAGGTGGGCATATCCTGAGCATTAAATGGCAGAGGTCCAGTGATACATATTTACTTGTTAGATCATATTAGATTACACATTTTGAAATGCTTTTCAAAGGTCCTTTTTCTTCTTTTCCATTTTGTACACAGGCAACCACGTCTCCCACTCCCTCTCAAACAGCACTGACTTGATTGTCTGAATTGTCATATATTTTCTTATGAAAGTGTGTTATTGGTTTCCCCAGGACAACCAGTTGACGTCTCTGCCATTGGACTTTGGCACATGGACCAGCATGGTTGAACTGAATCTGGCTACCAATCAGTTGACAAAGATCCAAGAAGACGTCTGCGGTTTAGTCTCTCTGGAGGTGAGTTTTACACACACACACACACACACGCATATTGTAGGACTTGCAGGCGCTCAAGCCTCTGCATTTATCGTAGAAATAGGAAGTGTCATCACATAAATAGTTTTAATTTGAATGAAAATAGTGTAAGTTGTGTTTCATAAAGGGCTAAATGGCTGATAAATCAGGACTGCAGGCCAATGCAGCACCCAGATTATTCTACAGGCATGTAATTCCAGTTAATTTATCCAAAGTTACTGATTTTCCAACTCAAACAGGTTAGCAGTGGTTCATTAAAACGTATTGTGAATAAAAGGGGGTAAAAACTTGCACAGTACAATGAGGAGAATTTCAGGGCATCCTCAGGTGGAAATGTGATTTTACTTTCCCCAGGATTCATGTGAATGTTTATGTTAATCTTGAACTCAGCCTGCAGTTTGAAATTGGCAGCAGTGTGCCATGTTCGCTGTTTGTGTTTATCCGGGAGCTGTTTTTGCACTCAAGAGAACAGAACATCCATGGTATCCAAAAGAATGCCAAATATTGATTAGTCAGACCACAGGACAGTTTTTCTCTTTTCCTCTGTCCATCTTAATAAGGCTTGGAAGCAGGGAAGTGTCCAGTGTTTCTGGATCAGGACTATGTGTCCTCCTTGCATGGTGCAGATTTGACCTGCATTTGTGGATACAGTCATAGACTGTAATCAGAGGGTTGCTGGAAGCCAAGTTGAGCAAATGCTGTGACTTCCACTACAGACTCATGTCTGTTTTAAATACTGTGTCACCTGAAGGCTGGGGATGATGGCCATGAACTATAGTTTGTTTCTTTCAGCATTGTCTCTTTTATTTGTAGATTCCTCCAGATTCTCAAACTGTAGGTGATGAAATCCACAGATTCTTGGCAATATGACACAGAGGAACACTTTTCTGAAACTGTTGAAATATTTGCTCACACAGCCTTTCATAGAGTGATGGAGCTCTTACTATCTTTGCTTCTGATAGACTGGGCTTCTCTGAATGCCCTTTTATATCCTGATATGTTACTTACCCGATGTAAATGAACCAAATCAGTTGGGAGATGTTATTCATGGCCTTTTTTAAGTATTGCACAATTTTTCAGTTTGCTGTTGCCTCAGATTTTCTTATAATGTGTTACTGGCATCCAATTTAAAGTGAGGATACATTTATAGACAATGCATTTTTCACTTTAATTACCAAGCATGCTGTCTTTGATCCATTTTAAGGTATATATGGGGTTCAAGTGATCGGTAAACTATTAAATTCTGTGCTCTTTAATCAGCATTTTATCATGTCGTAACTTGTATCATAATACCTTTTGTTCATACTGTTCAAACCATTTTGTTTCAACAGGTTTTAATACTGTCCAATAATCTTCTCAAGAAGTTACCACATGGTATTGGAAATTTAAGAAAACTAAGAGAGCTGGACTTGGAGGAAAACAAGTTGGAATCTCTACCCAATGAAATAGCTTATCTGAAAGACTTACAAGTAAGTGTTCTTCAGGGATGTAGTTTTCCACATTAGATTTCCTGCCCTTTATTTTCAGTTGTTAGAAACGGGCCACTGGGCATGCTGTCCACCCATTAGATAATCATCCACAGATGGCCACTGTGAGAAATGAACAATCGTGTTAGATATAACTGGCTCATGACTGGCCCGTTGTATTAACAACAGAGGATCAGTGATGTGTCAACTGAACAGGATCACACCAAGAGTTAACGTTTTTAACATCGTCTTGTGTTTTTCACATTCAACAATATGTAACATGATGGGATCCTTGAGATGTTGAGATTTAGCTTCAACGCACTGAATTAGGTGCACCATTATCAGAGGTCAGCTCTTGATTTTGTTTACAAAACCCACAATTTGAACTAATTTGGCCTTTTGACATCTGCAAAACTTTTGAATCAGAGCTCTGCTAAATAATCTGTCTCACTGAGAAGTATCTTATTTTGAGAACATTATGTACCTATTTGTTTTGTGTACCTAAATGACCAGTTTAGGAAATTGTTGATGCAATTTAAATCTTAAACTCCTAAACTTTCTATGCGGTTGCTTTCTCTCATTAGAAATTGGTGTTGACAAATAATCAACTGACTACGTTACCCAGAGGCATCGGTCACCTCACCAACCTCACTCATCTTGGTTTGGGAGAGAACCTGCTACAACACCTTCCAGAGGAGATTGGTAAGCACTGTCTTCAAGTCACCAGTAGTCATAAATAAGGGGGGGGGGGGGGTGCCTTTGTTCAGGGAGGTTGATAGTGCAGCAAATCATTATGCTCTCTACGATAGATAAACATAGTCATCAGGATTTAAGGGCTAAACAGTTCAGTGTGACCTCTCTCTCTCTTACTCTCTAACCCTGGTGCGATCACAGCATGGATAGGCTGGTTACTGCGAGGTAAAGATTTAAGTCAGAGATTAAGATAGGTGGAGAAAGAAGCTAAAGCCTGGTGTATTTTTGGAGTGTCTAAACTGGACCAGAATTTAATTTTGCCCTTAACTTGACCTGTCTGCTGGCAGAAACCAAACACCTCCTTTTAACCACGAGAGCCATTGTTTGCTGTTCATTAAAGTATCTGTACTATGGCTAAAGAAACTGGCATTATTGTTAAGCTGCATGTTTCAGCTAAAATTGCCCTAAAAAGTCTTAATTTTGATTTTGGGAAGTGTGCAGAAATGCTTTAAGTTGACTTGGCTGTTTGCATTGGTGTACATTTTATATGTATATGTGCTTGTGTGAGTTTGAAATGAAAGTAGGATGGCAAGCAGATTGACATCTGTCCAATCCAATCCAATCCACTTTATTTAAATAGCACATTTTAAAAAACATTCAAGTTTACCAAAGTGCTGCACAGTTAAATGGAAAGAACAAACAATGCAGAAATAAAAAATAATAAAAAAAACATCAGTTGGAAATAAATAAATAAAAGCATATAAAAACATTTAAAATGAAAAAAATGAATGAAATTAAAACACAAAAGCATAAAAGCTATAAAAGTGATATAAGGACCATAAAAGACATAAAAGGACAGAGATTTCACAACTCATTCTGAATTTAAAGCCAAAGAATAAAAATAAGTTTTTAGATGTGATTTAAAAAGTAGAAAGAGTGGGGGATGTTTTAATCTCAAGTGGCATTTCGTCCCACAATTCTGAGCTGTCCACAGCTGAGAAAGCTCGGTCGCCACAGGTTTTTAAACAAGTTTTAGGGACAACGAGTTGAAGCTGATCAGCAGACCTCAAGGAACGTGGGGGGTACAACTACTAAAGAGGTCAGAGATGTACTGTGGTGCTGATCCTGTCTTAAATAGCTGCACCTCTAAGCTAGCTAGATGGTCAAACTCAAAGTACTTTGGTGAGGTTTGGATTTTGACAGGCCACCTGAGCGCTCTGAGAGACTTATGAAAGTAAAATGTTTTGTTCAGTATATTGAGATTATTTTCTTTAAATGAGACAACATGCATTCATGAACATTAACATGTAAATACATGAGATTTTAGCCAGGTGGGTAGTTTCCATCCCCAGTCCTATTTGCCGGTTGGTGTCAACATATAAAAGAAAAACAAACATCAGTAATGTGAATAAAACACACAGAGCGTAGTAAAAGACAAGCAGCATACATAAAGCGTAGAAAACTAGAGATGCACCGATAAATTGGCCGCCGATTTAAAAGGCCGGTTTTATATCCAACCGGCCCCAACCGGTGACCGGCCGGTCACTGTCGTAATTTGCCGTTTTTCCCCGAGCAAACTGACACGCATGCGCGGTGCGTATCAGCTCAGAGCAAAACTGCTAAAAATTAGCAAGACTCAGGAGGAAAACATGTCGGTGATTTGACACTGTGTGCCAGAGCGACCCAAAACACGCTGTTTGTAATGCTTGCACGTCAAAAGTCAGCTGTGGAGGATCAACGCCTAAGACATTTGGAACAACAAACTTAATACGCCACTTGGAAAAGAAGCACCCAGGCTTGTTTAGCAAATATAAGGAATACACTGCCGCTAAGAGGAGGGATGCAGCACAGTCGCAGCGACCACAACAACCCTCCGCCGTGGCTCCTATGTTCGACATCAACACTGAAAAGTCCAAAGCCACCACTACGAAAATAATGGAGTTCGTGGTACTGGAGGACCAGCCGTTTAGCGTAGTACAGGATAAAGGCTTCGTAAATCTGATGAAACACCTGAGTCCACGGTACAAATTACCAAGTCGGGTGTTTCATCATATTTACGAAGCCTTTATCCTGTACTACGCTAAACGGCTGGTCCTCCAGTACCACGAACTCCATTATTTTCGTAGTGGTGGCTTTGGACTTTTCAGTGCTGATGTCGAACATAGGAGCCACGGCGGAGGGTTGTTGTGGTCGCTGCGACTCTGCTGCATCCCTCCTCTTAGCGGCAGTGTATTCCTTATATCTGCTAAACAAGCCTGGGTGCTTCTTTTCCAAGTGGCGTATTAAGTTTGTTGTTCCAAATGTCTTAGGCGTTGATTGGTACAAACTACCAAGTAGGCGGTACTTTTCTGACACAGCGCTGCCAGAGTCGTTTGAGAGAGGTACTGGAGGGGTAGTCAATAAATTACATTGTACCAGACAAATGCTGGGACGTTTTTGAATGTTGTTTGAATGTAAGTTAGTTATTGACCTGTAAACTGGACTGAATTTTATGGTCAGTGTTGAAAATAAATCTGCTCAGGAGGCACTGTTGAAACTCTCACTCTATTTCTTATTTGTGAGGTTTTATTCTTGAAAGGGGGGTTATGATAGCATATAGCCTACCATTAGTTGTGCTTTTAATTGCAGTTAAGCAAAATGTTGTCTGGGAGAGGGGTACTTAAATTAAAATTGGGAATGGGTACTCAAGCCAAACAAATATGGTGTCTATTATATGATTATAATTATTTCTCAGATAGAAAATCGGTATCGGAAAAATCGGTTTTGGCAGGTCAGACCTCCTTTAAAACCGGAAATCGGTATCGGCCAAGAATATTGCAATCGGTGCATCTCTATAGAAAACCTTAACCACATACAGTCCAAAAATGAAAGGGGCTGGGAGTTGGGGGACCATGGTAAATATAAACAGTGAATGATAAAGTGCATACTGCTGGCTGCCTGTGGGCTCAGGTCCTCTTTATATTGCACATAGCTGACTTATTCACAGAAATACAGTGTAAAGTGTATGTTGATTGCGCATTACCCTGCTGCCCAAGATTACCAAGTGCCATGTTGAAAATGCAGCACATGGTTGCACATGGAGATGTGTGAGTAGTTATTGCACCAAAAAAGTAGGACAGTTGTTCTTCTTTTTCATCACAGTGGCAGAAGCCTGTAGGCCTTTGAGCTTCAACATCAGTATATGTCTCTGCTAACTGTTACTTCCCTCTTTTTTCAGGTACACTGGAGAACTTGGAGGAGCTGTACCTCAACGACAACCCCAATCTGCACAGCCTCCCATTCGAGCTGGCCCTCTGCAGCAAGCTTTCCATCATGAGCATTGAGAACTGTCCCCTCAGCCACCTGCCTCCACAGATTGTTGCAGGGGGCCCCTCCTTCATCATCCAGTTCCTCAAGATGCAGGGACCATACCGTGCCATGGTCTGAGCTCAGAGCTGCTCAGTCCTAGTCCTACTTAACTTCAGAACCTCCACTTGCTCTGCACTTTGTTGCCTGCCCGACCCCATTACGTGTATCATACACTGTAAAGAAAACAGACGGCCATAATCAGTGTCTGGGGCAAACAGAAAGAGGAGAAACAGGAGGAAAGAATGTTTCTTTCTTCACCATCTTTGGGCAGACATGGGGGGAGTCTTTGGAGACTTGACTTGTTTCTCCAGAGATGATCAAGGTCATTTGAAGACCCCAGTCAGACCCCCTTGCTCATCTTTCATTCCGAATACCACAAGAGGAAAATATTTCCATCTCTTTGCCAAAACTGAAGATATATTAAGTTCTATATATTGAGTAACAGTGAGCTAAGTGGTGAGTCTTTGAAACATTTAAGCCGTGCTCCCATTGCCAATGTATTTACAGTAATTACAAGCATCTATTATGTGAGCAAGGATACAACTGTATGCAAAAACAAACAAAAAAAGTCTTTGGAACTTCACATTTACTGCTGCTGCCGTAATTTTAACTTTGTCATCTTATCATGATTTGTTTTGACATGCCCTTTTTTTTTACATCACCATCACTCACAATAACTTGTGTTAACTGCTTCTTGACCACAGAGAACAAAAAGGTCTAATGATGGCGTGTTTGTAATTTTTTTTAAACTGTGCCTATGTTTAGAGTGAACCAGTGGTTCATGTCTAAACACTATTGTCCATGAGAATACAAAGATATAAATTATTTCAATGATTCTTTTTGTATTACTGCTGTTTTTACTTTGGTTCCTTTTTTTAGTGTTTCTTTTTGCTGATGCATTAATCTGTAAGTGATATCAGTTGTACAATAGGTGGTCGGAGGTCTTTTTAACAAATAGCAGCAGTGGTTGTCAAATATAAAGATGGTTATGTACACAGAAGAGAAATTCTAATCATACCTGCTTGAAAAGAAAAAGAAAGTTGGACTTTTCTTTGGGTCTGGTGGTGCTGTGACCCCACATTTCTTTGTCTGAGAAAAGGTATTGGAAAAAGTCAAACAAACATGGGTGATGGGGGAAATGATAGAAAATGTTTTTATATATGTATACAAATCCTGGTTGTTGCCTTGAGTGCAATTTTAGTTATGTTTACTTCTTTGATATTATCTTCAGTGTTGGACTGCGTAGCTGTCATACAATTGATTATTGACCAACATATCAAAACATTTACAGACGTTATGTATGTCTCTGAAGTAAGTGGTGGTGAGTGTATCAGAGTTTAGAAGAAGGTTTGATCATTAAACATGGATACGTATAATTTCTTTCTTTAATACTTTCTGTGGTTTATTTGAAATTTTGACAGGGTCTCTTAAGAGCTGAAATTCCATCAAAATAAATTTCCAATGATTGAGATTCTTAATTTAATTTCTTTTTGAGAAATCTTTTTTGTCCCACACTGTCCCAGCAATGCTGCTGCTCTAATGCACTTTTGAAAAACACATTGGCATCTTCTATCGAAAACAAACGATAGCCTCTCATTGGTTGGTTTGAATTGGGGTATTTGATCTCACGGAGAAGTATTTTATCTGTTAACGGTTCATCATGTAAATTTACTAATTTACTCATCCAATGTAAAGTTCGGGTGATGCTTTCTATCGGGGATTTATATCCTGTTGATCTGAAAAAGGAGCTTGCTCTCTTGACCTGTAGAAGATTTCGGCCCGACCATTAGTTGTTTGAAGAGTCCCATTTCCTGTGTTCTACATGTCAGCAGAATGGTTTATTGCCTTTAAGATCAGGATTGTTCATTTGAAATCAATTCAAGTGTTTTTTTTTTTAATGATGAAATGTGTATTCCGTTAGTATTATTTCAAGTGACTGTACATTAAAAATCCCAACAAAAGGTAATCTACCAAACTTTTAAAAATTATTTTTAAATATGTATTGCATCCCAGCTCTTTTCTTCAATCGTGATTCTGTTTTTGTATTAGAACATGTGGGTCTACTTCTTTTGCAGCAGCTTTGCGTGTTTCAGTAGGATGTTTGGTTTGGTCCCTTACGCAGGGAAGCCTGGGTGATGAGAGCACCACAGCTAGAATCGGGTGATCGATGTACCGCTGCTTCTTATTTACCAGCAGAACCTGTTGCTGCTTTTTGTGGACTGAAACATATGCTGTACAAGATGGGGGTGGGGGGAGCTGGGGAGGGGCTGGACGCAGGAAATGATCCACTCCCGCAACTGATAAAGACTCTGAAAACCTGACAAGGGACAAATCCACTGAGCTTTTCCAAATTGGTGTCAGGCTCGTGGTTTTCTCACAGATCAAATCGTTCGGAAACAACGATGAGACAACACAACAAGGTGCATATTTGAGCTTAAATGCAGTTACAGTACAAGACTGTCAGAAAAAAGACAAATGAAAAAAAAATTGTAAAAAGGGCTTTCTGTGTTCATGCTCAACAACACACCGGAGGCATTGCATTCCTAGGTTTTCTATAAAAGCTTTGGAAGTTTCTTTTTGTGTATTTTAGCTGTAAACAATTGTGTGACAAATGCCTTCAACGAGTGCTCAAAGTGAGATGTGCATTAGGTGTGCAGCAAGAGTGCTGTGACCCATTTTTACATTCAGTCTCTGTATTTTTACTTTTGTCATGTGCCATTTTGCGTGGAGGGGAGTGCCAGTGTGTGGAGATGCAGAGGATGATGGGAGGCACGGCAGAAACTGAACCAGGCTGAGCATTTTTTCAGATCCAGAAATGTGGTTTTAATATGCTGTGGGGGAGACGGACAGCTTTGATTGGCCCATTCAGTTAACAGTGTGACCATGTTGAGCAAAGTAATGACATTGTATTGGATACTGGTGCATCCAAAATAATTGGGACAAAATTGATGTTTATTTTCTATTTTCTGTGATTTAAGGTCATTGAGAGTATCACAGAATCCAAGTCCTTTTTGCTTCTTTGCTTTTTTCTGTTCTTGGATCATGATGTCTTTTTTTCTTGCCTGATTATTTTGTACAGGAAACAAGCATGTTGAACACATATTTGCCATGATTTGTCTGGGTCAGAATCAGGCGTCTCTGCATAGAGGACTTCAATTTAGTGGCTATTTGGTGTATCTTCAAATGCTCCCTTTTTGTATATTGCAAAGGGTATTGAAGCATTGTGTGGCAATGCTTTTACTTAATCTACATTGACAAGCAGCCTTAATGGTCTTTTTTATGTGTTTGTTTGGCTATTCCTTGTGTCTATGGCCACTGACTGTACTTGATGACAAGCAACTGGTCGTTCTGATGTAAATTAGGGTCTAGTTTCTTTAGTCTTCTTTTCCTTTTACTCTGTACAGTTATCTGGCGTTATGGTAGACTCAGTATTACACAATCTGTATTGTGATGAGAGTTTTACACAAAATGACAGAGTGCAATGGAAGATAATGCCATTATGCTACCGAGTGGATGTGCATCAGCTTGCATCTCCCTTATCTTTGGCATTAAAGGGGAATTCCACCAAGACTGACTTGTATTTTTATTCTACAATGATGCTATTCAAACACAAATCAGCAAAATTGTCATGATTTTTTTTCTCTTAAGTCATATCAGGTGTGGGTCATACACATTCAGGGGATTAGAAAACATTTATCATTAAGCTGTGAGGTTTGAAATCAGAGGAAACATTACTGCTCATACAAAAGACAAACATGATTCCCACTTTCCAGAGAGTGCAGGCTAGATCACATTTTCTTCATCTACTAAAGCACATAACTACATACCAGTCCCTTTTTGCCATCAAACCAAGTCGACGCTGGTGGAATGGCCCTTTAATGTAAAGCTGCCACCCTATTGTCCCTCGCTCCCATTTGAGCATCTCTGGGCAGTTTCTTGACAGCCCTGCTCCGCACAGAGCAGAATCGTAAAGGCCGTTTGAATGAGCACCACAGATAGATAATCACTCCTCTTCTTTGTTTAACGCCAGTAAAGCGATCTGGGTCCACAGATTGAGCAGGTGGTGAAGGACTTTGGGTTGAGCAGATGCAGACATGACTACCTCTATGTAAGTCACTGCAGACCACAGTGACCAACATCCGGTCTGAGGTGTTTATACCTGTGTATATACAAAGAGGAGTGTTGAAGCAGGAATTTGGCTTTGGACCAACAGTTAAACAACTTTTTGTTTCACTACGCATCCTTCTGTTTTATTTCTGTTTTACGCCTCATTATAGTATTACTTTGACAAGAAAAGGAAGAATACACTGATATGTGTGCTTGTTGTAAATGACAAACTTAATCAATGCCGCCCCATTGTAAGACAGTTATCCTGAAACCAACTAGCTGCAGAGTGACACTTTGCAAACAAGTGGAAATGACCATGTTTGGTGATGTTCTGTATGTACATACATCTTTTTAACTGTAATAAACAATGAATATTTACAAATTTATCAAATGTGCTGTGAGTACATTTCAGTTTCATCAAATACAATGAACATGTTGAGACAGAAACAGCTCATTCTTTACATAATCAGGTTACAGTGTTGTCCACATCTTTATGAAAACTGGACAAATTGTTCAGATTTTATTTTCTGAAGGGACTTTGACATCTTTTGATGAAGAAATAAAAATGCACTCCATCAAATGGCCTATTTTGTAAATTCTCCATGGATTTAAACACATGCTTTAATGGCTCAAGGCTTCAGGTATGTCTCCAACCTGTGTTTGTGGTCTGCAAGTCCTGAGCTGTGCGACTCTGCTCCTGTGCAACACCGCCCCCTGCTGGTGAAATACAGTTTTGTTTTGGTTGACGGTCTGAACAGCACGCACTTAAGTTGGCTGAGAGCTCTACCTGCTTAGGTGAACGCTGACCTGAGAGAGGATAATATGTAAAAGTCATCACTGTCGGGGAAATAACAGGAATGACATTTTTCATGTCAAGTTTCACTGACCCGTGCGGATTAATGCCCAACATGCGTGTAGGTTACTTGTTCGTGTCGATAAAGCTGTTTTTACTCGGAGCAGAAACAAACAGAGAGCCCAGAAATTGAAGCCTTGTGCACTCCCACCTTTAACTGACCATTGTCTTTGTCTGAGACCTTCTTCAAACGCCATTTCCCCAAAACTGAAAGGCTCTTGTAGGAAACGACAGGTGTCACTGTATCCTTGCGCTTCGACTGGGCCCTCATGCATCAACAAGCGCCGTGAAATCGTGATGTTTACCCAAAAACAGAGGACCAGGTCAACTTCTGTCAGTCAGGAAAGACGGGAATATCAGGTTGACTCTTGTTCTGTGTATAGGAGCTGCTGTAATAAAGGTGGGCGCCTTTTAAATTCACTTTCTCCACAGGTGAAAGTCTGTCACGCCTCTGCCAGACATTTTATGGGCTATGAGCGCAGCTGTAAATATATAGCAGTGTACATGAAGTACCTCCAGACGTCGAGACTCCTCGTCTTCTTGCTCAGTAGGGGAGAGTGGGGGTGGTCAGCACGCGCCTATTTCAACAGGGACAGGTGTGCGTCTGTGACGCCAGGGAGCCCTTCACGCTCAAGTGCATGTCCTGCTCACACTCATTGCATAAGTATATCACTGACAGAGGCCATCTCCCTCTGATTGTGTGTCAAACTCCTATTAGTTTTAAACGAAGGGTTTGTCTTTGCTCTGCTTATGGTCAGTTTAGTCTTTCTTAGAAATAATATGGTGCTGTTTTTGTTCAGCCTCGCAGGGTAACGTTTGTGATGGATACCATAAATAAAGATTGATGACCACAGTGTCATTTGGATGTCAAACAGTAAGCACTATCTTTTCCAAAAACACTTGAATGTTACCTGTACACATGACAGACTTTGGTTGGATGTAATATTGGTGACACATTTCATTCAATATTTAAAAAAAAAATCATTTTTCTCTATCTTTGTTGTTGCAGTCTTTTTTGAAGTTTGACTTTAAAGTGGTTCAACTTAACCATGTTAGTCATGCTTGTGTCAAAGAGTTGAATGGAATAAATCTACTTCATGCTGATTTTTGTTTTAGACAAATTTTGATTTTTGCAAGTCTTATCAGTTTTAGACAGATGCCAACGTGATTAATTACTGTAAAATCCAGACAGTAGATTTTAGGTCTCTGGGAGGAAAATTGGTTGAAACTGCATTCCTGCATGAAGACCTTCATCACATTTAGCAATGTGCAGTTTCTGTGTATCTGAGTAGCTCTTTCTAATAGTATGTGTTATGACCACCCACTGTCAGTGACCATTTCTCGGATACTTGCACCACCGGCTGGTGATCTTTTTTCTTACAGTAGCATCTTTTTACATAAAGCAGCACTTCACAAGATGTATTTACTGAATATTGTATGTTTTCATTGAATGCATGGTTGTTACTTAGCGAGGAAGAAAAGCTTAAAAGAGTGATGCTTCTAAACAGGTCCAGCTTGGAATGTATCAGGCATGCTGTGCACATGTAAACAGTCACTTGCTTCTTTAAGCGCCATCTTCCATCCATCCACAGTAGAACACTTCTTCTGAGGAAGAGGGAAGTTTTCGCCCATCATGTCAAGGTACGTGAAAAATATTACATGTCTGAGAGAAAGGAAAAAGGAAACTATTTCTCAAGACATAATGAACATCATTCAACATTTACAACACTTGTCACTGCATTTTATACTCAGATATAGGTTGGACCGGTTTATAGGATGCAGCTAATCATAAAATCAGAAAAACTGTGTGTGTCATTTGAATAACAAATGTAAAAACAGGAAGCTTTTTTTTTTGACAACTTTATTGTTATATTCATGTGATTATTGCCAAAGTAATATTAAAAAAAAGTTTACAAAAGAATGAGCGGACATGCAAACATTTAAAGAGCACAATCAAGGTCACAGGAGAGAAAAAACTATGATTGGTAAATGTGATTAAGTTTACTGTAACTTACAATATGCTTCACCACTTTTCTCAACACAAAATTATATCTTTAACTTGGACAGTGACATGAAAAAGGCTAAAACCTGTGTAACATTGGCTTGATTTAGACTGCAAGTGTGTTCAACCTGGTTTCAAAGGCAAAAGTTAGACACATTTTCTGACCCTGTTCAGAGCAGTGATGATGAGTGAACACTGCCTCCTCCCACACTTCCTCTGGAAGTTTCTTTTCTGAGTCCTCCTCCTCGGGTGATTTTAAATTTACCAGAGAAGTGGAGCACAAACAACATATTAAACTGAGCGTCTGAGAGCAAGAGCGTCTGTGGTGAGAGAGTGGCACTGGTTCCAGGAAGACTGTGGGAGACTAAAAACACAATGAATCCCTTGATGGAGGAAATCTGAAGATATGTTGTTCCTGTTTATTGATGATTTACAGAAATGATGCAAAATAACCATCACTGTATAAGTTTGCAAACACTCCATGAGTGAAAAAGAGGGGAGTCTATGTTTCTGTGAGTTTTGGGGTTTTATGACCTACACTGAAGTTAGCTCCAATAAAACTGATTGTGTGCATGTGGTAAACTTCTAGTGTATGCTCAAAATTTTAAATCATTCCATCAACACTTGACAGAAAATGTTAACAAGGTAAAAGTAAATCAAGATAAAGTTTGTTTCATTAGAACAAAACATAACATTATGATGTATTAGGACGTGCCTTGTTTTACATCCTTAGTTGTTTAAAGAAAAGTATGTTTATCTGTGAAAAAGTGATATTGTCTCCCAGTGTCCCTGATTCTGCTCAAGCAACAGACATCCTTTATCCACCAGGTTTACCTGTAAATTATTAATGAATGGACAATTAAGTTCTATCATGGACATGGGGACTTCTGACGACAGTCCAGTGAGCTGGATGGTACATGGTTAATGGACTGTGTTTGTATAGCGCTTCCTCTAGTCTTCTGACAACTCGAAGTACTTTTATATAGATGTCACACCATATTTACAGACTGATGGCAGAGGCTGCTATGAGCCCAGCAGTTTTTGGCTAATTCCATTCAGACACCTCTGGGTGCTGCGAACTGGTGCCATTGAGGTGGAAGCTTATAGGAAAAAGACATTGTTTCATACACAGATGTTTTCCAGTTTGCATACAGGACTGTGGTCAGCATAGCTTTTGAGGCCATGCTCATATGATGTGAGTGGTCTCTTGAATAAGTGTTATTTGAATTTATGGGGAAAATGTTCTGTGGAAGGCCTTTCATTTTTTTTCTTTATGCTTTGTAAAGTTAAAAATAAAGACAGTTGGAAAGTCCAAACTGTTTTCGATGGTTGCTTCCATCAGTAATGGCAGTTTCAAGAGTTTGGTTTTGAATAATAATAAGTAGCCACCTTTGTTGACTAGACTTCAGGTTCCTTCCCGTAGGGTCTGCATAAACTTAACAGGAGGAACTTTGTCTTAAAAAAAAAAAAAAAACTACAGGGCTGTAGAAATTTTATTGAACTTATCATTCATGACTATCAGAAGCAGGTAGGCTAACTACACATCGGAATCAGTTTTTAAAAAATCATATCGTACAATTCTACTTTTTACTGTTTTGGGAGTGAATAAATTGTACAGATGGATGTCTTCTCAGGGCTTCCATACGCACTTGCACAGAGCAGCTCTAAGATTCAGTAATAGGCTACATGGCCTCATGGTTCAAATCACAGAGAAAGAACAACAGCATGCCCCTGCTTGTATCACTGCCCCCAGTCATACCTGTGAACACTGCAGGGACTGCAGTTTGTGTTCTGTTCCCGACAGAGTTTGGGGACTCCCTCCTGGGTCGACATGATGTGTGAAAGGCGAATAAATAAATTGAGTTTGAACAGAGTAATAAAACGCATCTGTCAACTTCCACGTGGTGTGGCTCTGGCTGCTGCTTAGCAACGTGTGTAGCAGATGCACTGCAAAAAATGAGCTCTTACCTATAGTGGTCAACATTATCAAAACACCTATATATACTGTGATGACAGCTTTCTCTCAGTGTAAAACATAATGGACAATTTAAAATCATAATCAAACCAAACATATTCAAGTTTGGCTTGAAATGACCATTTGAAAAACAGAGTGGCACCTTTCAAAGAGCTTCTCAATACAAGTCTAAACTGAAAAGACAAGACGATATAGACTTATTTCCTCTTTTTCTATACCATTGACATTGTATGGCAACAAGGCTACTTATAAATGCATCCAACATGTACCCTCTCATTATTGAAACCTAACAACTTCTGTTTTGCTTTTCTTTTAATTCATGTCAGTACATTCAGTATAGAATTGTTCATAAAATGCCCCTGTGTCTGTCTGTGTAGCCTACTTCTACATAAAACTTTTTGCAGTTTTATTTATTTAATTTAGTTTTTCATTATGCTCAGCATTTCTACATATTATATAAAGCACTTTGAGTTATCTTTGTGTTTGAAAAGTGCTGTATCATAAAACTTGCCGCAGCACTAATTGGCTCTCCTCTTATAGTCATAATAACAGAGGTATGCACAAGGACAAGTATAGGGAGCACTTCAATGCAAAGCACAACGACACCAACCGGTAAAGTAACCACTTTACTGATACTCAGAGGAGGCAGCAATTAATGCAAGGCAATTACTTTTTTAAATTAAACTCTAATTAATCTAATGTGAAATGTCGACTTTATATATGTCTGATATATACAGCATTAAAACTCTATACAACAGCAGTTTAATTAAAATTGTCTTGAAGGTGAATGTGTTTATGATTTATTCACAGAAGCATAATTAGCCTAGACATTTCTCTTGATGCTTCCGCCTGAGGTCAAACTCCACCATGTCCACTCAGGTGAGTTTACATTTCCCTGTGTGGACGCTGTGGACGCACAGTGACCCGGTGAACGCAGGACACTTTTTGCAGCGTGCGGGCTATAAAGAGAGGGAGTGTCGCTCTGGTTAACACTGAGGAGAGAGACTCCACGCGCAGACAGACAGCAGCGCGGCAGCGCGCGGGATAACACGATTAGCGCTTTATTAGGTCCAACACTGTGCTCTATAGATGCAGCACAGGGACCATTGTGAGGGGAGAGAGAGGAAACACGGAGGGGACACTTCTCGCTTCATCCGCCACATGGATCTGCTTTGCTTTCTGTTGATCAGCTTTCAGAAGTTATACACCGGCTGTTTTTTGAATGCCCGTGCGTCCCCGGTACTGGAGAGACTGTGTCACCGGTTTCAGGTAAGATTACTCCGCACTTTATGCCTTTTTTTTCCTTCAATTTTATTCAGGGAGAAGAGCTGACATAAAGCTTGAACTTATAAGATAGTGATCATGTATGAGATAATGAATAGGAAGACAAAGTAGCATTGAAGGTTGTCTGACTGTTCCTCTCGCTGCCTCATGTTTTCAGATGAACTGACAGCTATAGAAAAGATAAGAGCGTATCCTCGAGAAGCCTGTTCATGATGAAAGAGAAAAATCCAGGAAAGCCTCATTGGGCTGATTTGGTAGCTTCCTTTGTCATCCCTGCTGAGAGAAACTAGCTCTGCTCTTCCTGGTGATGATATTTGTTAACCTCAGGTGAACTCAAACAGAAAGTGGGCCAATCTGCTCTGATGGGGTTTGACAACAACACCAACCGGACTCTTCCAGGCGTGGTCCCTTACAGCCTGCACATCTCCCTGCCGCTCACCGTGCTGGTAGGAATAATGATCCTGCTCACTGTGTTTGGAAACGTGCTGGTGGTCATTGCTGTGTTTACAAGCCGGGCCCTCAAGGCTCCACAGAACTTATTCTTAGTCTCTCTGGCATCTGCGGACATCTTGGTGGCAACCCTGGTGATGCCTTTTTCTTTAGCCAATGAGCTGATGGGATACTGGTACTTTGGGGAGGTGTGGTGTGAGATCTATCTGGCTCTAGATGTGCTGTTCTGCACTGCCTCTATTGCTCACCTGTGTGCCATAAGCCTGGACCGCTACTGGTCCATCACACAGGCCATCCAGTACAACCTGAAGAGGACGCCAAGACGAATCAAGTGCATCATCTTTATTGTATGGATCATTGCAGCAGTGATCTCCTTCCCACCTCTGATCACCATGGAGAAAGAAAACAGCGAAGAGGAGCCTGTGTGTAAGATTAATAATGACAAGTGGTACGTGATCTCCTCCTGCATCGGCTCCTTCTTCCTCCCCTGCGTCATCATGGTGCTCGTCTATGTGCGGATCTACCAAATTGCAAAAAAGAGGACGCGAGCACCACCGGGAGACAGGAGGCAGAAGGAGAGTCCAAAGAAAGTTGCTTCCAACCGGAAGGAGAATGGCCTGGGCGCTGGTGACGCAGAGAAGCTGAATGGTGAGCGGGACATTGAACTGAAAGAGCAAGAGGGGGGAGAAGGAGGAGCAGAGGAAGAGAAGGGCGAGGTGAACGGGATGGATCTTGAGGACTCGTCCTCTTCGGACCACAAAGTGAACACTCCCTGCTCCATTAAAAAGAAATCGACAAAAAAGAAAACAAAACTGTGCCAAATCAAACCGGGGAACATTGACATCCAAAAGGGAGAGCCAAGCACCAAGGCCAGCCGCTGGAAGGGCCGACAGAACCGCGAGAAACGTTTCACCTTTGTCCTGGCTGTGGTCATTGGAGTGTTTGTGGTTTGCTGGTTTCCTTTTTTCTTTACGTACATGTTGATGACACTGTGTGAATCCTGCCCTGTGCCCAACACACTGTTCAAGTTCTTCTTTTGGTTCGGCTACTGCAACAGTGCGCTGAACCCCATCATCTACACCATTTTCAACAATGACTTCAGGCGGTCCTTCAAAAAAATACTGTGCAGAAGAGACGCCAGGAGATACGTATGATGGACTTTATCTTTATGTACATACTTTGTTTTTTTACATCAACTGTGAAGTAAATCTACCATTGTGCATGAGCTTTTATTGCTCAAGGTGTAACTGCTTGGAGAGGATGAGCTTTACAGGCAGCATCTTTTCAGAAACATCCAACACCAACAACGCTTCAACACTGACCACAGTCTCTCACACACACAGAGGTCTAAAAAGAGCTGAGCAGAACAGTGACACCATGTTTATATTGTAAATGTGACTTTTTATTTTTATAAATGAAACCCACATAGTGAAATCATAATATGTGATGTACTTAATAGCTGTTTGTTGTACCAAATAGTCTGGATATTTGTTTCTATTTTTTTTGTCGTAATGGATACAGTATTGTGCCATTTCTATATTCTATACTGACACTGGAGATGACAATGATGGTAACAATCAAAAGGAAAAATGGTTGCTCTTGAAACAATAAACATTTTCTTAACCAACTGTAACCAATTCAAGATTGTATGGCAAGTTAAATCATCAGGCCTTTGACAGTATGTCATCAGCGTTCAGGTCACCTGTCAAACAAACAGATACACACAAAAACATTGATAATACAGGCTGGGGCTTAGAAGCACCTGTTATTGGGTTAAATTAAGCAACAGTTGTGTGAGTTATTTTGCTTTCTGAAGTGAAAGCAGAGAGTTTTCAGTATCTGTGATCATGGTGAAGATGTGTAAGGTGTGAGATTAGGAGGTCATACCTAATACCCTTTGGGCACTTCAACCAAAAAAAGTGCAAATTCACTGCAGTGCTGAGTGTGACCTTTGTGAAGGATTAACATGGAGCTCAGCTTTTAATGAGCCTGAAAGAAAAATTAGCAAGTATTATTTGGTCTTTGAATTAACAGTGTTTGTGATGAGACAGAGGGCTTGGATTCCCTGAGTGATAATACAGTTTTAATACTTCAAAATTTGTGTTCGCTCAGGATTGTGCTCGCACAGTCCGTGTAATAAATCAGCAGAGGATGATGAATACAGCTGTTATGCAAGACAGGGGAAGTGAAGAAGTAAATGGTTCATTTGCGTTTGTGTTGCCTTGGTATGCCCCATTAGGTAAAGATATTGAGCCTGTCAAAGCAGAACCTGATTGACTAGTCTCTGTCCCTCTCTTTTCTCCTCCTTCTTTAATGGTTAAGATGGACAAAAGAATGACTATCATTGAGACACTGAATATAGAGTGTATATCATTTCCCACTGGATAGGCTGTAAGTAAATGCATTTCTTTTGACATTCAGGGAGGCATTTGAGCTGTGCTTTCCTCAGAAAGCTAAATGGCTCTTCTGGGAGTGTCTCTGTCAGTACATTCAGCACATTCAGTCTGCCATGTGCTCATTTTCTGGTGGTGGGTTTCCCTGCACGTCTGCGAAATGTCTTAGAGTGTGAGTCTGTGAGAAAGACGGTGAACGTGTGCAAGAATATGCATGTGTGTTTGCAGTATATGTAAACACAGAGGGTGAGCTCCCACTAGACAGACAAGTTTGCTGCAATCGTGTTGATCGTGCTGCGTCCAGAAGATTTTCCTGGGATTGCTTCAAGAGTAAATGCAAGCATTTAGAAGTCAGGCTGAATTGTGACGGAATGGTTTCTGATTCATGGAGCGCTCTGGAGACAATTCAAATAAAATACCACAAACTTATGGAAATCCATTTATGAAAAAAAAAAAAAAACTTTAAATTTGATGTGACACTTACAAGTGTTATTCTTAACCCTAACCCATCACATTTATGCCACAATACAAGACGCTTATTATTATCTGTGAACTAGGGGGTTTATTGGCTACTGTGATTTTTTTTCCTCCTGTAAAATGACCACTTCTGATCTTGGCTCCAATAAAAGGTGCACAGTGGTTAATCAGTGCAAAGCATACTCAACAGAGCTCAACAGTGCATTTTGGGCTTTTAATGTCTTTCTTTATTACTGGATAAGGCGGTGGGAAGAGTAGAAAACTGGGGAGGAGGAGGGGGATAACTAGAGACTTGGGTTGGGTTGGAGTGTGAGACACCTGCTTCAAGTACTTAAGCCCCTGTTCCTCCGAATAATGTAACTTAAGATATAATTGTGCATTCATCCTTTTGCAAATAAAAAATAAAAATAAAAAATAGCTTTTTCTCTATGATACAGCCTGACTTGGTACTGTATGACCTGTAGCTTATATTAAACCCTGACATTCTGCCTCTTTTTCACCACCTCTAACTTTCATTTAGTCTGTTCAGCTAAACTTAGCTTGTTTGAAATACCAAAGAGACTTTTAGTCTGTTGCTGCAGTTTATAAGGTGAAGTGGCAATCATTCACCAAAAGTGACAGTCTCTTTATTTTCCAGGACCAGTGTGTACATGTTGGGTTCATAAACTGTTTATAAAAAGTGGACTTGGAGCACCAGATGTCACCTCGAGTTTGGCTTTTGACAAATGTTGAAGTTGAAGTTGAAGTTTGAAGTTTATTTCGATCTGGTCATATCCATTCAATATATACAGTAAATTACAAGAAAAGAAAAAGAAAACCGGACCGAAAAGGCATAGGCTGAAGCAAAAGCTTATTAACGCCTATCCTTCTTACTAAATCAAAATATTCAAAACATCTTACTCCACACGTTAGATAGAAAACAAAAACAAAACACATCAACAAAACAAAGAATAAAAGATGACTCAGAAGAAAGAAAAAAATAAATAAAAATAATAATAATCAAATTAAATCCAGAATATAAATTAATCCGTAACCTCAATCATTATTTCTATAATTTTCGATCACCTTGCTTTTAAACAACGATTTGAATTTGTGAATAGTCTGACACGTTTTTAATTCATCGTCAAGGGCATTCCATAAATTCACACCTTTAACTGAAGTACACTGTTCTTTGTCTCTCTTTCTGGGGTCAATGTGCATCATTTCATCTCTTTTTTGATGACAGGTCACTGTGGTGGGGATTCTTCAACAGCAGGCAAAAAAATATTACCCCACTTTGTAATGGATTTGAGCCTAAATTTACAAAATGAACACCATGCTGTAAAATTGAAGATCTAAGTTTATCCCTTGAGACCAACAAACTCATTAGGAAAATGCTTACTAAGGACATAAATCCTCTGAGATGCAGGGTCATCTTCTCTTCCGGATTCACACAAGGAGGCGGTTTTTGCAACTTGCAGTGTCTGTCCCTGATGGCCATTCTAAAATACAGGTCCAACCCCTCATGTACTGTAGTCTACAGACAAAAAGCTCAGCAATGGACAGAGTATCACATTAAAAAACCCTTAATCATGCTGTTGCAGACTACTGAAGCCATAGTTTACAGTAAACCAATCATTTATATCCTGCGAAGAGTAAGTGCTGTAGACTTGGACCACATCCCTTACACTGGAAAAGTGCAAAGAGGAGCTTATACTCATGACAATGAAGACAAAAGGAACATTTTGGCACCAAATAACTCCAACAGTGGATTTTTGAGCTGGCAGGTGAACGTGTTTGTTCCAGCGTAAAGTAGTACAGGTGGGTTTCCATGGGTAAATACATGCACGTTTTTCTCACCTTGTCCACCTTTTCTCTGCCTTTCTTTACTTCACACATCAACGAGCAGCAGGGACATCATTAAGCGGACATGCTCGCTGACAGCCTTTTGGAAGAAGCCAGCTGTTGAAGTCAGCAGACCTCTTTCCAGAAACACACATACACTGACACACACATGCATACACTTAGCCTCTGGGAATTGGGGCATGGATCATCAGGTTAGAGTGCACATCCGTCTCCAGAAGGCAAAGCATGGTGGGTAAGTACAGCTACCATTTAGTGAGACAGGGACAAAATGTAGCAGCAGCAGAAATCACACAGGACAAACAATCATTTCCAGTTGGACAGTGTGGGCGTTAGGTTTGGATTAAGTTGCATTTGACTTGGCTGTATCGTATTGGAGATGATAGTCTGTGTGTGTGTGTGTGTGTGTGTGTGTGTGTGTGTGTGTGTGTGTGTGTGTGTGTGTGTGTGTGTGTGTGTGTGTGTGTGTGTGTGTGTGTCAATGTGGGGGGATGGTTTTAATGATGCTGTGGGAGATTGGGAAGGTCTGCTTTGTGCACATGTGCTGTAGGTGGCCAGGGTGAAAAGGTCAGCATGACGTCACCTGTGGACTGAGGCACCCACATGCTCCAACCTGAAGCGCCTTTTTTCAGAGTGACATCCGCCCATCTGAGGTGGCGGCATAAACATGGTAAATCATAGCAATAGTGATGACTCACTGATGTTCCTCAACAAGTTTATTCTGCTGCTGTAACGCAGTTTCCCAGGTTGTTTGTATTTGTCATCAAATTCATATTTTATACTTTCCAAGAACATTTTACTGAAGCAGGATTATGTTTTTTAAAGTTGGGCTTATCACTCCTCTTTGAGGAACTCTTGAAGAGTTTCAGAAGTGTCATTTCATATGGAGGCTCGGCCTCATTAATGGCCGGCTGATTAGCTGTCAGACCTCTGGGTCTGATTGGGGGAGGGGAACAAAACAATACCGGCCAGCAGATATTTCCCTTGAAAATAATTTTCTCTGACAAATCTATTCTTGTGGGAGCTCATTATGGTCAAGAGCAATCAGCTGCCATCGTCCTAGAGACACAGCACACAGTAAGACCTAAATTATAAGACCTGCGAGGTGTTTGCTGTTTCTCAGGAGAGGGAATGGTAATGACATGATGGTGTAGGATCTTATGTTGCAGGGACATAGAGGAGCAGAGAACTGATTCCAAAAAATGATAGCGTTGAATCTCCCTACCAAAAAAGAAATGAAGACAGTTCTTACTTGCTGGCACAACTTTAAAAAATAATACTTAAAGTTATACCTTTTAAATTCATGCAAAAACACAACAGCGCTCAGTGAAAACATATCCGTCATAAAACTGATAAATACAGCGTGTCTTTTGTAAGCAGGAACCTCTGGTGTTGCAAAATGAAGTAAAGAGAAAGTGTGAGGCTGCCTCTAACACACACACACACACACACACACACACACACACACACACACACACACTATAAGATCATCAGTAAATGGATCATTCTATCGGGTCAAAAAGTTGGGTTGATAGATACAGTATAATGAAGGCATTTGATTTGACTGACAGGAGGGGATGTTGTAGCCACTGGCCATGATTAATTTGACCCACCATCACCTGGACTGGTGACCACCATCTTTGGGCTTCAGAACACACCACAGGACACTGATCAAAGACCAGCAAGTAATGTCAAAAAGACTACAGCTGTGTTGTAAAGTAGCCGATCTGCTGATCCAGTTTAGATGTAGTGACAGTTATAAAATGCAGCACGCTGAAAATACCTGCAGCAGTTTCTTAAAGCTGTAGGTGTTTTTTTTAGAGGGGGTGGTATTGTGCTTTACACATTTACAACAAAAATTGTAAAGTTACAAAGTTTGGTGTCCATACCACATGTGCGCAAAGTTTCAAATCCCAAGGTTAAACATATTTTGTCATAATCCTAAATAATACACAAAGACGTAAACTGCTGAAATCTCAGGCAAACACACGGGAATGCGAGACTGTAGTTTATGTGCAAGATTTACTGAAATTCTTACGTAAGAGTCATAAACTCTCCTTACTGGTTCATCTGCGTGTCCAGCAAAGCACAACAACTTCATTCCAACAGCGTGTGAAGTGACAGTCACAGCGGAGCGGGGTAACCATAGACAAAATGTACTATACAGTATTTACATATATGATGTCTATGGAAGTAATGCTGCTCCACTGCTCAACTGATCAACCACGATCCAGAGGGTCCAAAACATCAAGCCCTGCCCTTGGCTGGCTTCTGGAAAGCCTCCAGAGAGGTGGCCAATCAGAGGAAAGTGGGCTTGTGGAGGGGGAAGGGGGGCTTAAAGAGACAGCAGCTAAAACAAAGCAGAAATAACAATGTTCTAATACATTACTGTGAGAAATTTTGAATTTTTTTGACAGCACTTACTGATTTTTATAAAGCAGTCATGGATAATCAAGATGAGACATAAAGAAATTAAAGTTAAGATGTTGCAAAATGTTGTCTGGTACTCACAGTTCACCCATGAGGAATAAAAAAAATGATCAAAGTAAGTGGAGAGGGAGGCTGTCCTGTATCTTTTTTATTTAGTTGGGTATTTAATCAGTCATTATTTTCTGTTCTACTTTGTTGCTTTCCTGTTCCCTGCCATGTAGCATCACTTGTACACTTGTACACTTGTATACTTGATAGTGTGCCCTGCCCTCATTGTTTTCACCTGCATCTCATTGTTTTTACCTGTCCTTGATTGCTCTAGAATAGACAACCTTTGTCTCTCTCTGTCTCTTACTTCATCAGTTTGTGCCCTCTACCATGTTCTTGGTGTGGATGATTTTTTGGCCCTAGCTGTGGTTCCCCAACCAATTTCAACCATTCACTGGGATTTATACCTTTAGATATCTAGATCCTTGGACACGTTTCACTTTGCCTCTTTTCATTTCTAATCTATTGATATACATTCATCATAAGTCTGCTCTTGTGCCCTATCCAAACCTAACAGAGCATAAGCAATTTTTTTATAAATAAAAGCACCCTTTTAAAATAATAACTCTAGCATTTGTTAAATGACCCAAATAATCAATCAGTTTTTAAAGTAATCAGTAAATAACCTCCACTTTACTCCAGTACAACCATATTTGGTTGCAAAAGATTTTGGCAAGGTGATACATGTTGAGTTCTCATGCAACAAGGCGCTGCATGAAGGTGCAGTTGTTATTACTGCCGCCTTGAAGCAAGAAGGGTCCTGGTATGAGTCCTCGGCTGCTCAGAGGTGGTACAGTGTGGAGTTTAAATGTTGTGCCCCCGCATGCGTGGGTTCTCTCTTGGTATAGTGGCTTCCTCCTACAGTCCAGTCAGGTTATTTTGTGAGTCCAAATTGCCCGTTGATAAGAGTGTGTGTTTTTTTTTTTTAAATCTCTACTCTGCAGAAACTCAAGTCTTAGCTAGTGTGTTTGTATCATTTCTGGTCAGCATATCTGTTTATACTAGTATAAGCCACTTGACCAGACAAGTCCAGACATCTTGTTTCAACATGTTAAAAAATAAAGAGCTTAATTGATTGTAATATTTGAATATGGCTG